ATAATTGAGGCATAAGTTTTGAGCTATTAGTGCAATGCTGACAGTTTTTGAATTGTTTTTTTAATGCCTCGCTCCAATTCTGTTCGATGAATTCTAAAACCTGGAACTAGGGTTGGGCAGAATCGTATTCGAATATATTCGAATATAATGTGCGCACATAAATGTGCGCATATATTCGAATATATATTCGAATATACATAATTCAAAAAATAACCGTTATTAATCGTGTTTTTTTTTTTAATAAATGTTTAACAATTAATTAAATACCTTACAACTAAAATATCGACGTATTTGGCTAAAGAAAGTACTTCCATTGCTTTTCCATTAAAATTAGATCTATTTTAGTAATTGTTTAACATGATTTTTTCAATTGAAAAAATTTGATATCAAAGAATATTTGAAGTCGCCTTTTAAAAAATTTTAACGGTCAATAAATATTTGAAAATTTTCCCGCTAAAAGTTGCACTACGAAAACATTAGTTATAGTATAATTACATAATTTGTTCCAATGAATTTCCATATAGAAAAAGTTTTTCATTTAACGGTCTTTTGAGATTCAAATTTTCTAACGGTCAGTAAGTTTTTGAAAGCTTTTTGCCAAAGGATACACAAAAAATCATTAATTATAGCATATTTAACAATTTAATGTCTTTAATTCTCATATATGAATTGTTTATCATTTACAAATTACAGGCAAGTTGAAAAATGCTAATCAACAAATAACGTATTTTTTCATTTTTGAATTTCTAATATTCGAATATATATTCGAATATATTCGAATATTTTTTTGTTCATATTCGAATATATTCGGATATATTCGAATATTTGCCCAACACTACCTGGAACTCAAAAAGGACTTAAATTTATATTAAAGTTCAAATTAGTTTTACGACAACTCAAATAAACACAAAATCATCAATTTCTGCATCCAATTCATTCAAACAATTTTCAGATCAATTTTCCATCAATTCATTGCAATTTCACAAACAATTGAAACTCGCTACTTTCCACAACAGCTCGCAAATTGCTTCATTGCAGTTCGAATTTCATTCAACACTCGTCTATAAATTTCATTGTTGATTTACATTCAAAACTATACTCATTGATTTCCCAATTGGCATCATTTTACTCTACCATTCACTGTGTACCATAGTTGGGTATTCAATTTACTTGATTAAATTTCTGCAGAAAATGAGAATTTTTTTTTTGCCATAAAGCGTCGAAAAATGTATCATATTGACACTTAAATGAAGCATTATTGAAAATAAAAATGTAAGTGCAATAATCGAGAAGTCACGTAAGCCTTTATCTGCATCCGTGTAGACGATTCTGTTCCCTTATGATGAAATTTTCATGAATTTAATTTGAAATCATCTTTTGATTACAGCTAAAACTTTCATGAACTCTTTTGAAATTCTCAACCTTTATCAGTTTCCATTACAATCGTCACCAGGGTATGTGCCAATGTCAATAAAAGATGTCGAGAAACAGTTTGTTGAGCTTAAAAAAATGCTCACGTCTATTGAGAATAATATCGATTTAATAAGATAATGCGATACTCATTGTTGCTTCACATGCTATACATCAGCCTCATTTCATCATTATCTCATGCCACTTTCTACTCTTGTATTTATGCTGTATTTATCATGTAAAATATTGATGCTTTGAGAGTTTTTGATACTCGAAAATGTTGAAAATAAAAGTTTTAAATGTTCAATAATGGATATGATAATATGGATTGATGATTATGAATAGATAGGACTGAAGCTATGTTTATTATAGGCACTTTATCATCATCAGCAGCATTATAGATTCTGATAATGAATTAAGGACTTTTATGGTAACAGATAATGAAAGTATGATGAATTATATGATTATGTTTTAGAAGTTGGAGCCACTTTAAATATAATGGATGTATGTAGAGGGAAGTAAGTATAGATTCATAGATGATGAGATTAGTGGCTTAGAAAATTTGGCTATGAACTGATTTTCCAGTAGTTTAAGTTCCAAAATGTAACGAGTTTTCAAATCTTGATACTTATATCGAAGTTATAGCTTTTCCGTACCTTATTGAAATAATTCTGCTTAATTTTAATTTAACCAACCATAAAATATAAAGCATTACATCAAATCCACATGTTACATCCATTTTTGTTGTACCTGTCTGAAACATTTTACCAACTGAATGAGCTTCATACGCAAACATTATCAAAGCACAGTTTAGTGTAAATTTAATTGTCATGTAGTAAGTGTCATAAAACTCCATGTTTTATGCAACAGCACTACCTTTTTTACGAACATATTCACACAATGTTTTGTTTTGTTTTGTTCCATAATTTTTTTTATAATCTGTGGATGTCGTGTCGAAAAAAAATTTTAGCACGGAATATTTTCACTTTGCTTTATATTTCATTGTGGTACAGTGGTCATTAAGTAATTTAAAGCTTTTTAACATTAAGTTATAAAGTGCTTTAATGGCTGTAATGAGTGAGGTTCAACTTCTTCGTGAGGCATTTAGAGATTCAAGAATGCTAATAAAGCGTTTAGCAACGGTTAAAGTTAATTTTAAGAGAAAAAAAATCCCTTTTTTAATTTTTGATACCAAAATTAGCTTCTTTATATTTCATAGAATATATCCTGCCCTGAAATTCAACCTTTTTTCACATTTACGAATCTAATCCTTAAACCTTTTTAAGCAACAGTCAATAAATATTCCATTAATGCCCTTTAAGGCTTCCTTTTAAACTCTCCATACAGAAAATTACATGAAAAATTCCACGAAAATACTTTAAATGCAAATCAAACGCACATGCGTTCGCTCAGCTACTTCCTACGTATATGAATAATCCATGGTATTGAATAAAAAAAATTCTCATATTTATCATCATTCGATATTACGAATATTTTGCAAATTGAAATTCTTTTATGGAAAAAAATCCAATAATGCCTATTTTGCAGCTGATACCAGCTCACTATCAACAATAACAAATAAGAGTTCCATAAAAAATGTTTGAACCCAGTTTAAATATTATTATGAGCAAGGAATCATGTGAGGGAGTCTTTAGTCGGTTGATTGGTATACGCTAGGTAAGAGGCTAACCTTAGGAACGTATTCAAGAGCCATCGCTAGTCACAGTCGATTTATATCACAATATAAAGAGCCTTTAACAAGTCTCTAGAATCAAAAACCGCCCTAGAGAATGTTCAAAGATATATCTTGGGTCCACGTTTCTCAAACATCCAAATTAGAACCAATAAGCCATTTTACTTCAAAATTACCATCATAATTTCCAACTGGGTCGAAAGCTAAGCAACAATTGATAAGGAAACACATTGAATTAAAGCAATGAAAAAAGTAAGCGAGGATAAAATCATAAAAGGCAGAAAAAGATTTATTATTCATCTCTGAAAAGTGAAAAAAGCTTTAATTAAAGTAAAATAACATTGAAGGAAATCTGTTGAATATTGATTTTATTGGATTACTGTGCTGCTTTTTTCCCTTCCACAATTTACATCGGCAATGAGAGAAATTCATTTAATGGATCTATCTATGGATAGAAGAAAGGAATAAGATGAAGAAATGAAAAGCTTTTTTACTCAACCTCGATTCTCTCATTCTCGTGTTTGTAAGTCTCAATAAAATTTCATTTTTTATATTTATTGTTCTTCAGAGGTGGAACTATAGTTTTATGGAGGAGAACCTTGATGTGTACATTTTAATAAAATTGTAATTTTAAAACTTTTTGATCCTTTTGGGAAGGTTTGAGAAAGAGAATCATCTAGGAGCTAGTTCCACCCCTGGATCTCATCCAATTTGCCTTATTCTTAAGTGTATAATAAGTAATCTCCTTTAATCTTGCAATAACGAAAAGCACTTGATTGCGGATGGGTTGTCGTTACCATGCACATTATCTCAAATTAGAATTTCAAATGAATCATCGACAATAGGAAGACAGTGGGAGTTAATCTTCAACTTTTTTTTTTCCTTATTTCATTTCTCAAGCTCACTCCCTTGATGACACTCAAAGTTGAGTTGCGTTCTCAAATATTCATGTTCTTTACAGAGACAATTTTTTGGGAACGATGAAGGAGGCGAAGATGGAAAAGAATTAAATTAAATTTCATCGCTGTGCGAATTCATTCAGCATGTAAATACTCATAAGTGTTATAATGCACAAACATGCTAATTTTCATGAAAATAATTTTTTACGACTCGTGTGCGTGGGTAATTTTTGAAGATCTTTTCATTCTTAGCGCTTATGCCTTAATGGATTTTTCTGTAGAGTTTTGTTGAAGATCTAAGTGCTTTCTCATGCCTCAGTCGTAAATTTCAATTGAATTTACATAATGATTGCAGCCCATTATTTTTGGATTAGGATTTATTCTAAAAGGAATCAACTTTCGATTGGAATTTTTATTAATAATTTATTTGATATTCCTCATTCATTTTGGATATAGCTTTCAATATTTTTGTATATAAGAAAGGATAAACAAAGTTTATCTGACATGAAACGATTCAAAAAGTATAAAGAAATCAGCCTTCTTAGAAATTAAGCATAAAGGCTTATTATGTTTGCATTGAAAATCCTTATTATTAATAAAAATTGTGTAAGGATTAAGGTTCCTTTTTTAAAAAAAATCTGAATAATATCATAAAAATTTATATAAGCTTTTCGAACCGTATTAAGATGTTCCATCAGTAAGCAGGATTTAATTAAATTTTTTTAATTTTGTATCAGAATTCCAATAAAAAGTCAAATCTTACATTCAGCAGATCGTTAACTCGATCTGAAAATTAAAACATAATCGAAATGTTATTGAACTAAGGTTTGAATCCTATTAAAAACTCGTCAATTTGTTTGCAAGTTATTGATCAATATTGGTTATTTTAAAAATCAACTTTTAAAATGAAGCAACCTTACATCAACCTTACATTTACAGAAATTTTGCGTCAAAAGCTGGATCAGCATCCTTTCAACTGTGTTCAAGTTCTCAATTACCCCCGAAACTCGATAAAACTTTAATAGTTTCATTCATTTTTGATGGAAGAAAATCTCACATTTCCTCCTTGAGAAACTCATTTTATCAGATTTTCATATTAACGGTAGTTATTCTACAGACTTGAAACTTTCTTTTCATGTTCCAACAAACGTTAATTTCTTCCATTTAACCGACAATGCTCTCACCCAAAAAAAAAGTATAGGAAAGATAAAGAATGATATCATGTCATGTGGGAAAATGAGCAATAAAAGGCGGCAGGAAGCCATATTAAAGTGCCTCTTTTGAATGTAGAAACTTTTTTATGTTGCCGCAATATTCATAAAAGAATACTGCATGGCTTCCTCGTTCATACACTTATACTTCATGACATTCTCCTCTTTTGTATGTTTTTGCAGATTTTATTTACGCTCTAGTTCAACATAAACATCATAAATGCTTGAAATGAGCATGGATGCATGAAGGTACATGAGAAATAATTTCTTGTACAACATAAATCATTTCATTAATTTTGATGTGACGTAAGTAAGGCCTTAACTACGCTCTACAACAAAAGAAATAGGAAGTTTTCTATTGAGGGTGTTTCGTAATGTGAAGGCTAGGGTTGGAAGCTTTTGAAATGATTCTTATGGCAACAAATGATCTTTTCAGGTGTTTAGACTTTAGAGATGGGAGCGAGGCTAGATTCATTATATATTCAAGCAAGATTTGGCGAAATACCTCCTCTAACACCCTCTATGGTCTGAATTATTATATGTTTGAGCTGAGGCCGGTTTCTGGAGCTACTAAGGGTACTCTTTCCAAGTCTCACAACACTCCAAAGTCCCGAGTCGATGAAGTAATGCATCAACTTTCAATTCTAAGTTAGAATACCAGCTCCTGTTCAATAACAAAGCTTGATTTCTGTAAGACTTCTAGTCAACTTTAAGACTTTGTCCCGAGAATACAAAACGTCATTTGGAAGCCTACACGTTGCTTCGACTTTTAATTTTTAATATCAGCTACAATCGTCAGTATTTTGAATCCCAACTTTGTTATCAATCCTTAGTTCATCTTTAAAGCGCACCTTAAATCTAACAGAAGATTTATGCAACATTTCTTCAGATTTCCATCTCCAGCCTAACCAAACTGAGCAAAAAAAATAAACTATTGTTCAACATAAATACGACTTTTTTTATGGCATCTCCATATGTTCCATTGTTATTCTCCATAATGTCATTTGAACAAATGAGCTTGTTTTGAATTTTGCTGCACCGCAGGCAGCACAATCATCCTGCCATTTCTACAATAATTTTTATTTTCCGATGTTCTTCTATACATTCCCTAACATACTATTTTTCATATGTCTCGCTTCTATTGAGTTTTTTTCCTACTTCTACTTCTTCTTTTTTATGGCATAGCAGCAACATGTTTTGCATTATGATAAGATGGGAAACTTTTTATGGATACTGATTTCGTTGATATTTTTACGAGCTCATTGCTGAGTATCTATAGCTTTTTAATAATCTCCACCCACACATGCATGTTTCCAATATGTTTATAGTTTACTAAGCTCTCCGTCTTATAACATGAATGTAGATGGATAGATATATGTAACATAATACTTATGAAAAAAGGAATATACTCATTCACTTATCCTTAATATGCTGCTGGAAATCGACATAAATTGAATATGTGAAAAGCTCTTCTCGGAACTATTCGAGAGAGGGTTAAGTGAATGTACTTCTCAATTTCATATTTTATTGCTAGCAACATACAATCATCAATTCTATACAATTTGAATGCATTAAGATGAGTTCGTGCCATTTATGTGAAGATAAAATTTATCATATTACATGGTTGAAAACATCTCGAGCATGAAATACAGGATAATTGAAAATTCTTGTACTAATTGGATTGGCATTTGAGTATATTGAGTAATCATGGAAAATTGTGCATATAATTGCTTAAGTTATGGAATATGTGGGAATTTACAATTTATTTTTGAGGATGGGAATGTGAATGTTGAATGACAATCAGCTTTAAACAACATTTAATAGATATTTTAGGAACCATTAAATGCTGAAATGAAATATTCAAAAACTACATTGTCAGTAGTTCCAAAATAGCCAAGGATCGTTCATGAATGACGTCCATTAAAAAATGCGGATCTATTTCTCTACTATTTTAAAATAATTTGCAGCACACTTGAAGGTACAGATTGCGTTCCAACCTATATTCTTAATATTTCTTTCTAAATCTGTAACCTAATCCTTAAACATACCCCAATATGGACAACCTGATAACAAACAAATAAAATATTAACCTAAAATTGTAATTTAATTCCAAAAAAAACAATTAGTTTCCACAGCATAATAAATAGAGCTTTTTGTGGTAACCAGACTGTAAAATGTAAAATGTTCACATTTGATGGTTAAAAAATGACAAAATAAATTTCTATAAATATCAAATAAATGTTGCTGAAAAAATTCATTAAAATTTTATGAAGTCTTCTGCTCTAAATGTTTCAGTCATCAAACCATATTTTCCTCATCATCGTATGTGGAAAATGAAAGGCAGATTCATGGGATTATGTTTGAAAGTTTGTATGTTGTAGCTACACCACATATCATGGTAAATTCAACAATTTTTTTTTATTTGACATTGAAAAAGGAAGGAAAGAAGCATGTCAGTGACAGTAAATAAGAATAAAATGATTGATTAAAAAAGAAAAGGTTAATTTAGAAAGTTTGTTTAAATTATGAAAACTAATTTTGGGTATTTAATGTTAGATTGATGGAGTTGCTGTTAAAACTAATGGATTAGGCATCTGTAAGGTCTAAGCTGTGTTTCCTGAAGTTAGCTAACGGATTCAAAACATTTCTTCTATAAAAAGTTTCTTGAGATTTTCCTTCCTTCGTCACTTTCAACTCGATTAGTATCCATGTCACACACTTTTACCAAACATTTGAATAAAGCTCTTCTTCTGCATCAACAAATATAGGATTTGATTATAAAAGAAGATGTAAACTTCTCATGGAGATAGTAATCCTCTTTTGAATCTTTTATTTCCATTTGAAAGGTTACTATTGACAACTTTACATCTATAAATCATCAAATGCTAAGCATGTTATATTTTTCTATACATTGATGCTTGAAGAATTGCAAAAAGGAAGCTTTTGAAAGTGCAAATGCTATGGTGTTCAGGTCACGAGCACTCAAAACATCCTTGACATTTTAAAATAAACTCAAATGATTGAAAGCTCTATAAACAAACCAGGAAAATAAACAAAAATATATATTTGTATAGCTCATTGAAATTCCTATTTTGACAGTAAACACGCGCGAAAAAAACATAAAGGTGGGTGAAAAAGTATAAGTTTGAAGCACGCAGAACAAAAGTTGTCAAGAAACTGAATCATTTTTTGCATGAAATCACGTTTTCCCATCTTCATTAAATTTCTTCAAAATTCCTTTCAAAAAATGTTCTTCTTATTGTTGACAGTAAAAGAGCTAAAGCATCAACATTATTTTTTTATATTGCTCAATAAAAACCTTTATTATTTTCGTTTTTTAAGTTCTTGGAGGAATTTAATTTTGATTTTATGGATGGTATAACTGTAATTCTTTTCATCAAAATCGTCTTCTTCCTAAGAATTAGGTCATAGCAATTATTAAGGCATAACTTTCCTGTTTTATGAACATTAATGCGTGACTAGAAAGTGCTTAGATTCAATTTGTTGTCAACTACCTAAGATTCTTTAGTTCAAAGTGAATAACTCAGTTTTGTACCCAAATAATTCTTTACTAAAATCAAAACATTCCTTAAATTCCAAAGAAATTTTTTTTTATGGAAGTGTTAATTGGTCATAAATGCATTCTGTGCATTTTTATGTCCGCTGCAATAAAATCAAGTTTAAGAATTTGCTACTTATTCGTTAGGTGCTGACTTAAAACGCAATAAAATCTTTCTTCCTCACAAAATTTTCATATTTAAAGATGTAAAATATTTGGCAAAACTTCAGTTTGAATCAACCATAGCTGTGGCTACATATTCCAAGCGAGCTGAGAATTTTAAAATTACAAAAAAATGAAGCTGACTTTATTGTTATGTCTTGTGTTATTGAGTACCATCGTGCTATCAGTGCCAGTGAATGTTGACAAAAATGGTAAAGCAATTCTTAGAATTTAAGTTCAAAAATTGATTCCTTTAAAAAAAAAAACATTTTAGTTGATAAAGTTGAGTCTATGCCAGAATCAGATGATTCTAAAGATGAACTGTCCCGAAAGTTTAAAGGACCAATCAAAATTAAGAAATGTGCTAAACCAGATCAGTCGTTTGAGTATTATCAAAGATGGTGCCCGTAAGTTGAGCATTTCCATTGAATATTTGTTGATTCCTAGGCAATTTAATTTAATTAATTAAAAAAATTTTACTCTTAGAACCACTGCTATGACAACAACTACATCAACTAGTAAGATTAGGCTAAAAAATTAATTTATTTGATGTTTTTAAATCTACTTCCAAATAAAATTTATTTTACTTTCATTTAAATTTACTTATTTTAGCAACTACTCCTACCACAACAACGCCTACAACAACTGCAGCAACAACGACAACAGCAGCAGCAGCAGCCGCAAGATTTTAATTTAAAACAAAGTTATTTTAATAGCTAAAGATTTTAACAATGCTTTTAAAGAAATAAGACATTGAATCCCAACGCATTGACAATGACATTGATGTAGAATTACTTTTTTATATAGATTACCTATTATATAATATCTTTATTTATTAAACGCGTTAAATAAAATTTTGCAAATCAACAAAAAAAAAGTTGCATAAAATAAAAAGATTTTTTTATCTTTTAATAACTGTTTAGCTTTACAGTTTTAGAGGTTTTGAAGTTAAAAAATTCATCAAATAATTGTAAAAATGATCAAAATTCAATTTGTAAGTTTTGCATTCCTGTAAACATTAAATTGAGTTTTATGATTAAATTCCTTGTTTATCTTTGATTCACAATTTTCAATTTATTGGAAAGCTTTACAACACAAAGATATTCTCAATTAATGTTGTTCAAAAAGTCTTCAAACATAGACTTTAATTCCACCTTTTTTATGTTAACATTTTTTATTATCTCTCACACTACTTCCTTTAAATAAATATTCATGATGTTATACAGGAAATTTCAAAGCATCCACTTCCATATCTTTCATCTCAATATCTCGGAGAAACGAACGGAAATGAATAAATAAATAAAATACATTTTTATTTTGAAAAACGATTTGATGAAAAATCATTTTATTCTTCAATTTTCAAACATTTTCAAAGAAATTCATTTGGATGAAGTTTGGTATTCGCACCGCACAGTACAGTCTAAAGAAGAGCTGACTAAAATACTGTTCATGTTACTTTGATTAATAAGTATTAGCTAATCTGAAATTTTCCAGTCTTATCTTCTGAATCTTGCTTTTTTTGCATCAATCTAGTGTGAATACAATCATAAAGCTTCCCTGCCTTCTGAATTTCATTTCACATATAATGTGTCTCTCGGCTTTATGACTTAATGCATTCACATTTCCTTTCATTTGTCGCTTTTCATATTTATTTTTTAATATTATTCAAATTTTAATTTTAATAAGATTTCTTTGCGAAAGGTTAGATGAAAGAGATTTGAGCTTACATTTGGTGCTGTAAATAATGTTTGTTGATGTTTGCGCGTTCTTTGAGAACAATTTTGAATTTAAATTTTTAAGGTTTTGCAGTAGAAATATTTAAAACTTTAATTTAACAACGATTGTGGTAGATTGAGGTTAGGAGCAGATATGGCAGTGACACTTACCAACATCCATCCTAAAATCTATAAAATTCTTCAATTACGAAATCAAATAAATGCAAATTGAGTGAAAATTTTCTAGATTAAACTTTATGTGTCATGAATTTTACATGAACATGTGGTTTCGTTCCTAAATTCTGACTAAATATTCAAATAAACATGAAACAAAATGTTTTCTATTCCTAATGCCCTTCAGTCATGAGCACATAATAATTGATTGAATAAATTTACATCTCAAAAAACAATTTTTCCCATCGAGTAAATTCGAGTATTTCAAAAACTTACAATTGCTTTAGGCATGCATCAACTTGTAAATAAGTATAATCAATGAATGGTAAAATATGCTTACGAATCTGATCCTTCAACTGGGAAGAATTGCTGTAGATATTATCTAACATTTATAAACTAGCTCTATAAATACATGAGAACATACACTTTCAGGCATCATGACATGCTAAATGTACGAGAAAAATTTCCAAACAACCCCCAAAAGAAAAGCTATTCTCTTGCGTGTAGCTTTATACATATTGAATTCCGATAACATCTCATGTGAATTGTTTTTATCATCGTTATCGGCAGTTGTCATCATCGCTCAATTCTTTTTTATCATCCTCAATTCTCGTGGGGAAGAAGATGAAAAAAATTCAGTATTTTTGCACGAGGAAGCACATAAATGACAATAAGCACACATGAAACAAACAAAAACTTCAATTTAACATTTATTATGTACTTGAAAAGTTGTAATGAGATGCAGAATATTTTTATTTTGACTATTAACATGTGAATTAAGTTAGAATTGCTGAGAATTGGATTATAGAAAATTCTCAGTGACTTTATTTCTAACGGCTCTTTTTAATTCAAATTTAGAAACTCACAACAGCTCAAATTGAGAAACATTTGTAAAGTTTTTTTTAAAAAAAAAACAAAAAATTCAAATTATCACCAGCCGTTGCGCTTTTGTGTGAAATCCATGAATAGACTACGACTTAACTCGTTATTTTTTGTAGCATATCTGCTGATATAGTGATATAGATTGGAAAATATCGCGATATCAAATAACTCGTTATCATGCTCCAGAAATAATTCACCAATTTTTCATAAGCTTTGATTTTTTTCTTCACTACACATTGAAATTGAAATATTTGTGTGCGATTCGTGCAGATAACCACAACAAAGGTATTGAATATTTTCCTTTGACGAGATATTGATACCAAAAAATATGCGGTTAGATTTGAGAGAGAGTTTAAGCTTTTTTGGGGAGGTTCAATGGCAGAAAAAGGAGCTTAGCAAAAATCCTAAATTTTCTGTGTTATTATTATTATTATTATTATTTATTATTATACTTTCTCTAGGGTCTTTCTCACTAGGGTGTTAAGACCCTTTCCCTCTCCTCCATTTACATCCATTAGTAAGGACGCATTTAGCATAAAATAAATTGAAAAAGTTCAATTTAAAAAAAATATGTCAAACCTATAAAAATCAAAGTTTATAAAAATTAATTAAAACATTCTGCAAGCGATAGTTTTAACAGTTTCGTGTTGTTCCTTTTTTTCAACGCCAGAAGAGTTAATTAAAAAGTTTTTCTACAAAACCAGATTTTACCTTTCATAGCTTTGCACTACAATTTTGTTTCCTTTTTAGCATTGAAACTTGTAAAATCATTTTAGCGAAAATTAATTTTGAGATTTTCTTTTGTTCCGTCAGCATGTTTAAAGTTTATAATTAACGTAGAACAACAAAACACCATCATCAACTCGAAAGAAGGGAAGTAGATACTTAAAAAAGCAGTTAAGCGTGCTGTTTGTGGAATTCTTTCATAATTTAATTAAGTGAAACATGTTTTAGACTCTTTTAAGATTCAAATTTAACGGTTTTTTCTTATTTAAATTTTTAACGCTAGTCTGAAGTTAAAATTTTTTTACCGTTCAAATGAAAACTTTTAACGGAAAATTGAATATTTTTTCAGATTCTATTTTAAGTTGAGAATTAAACCCTTTAAAATCCTCCTGCAATGAAACAAATTCAATTAATAAAGACATGAAATTTAAAAAATTTTAATTGTTGACATAAAATTGTTCGTCATGATATTCATGATGAGGACTTAGTTGAGTACCAAAATTTCCAGCAATTGTTTTTATGGCATCCATTAAGACTAGAAAACTTTTAAAGTGGAAATTCTCTTATATTATAACTGCTGTTTTTCATCACTTTATGTATTTTGCAAAATTAATTAATTTTGATAAAAATAGAATGAGATTAATTTGCTACAATATTTCACAAGCGTGCCTTGTTCTTCTTTCCAATGGATTTGTTTTAATAAGCGAAAAATACGAATTCTAAAATTATTCAGAAGGTTCGTTTTTTGCAGCGAAAAAGCTCATAATTTTAACGGTCATTCAAAATTCAAATCAATAACTGTTATTAAATTTATTTAAAAATTAAAGCAAATATATAGGAACTTTCAACAATTGAAAACTGCAAGGTAAAGTCACAAATAAGGGGCCGTTCACTTATTACGTCCGCATTTTAGTGGGGAGGGGGGGGGGGGTTTGAAAATTATAACAAAATGTAACAAAGGGGGGAAGGGGTGTCAAGAAGTATGTAACGTTCTAACTGTCGTCTGTCTTTAAAAAAAATTCACGAAAAATAAATTGTTTACAAATTTACACCAACAACATTTTTTAAATTTTCCACCTTTTTAATGATTTATGAAAAATTATCAAAATAAAATAAATTATGAACGTTCAGGGGGGGGGGGGGTGAGTTGTAATATATTGTAACAAGAGGGGGAGGGGGTGAAAAAAGTCATTTTTTTACGTAACGTAATAAGTGAACGGCCCCTAAAGAAAACAGGATATTCTGTGCATAGAGATCTGCAGATAGCTTTTTTCGGCTTTTATCTCTTAAAACTTTCTAGCAATAAAAATGCAATGAAGACTCATAAAGAATTTACTGTCTGCTGTATAAAAAAGTTTAACTTATTTAATTGATGTCTGCAATAAAAATGAGCTACACAGGCAATGCAGTGCATAAATAAAGCAAAATAGAATTTTAAAGTATTTAACGATTGTTTTGAATTCAAAAATGACATAATAGGAATTCAAATTTCAAAAGTTCGGTAAAAATCAACGGCAGTTTGTTTACATTATCACAAAACCAGTTAAATTCATAAAAACTCAATTTTAAACTATTTTTTAACAATTCTAAGCATTTTTAAAATGAAAGCAGTGAAGCTAGAAGTAAGTTGTATTTAATTTACATCAATTGAATCTTATTTACCACGAAAATATTGACTTCAGAAAAATTGTGAATTTGCGGAATATTTTAATAATAAATTATACTCTGACTGCGTTGTAATCTCATCCTGCGACAAAAAATTCCGTACACACAAAATAATACTGTCCAAAAATGAGTTCTTTCGAAAGAAACTTGCTTCAGATAACTTAAAAGTCAGTGCCTTAAATTTACCAGAAACCGCTGATATTTTGGAAGACTTGCTCTACTATTTATATACTGGAAGTATCAAAGGATCATGCAATAACATTAAAGACTTACTACTTGCTGCAAAAAAATACTCATTTACTGATCTCGAAGCAACTATGGCCAGAAATTTAATGAATTCATTATGTGCTAATAATGCTGTCCAATATCTCCTTTTTGCACATAAACAGGAACTAAAAGACTCAGTAAATGAGATAACTGACTTCATAGCTAAGTAATGCAGTTTGATAATTTACCGCTTTAAGTTTCTAATTCCTTATGTTTGTCCATTAGTGATCTAAAAGGTGTTATGCAAACTGCTGACTGGAAGTTACTGGATCCTGAAGAACATGCTAGACTGAAGGACAAAATAATTGAAACCTATATAAGGTTTAATGAAGCCAACATCGTAGAGTCGTCAATGTGTGAGCAGCTAATGCTGTAAATCTAAAGAACTGGCTTGAGTAGAAGTAAGCGATAACTTAAATAATTTTAAATCTTTATTGGCACAATTATAAGTAAAGCTGGATTTATTTAACAGCTTTAATACATCAAAAATAAATTAAATTAATCTAGAAATAAATATTTAAAACTTCCTGTATAAAGCCACAAACATTCTATTCCAATTCCTTGTTTTAAAGCTTCTTAACAAAAGTTTTAATTTCAACATTCGGTTCTTGCGGTTGGAACAAACATTCGCCAAGAATTTCATTATATTCATCATACCTAACTGTGGATATACATTCCATTCCACATCTTTCAGCTATTTTTATCGTAAAGACACTTGTGCAATCGACAGACATTAGTTTGTAATTTAAATCTCTTCCATTCTCAAAGCAATACTCAAAAAGCTTTTGTCCGATTCCATTACCGCGATACTTTTGATGGGATGTCAATATGTGGCAATGCAAAGCTCTGTCGAGATTAAATTTTCCAAGAACGTCAGCTTTTTGCTCAATAAAGGCAAGGAATTTGAGGATGTCGCTCCACTTTTTGCTAGATTTTTTTGCATCCTCTAGCATTGTTTCTGCATCGCCTGCCTGAATCGGTCCAGCAATTAGAATTCCTACAATTTCATTATTATCACTGTTGAATGCCATTAGGATTGTGTCATGCTCAATATGAGACATTGAGAAAATCTCATCATCAATTGTATGACCTGGTTCTGGATGGGAAATTGTTATTGGCTCTTCTTTATAGTAATGCTCGCGAATGAAGCTTAATACTGCATCATGGTCAGCACTTTTAGCTACACGAATTGTTATGTTGATTGACATTATTTCACTGGATCTTTTGCAATTAATGCGACGTAACTCTATGGAGTTTACTTTGTGACTGCTTAATTTTCAAAGTTGGATTAGGTTCGTGTCACAAAAATTGGATTTACTATGAGAACTAGACAGCTGACTAAGAATTAAGTTTTTTTGTTTTTATTTACACAGCAAGTAACGTGCTTAGTGTTAAATTAGAAATCAATTTCTACACGGCCGTTACAGATATTTACAGAATGTAATGATAATAGCTGTTCCTTATCTGATTGATATTGGAACCAGCATTATGAGATTAAGTACATTCAAGCTTTCTTATCTTAATTTTGATTTATTTGCTTAATTCTTGAGTTTCTCTTATTGTCTCTAATAGATTAGATAAAAGTTCATGCTCGGTTACCAAAAAGACGGTTATTAGATCTATGAATCATGCTCAAAACTGCTCAAAACATTAAAATCGTATTGAAAAGCAGAATGAAATTTCCAAAGCTCTCAAAAGCTTCCATTCAAATTTCATAAAACCGTTACAAAAAGATTGCTAGCCACGTGGTTCTGTTATGATTTGTTCTGCATGCAGCTATAGATGAATGAAAATGTTCAAGTGATAAATCACATTTTTGTTTAAAATGACGTAAATTAAACAGTCATGCATTTCTGTTTAGTCTTGAATCATTTGATGAGTTAAACTGAAGTTTTCAGTCTTCAGGCTTAGATTAGTGTTAATTTTTGGCTAGGTTCATAGGTTTCAAACTTTAATTATTGCTTTAGAGCCGTTGATTTATTAAGAATAATTTAAGACCGCTCTGATGAGGGGTCTGAAGCTTTATGCTGGACACATTTTGTAAATGATTTCAAATTAAAATAAAAAATTAGTGCCTCTTCAAAACATCCAGCATGTACAACTCGGGCTCATCATTCACATTCAATTCTAGCCTACCATATGTCCCATTATTTTCCCATATCTTCTCTTTTTCTTTTAATTCCCACAAGTTGTGCTATGAGATAATCACAAGTAGATATTTTTCGTATTCGCTGGAAACAACAAGTCATTCATTGAAGCATATTGATAAGTTTGTCAGTTTTTCTTGATAACTTCAAATACAAATGTGTGAAATCTACTTGCCAAAAGTAAGTACTCAAATGCCTTGTTTAAGATAAGGCAATATTTTTGACATTTTTTTGAGTAAATCAAACAAGCGACGGCGACGAACGATGTAAACAGAACCGAAATAATCGATGAAGAAATTACGCATGTCTCTCAATTTACTCTCTTGAAAAATTCATAACTTTCCCCCTATTTTTCGATGTCTCATCTTCAGCAAAACAGCACAAAAAGAAAATGCTAGACTACGAGACTCTGATTTTACGTCACATTTTTTGCAAAAAAAAACTGTTCATTATTTACATGCAATGTTTCATTCAAGTTGTGAAAATAAGAATGAGATCCTTTCTGTGATTGTATTAGTGTCGCTCTCCTGATGCCAACTATGCCTCTCTATTCCAGTTCGGCTATTATTTCATATATGTGTCAACGAACTGACAAAAAATCGAGTTCAAAGGAATAAATTAAGAGTCTGGAAGTTTCACTTTCGATTGGACATAGTTTCGGGTGGATACTTGAGCATAGATGGGGTTTAGGTGTTAAATTTGAGAGTTTGAAGGTGGTATTGAGGTTAGGGGTGATCAATTTATTGATTGAAGTATCTAAGGGGTCGTTCACTTATGACGTCCGATATTTACGGCGTATCCAGGGGGGAATTTGGGGGACAAATCCCCCGAAGTTAACAGAAATTTCTTCATTTTGCTAGCAGTTTTATGAAAAAATCATAAAAATTCCCCCTACCCTCAAAATTTTCCATACAAGATTTTTTTGTCCCCCCCCCCACTCTTCAAGTTCCTGGCTACGCCCCTGTTATCAGTCATTTTTCAAAAAAGAACAATGGATTTCCAGGAATTTCTATTGTTCTTTTGTTGCTGAACCCCCCCCCCCCCCCCCCCCCCTCTCACTGGACGTCATAAGTAAACGGCCCCTAATGAATCATTATTTAAGTGACTTCCATCAATAAATTGAGTCGACTTAATACATGAATGACTCCCCTCTCCACTTTCTTGATCTTAATAATCTCTTTAGCCGTTACAATAAAAGCAGCCTCCAAAAGGTATAAACTTCAAACGTTACAAAATAGAATGCTTTTCATCCCACATGACCAACATCACGTGCTACACATACAGCATGTGATTTTCTTTAAAATACAGTTCATTGAACTATCATCGTAACACTTGTGGGAAATCAAAAGTAGCCAAAACAGAACATTTATCTGTTGCCATGTCCATAATTTCCAACAATATGTATAATTACAACACCTGATCGCTATTTCATTCCATGTTATTTAAGGTTAATGTCCGTATATGATGACATATTAGCTTAACATGGTGAAAAAAAGGCAAAAATCAAAATGTTTTTATGTTCATCAAATCCAGTTTTAAGCTGTTAACATTATTATTAGCTTACATCCACTTTATAAGCCCATCAGTCAATTAAATGTCTCCAAAATAATAATCGGAATCTTATCATAAACACACATAAAGGCAATAAATTCTAGTTGAGCTTTAAGTGGTCCAATAGAGCTATAAATTATTTATTTTCAATCACGAATCAATCGACTTTAATTTAGAAGCAATTTAATAGGAAAAATGTACTATGTGACTTGTGTCTTGGACTTTATTTATTTGCAGACAAAAATAAATTCAACATTCGACCTTGAAAACTGTTATAAGCTGTTGTAAATTTAATTATTCCACGGAGTCACATCTACGTAGTAAATCGATGTGTAGACTATGAGTAATAGTTTTTAAAGCCTAGCAACAGAATTGAAGGGGAATTTCTTGCATCGAATGAAGTTTGTGAGGAAGAAAAATTCGCAGAAGTTATGAAATTTGCCGTTTAATGATTCATTTTCTAGTTTTAGTTAATTTTAACTTTATGTAACCGATTTTTTGAATTTGAAAACCATACAAATTCTGAGGAAATTTCTAAACTGTTGTGTGGATTTCAAAATCCAAATTTTAAATATAACGGTTTATGATTTTGTTAAATGCACAAGTTTACCTCTAAATCTATTAATTTGCTTCAAGCTGCACGATTTTTGTTAAAGATTGAATCTATGAACTACCAGAAGTTATAACTGTAAATTGCCTGCTTTATCGCAAAATTAGATACAATAACTATTCCTACATCATGTACATTTCCAATTGTGACCTATTTAAGTTACAAAAAAATATCAAAAGTCTTAAATCAATTAAATTTGAAGCATTAAAGACTGTACCTAAATTAAAAGATAATGAATCGATTCCATGCCAAAAATAAATCAGCAACAGTTCATGCTTGAAATGCCTTCATATCCATCTATAGAAGTAAGAGAGAGTGAAAAGTATGCCAAAGTGAAATAACACACATAATAAGAATATTTGAAAAGTCATTAAAGCCACACAGCAACTATAATTATTGGCAGCATAAAAAAAGCATCATGAAACAGATTTAAAGAGATCTTAAAACAAAATTGCGAAGAGCAGGAAGAAGAACAATTGAATTCAGCATAACTTTTGTGAAGAAAGCAACAAGAATTTATTTATAAATACCCCGAGTTAGAACATGTCGATAATGAAGCATAATTTTGATGAAATTATCTGAACGTCAAAGTTTTTTTTAGCAGTTCAATCAACTTTTTAAATTTTAAATGTAATTGCATGTTCAGGTCATCGATGATCTGAAACAATTTAAAGTTGCAACGGTTTTATAAAATTCAAACTTTTTAACGGTTTTAAAATTCAAAAACTCCACTGGAACGAGATGAACTGAATGGTTTACTGAACAAAATCAATGAATTGAAATTTCCCTTTGGGGCTGTTCACTTATTACGTAACGCGAAAAAATGACTTTTTAGACCCCCCCCCCCCTCGTAACAAAATTTGTATGAAAAAAAAATTTCCTTGTTTGAACCGTAACAAAATCTTAGACCCCCCCCCCCCCCCCCCTAAAAGCGTTACGTAATAAGTGAATGACCCCTTTCTTTGTTTTAAATATAAATACTGCTGATAATGAGTAAGCGATAAGCCATATCAGTCAAAAACACAAATTAACTGCCGTTGACATGATTTAGTGATGCAGCTTAACAGCTGATCAAAAAATAATAAGTAACAACATCAAGTAATAATATTTCACTTAATAAGTATCAGCACTGCTCAATATCCGACTGAAGACTATATTTGTGCATAAACAATTGCAAGTTCAGTAAAAGAGAAGAGACAGTCTTTCGAGAGAGAAAAATCCCTTCCATGAAAATCATTTTCTCTCAAATTTTTCCTCTTTTTTTGTGTGTGCGTCGGTTCTTCTTTATTTTTGGAAAACTGACATAAACAGCACATTGTAGCTCGATTGTATAAGTGCCGGTTTACTATTTCTCATACTCATTTTTTTAACTGTATATGATTCAGTAAAAAAGAGTCGATTCATTGCTGTGCTCGCTCGCAATCAAAGCGGACGCAATAAGCGTTATTTTATCGTGTTTAGTGCTGATATTTATTACATTTTTAATAAAAGGAAAAAGTTAAAAAGTTTCAACAAAAAGAAGTTTAAAATTTGCCAAAGGATTTTAATTCAGAAAAGACTTAAAAATAGGAGAAGAAAATGGCTGGTGGCGGTGAAGTTCCGGCGAGAGGAAATATAATTCGTAAGTTCTCTATTTGACATTTTCAAAAAAGAACACCTTTTAGTCGATGATCTTGAAAAGTCCTTTGCAACATGTGCATCAAAATTTTCCATATTTAACATTAACTTAATTAATTTATGGAATGTCTTTCAATTAATAAAGAATATTAATAAACTTACGAATAGTGCGTGACTCAAAATGATTGAAAAAAATTCAAAATTTATTAAATCTTAATTGATTTTGATTGAAACTTTGTCAATATTTAATCAATTGATTATTTTCTGTTTGATATAATTTCAATTAAAATCTCTGGAAAAAAATAATATTCCACTGATGATGTTCTGTACACAAAATATCTGATTCTGTGAAGGTCGAATAAGGTCATATGAAATTTTCCCTCTACTATAAGGAACGAAAAAAAAACATTTTCATGAAAAATTCGATGCGAGAAAAAAATACTGTAAATTCACTTCTTGCCTACTTCATCCTATTTTAAAATCAGATGGAGATTGATGTATTGTGCATATGGCAAAGAAAAAGTATTCTTAATGACTTTTTTTTTGTGCTGTCTACAAGACGCTACTAAGGTCACTGTAAACAATTATTACAACTTAACGACAAACATACCGAAATTTGAGATTTTATTATGTCAATATTTTGACTTACTCAGCATATAGATGCTAGCGACAACTGGTTTCTTAAATAAAAGAATCATGAATAATTATCAGAATCAAGTTCTCATCACTTTTTCTTTCTATTTTCAATGCGTTACGTCTAAAATCCATAAACATAACGATGAGAATTTTTTTTCATTTTCATTATTAAACGTTTTATTGGATCGGCGATAATTCTTATCGAAGGTTATGAACAATTTTTACACATCTTCTTCCTCAACGAACTTTATAAATACTTTCTTTGAGGTTTACGATGTTGTTTTTCTTTCTTTAGAAATTGTCAAGTTTAGGGAGTGATTTAATGGATTTTCTTTGATTGTAAGATTATTGAACTGTTATGCAACTTAAGTTTGGATAAATAAAGAATTTTTTTTTTCTTACCGGATTTTACAATTTTGAATATATTTATTTGAATTTTGAACCGTACAAATGTTTTAATTGAGGAATTTCACATCAAAACTGTACAAATGATTCGAGGGGTTGCGTACTTTTGACGTTCAGGGAGGGGGTGGGGTGTATAGAATTAAAAAATAGAAATTCCAGAAAATGCATTTTTAACCCTTAAGTCTTTAGCTAAAACCGTTAAAATTACACACTTAGACCAGAGTTGCGATACAGGCACCTGTGCACACGTGAGAACTGTACAATTCTTTGATAATTTGTGAGGTGGAGTTTTCTCCCAACCTCCGAATGAGGAGGTTGTGGAATTGTGCAATACTTCAAAATTAATTAATTACGCGTAGGAATAAGTCACAAACCTACGGGAACTGTCTTCAAAGTAACAAAGAACAAAGATACCAAGGAGAAAACTCAGCAAAGTCGCGATTTAATTAAATTTTGGATATAAATTGAAATTGAAAAAAAAAAAATGTGCAAATTTTGCACATAACCTAGATAAAACGGAATTGATCATCATCGGAATACCAACGAACATTTAATTACATTGACAAATCACGATCGGCGGCAGTTGTGAGGAGAATCAATTGTTTCACGTGGGTTTTTTGTGTTTTACCAACAATCGTGGACAAGAAGGTTCTATCATAACCATAACCTAGACATATTGAATACTATTGAAATACAACGGATTATCGTCAATTGTGAGGAGAATTTGTCTCGCGATGGGTTTTGTGTGTTTCCCCATATATCGCGGGCAAATCTATCAATCAATTGGTGCTGACTGGATTTCAACAAATCAACATTGACAAACAGGAATCGATCATCTCGGAATACAGCAGATCATATTAATTAAATTGACAGATCACAATCGAGACATAAGAAAAAATTGAATCTATTTGGAATATCACAAGTTAAATTACAAGGACTGTCAAGGGATCTGGATCATCGACAACTGAAGATGGAATTTTTTGCCTAGCGATGGTTTTTTGTTGTTTTGACTTATCGCGGGCATGTTTTCTGTCAATCATTTGGAGTTGACTGGATTTTATTGATTGTTCTTTGTGTATATTTGTAAATTAAACTACCTGGAATTGTGAACGGTCTTTAAATAGCAATAAGCTGATGGACCATAATAAAGTTAATTAAGAAGAAGAAGAAGAAGAAGAAGAAGAAGTAATTTGTGAGGTTTTATTCGAATTTGTATGGTTTTGCTATAAAAACCTTATAAATGATCAAGGTATTGTACGGTTCTCACCTGTGCACAGGTCTCTTTATCGCAACCCTGACTTAGACATACTTTTGTAGATGCCATGTCAAAATCATTTCAAACTTAACTTACCAATCCCAAATTCCAAATCAGTAAATCAAATAATTTTCATTCTCACTCAAAACACTGATAAAAAATAATTTCTTATTGATTTACAAGTCAATCGTTGAGCATTAATAAAGCTATTGAGTCAAATATTTATTTAGGTCTACAACTTATATTCCGGTGCGCTTCTTTGACTTTGTTCCCTGTTTTGCTTTACATTCGTCACATAGCACGTTGTCGACCTCTACTATGACTCGTCATCTACTCAGTCAATACAAAATATTTCGCTCAATTTTATTAATCTTGCGAAAAGCACTTCAAGTATGAGAATTTTTGTAGATTACACAACAGCATGTAAACATTGCATAATGAAATTGATCAGTTGACCATTATCACACTTTTCTGACAATAGAAATTAGAGTTTGAATGTTGGAGATTCAAATTAGCATCGACATCATGAAAGCTGCCAGAAACTTGTGTTGACTCTTAATTATTTGGAATTTTTCATGACATTCTTGTACTTGGGGTTGTTCATTGGTGCTGTTTTAATCTTTTTTGTTGGAACTGAGGAATTTAGTGAACTTAAACCTATTCCTACTTGCTATCAACTAGGCTCATTGCTGTTATATGGCATGGAACTCACTCACATCTGGTCCCAACTTGGTTGATTGCTGTTGTATGGTTTTGACCTACCCCTAAACTCTTCTGATTGCCATTGAATCATTAAACAGCATCTAAAACATGAAAATGGAAAGTAAACTCAGATCGGAATGTTAAATAATTTAATTATGCTCTATTAATTCATCAAAATTGTTTTCTTATTTTCCATTTGAGTTCGCAAAATGCTTCATTATCATCACTCATTAATATTCAGAGTATCAGTCATTCAAGAGTGATAGAGCAGCCAATTAAATTGAGTTCTTCTTCCACTAAAAATATTAATTAGATAATGTCATAATATTTTCATCGATTACAATGAGTTATTTATAAAAATGTATTGTGCCTTTATTTTGAATTTCTAATAAACAATTAACAACATTTGTATGTGACACAATAAAACCCCAAGCTAGATGTCGTGCGGGTCATGTTATTTTAAGTTTATTACTTTTACTGCCCGAAATCCGAAGAAATTGGATCTACGAATAAATATTTCAGTAGCTCCACATTTAAACGAGTGTAATTAACAATTAAGTCTTGTATGATCAACAGCACGTCGTCAATGTCTTATGATTTCATCGGAATGGAGTTCTTTGGATAGTTAATCATTAAATAATTGTCAGACAAAAGGAATCGCCGAAATTTCTGTTCTTAATCAAGTTTGACATGCCAGCAATACTTGCTCTTCAGATGTGTGAAATTCCGATAAAATTTTTATAGTAAATTAATTTTTATTGCATGATATATCAGCAATACTCACGATCATTGACGAAATCACTTAATAAGAAAAGAAAATGAGTAAGTGTTGATTTAATAGCGATTAACAGCTTTATGCAGAGTTGACTGGCATCTTGGAATCTTGGTCTTTTGTGCTTAATTACTTTAAGTATTAATCATGTCTCTTCACTAGATTACTCTCAAGGATATTATATGTTAGACCAGTGATGACCAACTCGTGTGCCGCGGCACACGTTTTAAAAAAGGGATATTTCATGAAACATATACTGAGTGTGATTTTGGTCAAGTGTACCGTGGCACAAAAAAGGTTGACCACCACTGTATTAGAGTATAAATCGTCATTCTAGACCAGTGATGACCAACTCGTGTGCCGCGGCACACGTCTTAAAAAAGGGATATTTCATGAAACATATACTGAGTGTGATTTTGGTCAAGTGTAGCGTGGCACAAAAAAGGTTGACCACCACTGTATTAGAGTATAAATCGTCATTTTAAGAACTAGACCATAAATACCCAAAAGATTAGCTTCATGTCCAACTCTGAGTCTTCATAATACAATCACATTGCTGTGACTGCTTATCATGCAGTACACAGGTGATAATGACATATCAATTTCCGATTAATATTCCACCCACTTGTTCTATAGACAGACACTGATATGATTACTTGTCAAATCATTAAAACCACGTTGTTATAGCTTTGACTAATTGCACCGCAAACATATGAGCGAAATTAATGTTCTCTGAGTCAATTGCTTTATTTATAGACTCAAAGATCTTTGCAATAATGCGGTTTACATTAGGAAATGAGAGCTTCTAAAATTTTAAATAAATGCGGTTTTGATGTTTGCAATAATTACAGATCTTGAAAATTGAGATGAGTGAAAATAAGATGTAAATAGCTCAATATGTGGTTACTCATTTACTTCATTAATTTTACAACTGACTGAATTGACATGATGTTGAATTGAGGTGTTGGAGGATGACAGAATTGGGTCATAAAAAATTGGCTGGACATTGAAGTTCATTTGTATGGTTTTTATGGGAATTTTTTAAGAAAACCTTATAAATTCGGCAGCATTTGTAATGTTTTTGGTTAATTTAAAAGGTTCCAAATTGTTTAGCACCTTACAAATCCATAATTTGAGCACAGGATTGCGATACAGGCACCTGTGCACAGGTGAGAATCGTGCAATTCCTAGATAATTTATAAGGTTTTTCTAACAAAACCATACAAATTCTAAGAAAACCTCACAAATTGTAAAGGAATTGTACGGTTCTCACCTGTGCACAGGTGTCTGTATCGCAACCCTATTTGAGCATATTTCAATTTTTAAAAGGAATTCTTAATTTCTGTACCCAAACTCATTCAGAATTTCCATTAAAAAGAGAAAACCTTCAGCAACTTTCCATTTTCACTCAAAAAAGACCTTCAAAATTAATTTTTCCCAAAACAAATTAAATTAAAATTTCTTTTTGAAGCTTGAAGAGATTTTTAATCAAACCTTTTTTTTCCCATACCAAATTAATTTACCATTCAATTTGAAAAGTGATGAAGCCTAATTTAATCTTGCCGTAAAATAATTAAACTCTCACGAGGAATTGCTGTATTTACGTCATCACAGCGTATATGCTTGAAATATGATCAAAACACTTGTTGCTTCTCTTGACAGACATGTTCTCGGAAAAATCAGCAACAAGAAGAAATGAGTAGGATTTTAATTTCGAGTCAATTTTCATCTCTTCAAACAATCGAATTTCAATCGAATGCATCGAAACTCGATCAACTGTTATTTTAGAATTAAATCAATGTGCTTTGAACTCGAAAGAAAATGGAAATCTCATCAAAGTGTATCAAATGAAATGAAATTTCAAGTGCTGCATTAGCTTTAATTCTCTTTGACTATGCTTTACGCTTAAACAGTCTCTTTTGTTGTGTATATCCATCGATGATTGCATTCTATTGACTGTATATGAAGTAACGAACAAGTCAATTAACGGAAACAATTATGCCTCTTTTCTCAATTTATCAATCGCTTGTTCTCACAACATTTCTGTATGTCGAGTTCAATTTCTAAATGCCTTACAACTTGATGAACATCGATAATCTGATTTGAATGATTATTGATACATTTTTGATTTGGATTCCATCAAACCATTGTAAATCATTGATGAGATTCACATCATATCTGGCAACTTTCTCGAACAATTGAATTTGATGTATTACATGATGCATGATGATTTATTGATGTTTTGAGTTGCGATAAGCTGAATTTTCTGTACATAACTGAAGTGAATCTGTATTACATGAAAATTATAGTATTAAATTATTTAATTACTGCTGTGTTGCTTAAATACTTTCTGTTTTATATGATTCAATAGTTTGTAGCTAGTACAGAGTGGATTTATGCCTCAACATTCAGAAACATTTTATTTAAAGAAATTTGAATGTCATTAGCTTTTCTAAACAGTTCAACATACTTTCTCTTGACTTATTCTTTTCCAAAAACTCTTCTTTACGCTAATTTCAAGCAGTCATGAACCACAAGTAGCCATCATTTGGCCGCAAATTAATTTTTTGGTACTTTGCTTCTTTTCTATGCGATAATTTGAAAATCTTCTTTGCCAATGTGCTCAATTCTGCCTAAATTACTTTCTCCTTTTATGTTTGCATAGACGTAGATTAGTTTTAAAGCATGTTTTGTGGATCTACAAATTTATCCGTTAAATTTAATTTGGAAAAAATTTAAATTCTACAAGATTCCATAAAAAATTTGAATTCTACAAAAGCCGTTAAAATTCAAAATTAAAAAGTTCGTTAAACAATAAATTGTTTTTACAGAATTTACTAAGATAAATAGCCACATTTGGACATGATTCAACAAATTCCACTGAAAATGAGAACAAATAAATGTCAAGCAATTTCACAATAAACTAGAGAACGATTAAAAGGCATCAGAAAGATGAGAAAGAACATTTCTCGTCTACGTTCAACAATTTGTATAGTCTATGCTGCTTATCAGATTAATTGACTCGGATTATGATTATAATAGTATGAATTATGATGTACAAGGACTTACGCGTTAAATTTCTCCGTCATTAGGTCCCTGTAATGTGAAACTTAATTTTTCATCTTTTTCAGCTCTCATCCCCGCTCGATATGTATTATCTGTACTTAGTTCAATTGGTATGGCTATTATCTATGGACTCAAAGTCAATTTATCTGTTGCAATGGTGGCAATGGTCAATCAGACAGCAATTAAAGCGACTGGTGGAGGTGACCCTCATGGACCGTCAGTAACACTTTCAAATTATACAAATCCAGAAGAATGTGAGGCTGAGCCACTTAAACATGGAGCCACTGGTGACCAAGTAAGTATTTTAGTGTCAATTAATTTTTTTTTTAGACTGAGTGACTTTTTTCTTGTAAATATCAAGTTTATGAGCACATGCAGCCAGTCATGTGCTGAGATTTATGTATTTGTTTATAGTAATTAAAGAAATGATCAAAATAGGTTTGTTGTTGTCTCGTGTATGAACACATAATTTGACAACAGTTATTGCTAATCAACACACTTCAGATGTTTAGTGCCAAGTAGCATTAAAGCGTTAAACTCATAAAAATATTTTTGTCTCAGTGATAAAATTTTATTTTTAAGCTCAACATGTGTTGAATCTATTTGTTTATTGCCGTTTATTGTACGCAGATGTCAATTTTAATCGAGATATTTCTAGATGATTTGATTGTGGTTGAGAGCTGTAAAAATGTTTGAATTTCTAACGGATTATATCAAAACCGTTCAAATGTTTTTTTAAATGTTTCAAACCCTTTAAAATGTTTCAATTCTCAACTGTCATTTTGAATAATTTTTCAAAACTGTACAAATTCTTGATAAGTGTCAAAACATTTGTAAGGTTCCATTTTTAATCAACCTTGAAAAACTCAAAACTTTTTCAAATCTAAATGATTTCAAACGAACAAGTTAAGTGTATAGATATGGTATTATTAAGCATTCTTCTACTTGGTGACAGATAAGCCACAACATTTCAACAATTCGATATCAAATGACCTTAAAAGCCTTTAAATCTTTCGGCAACATCGTATTGAAAATAATTAAGAACGACCAAAAACAATTGATTTCAGCGATAAAAAATTATCATCAAAATGCACGCAAAGTCTATAATGGAAATTAATATAATTTATTAAAGTCAATTGAAGTGCCTTAATTGTAGCCATTATTTTATTTTGTTGACAAATTGTCCCAATTTAATTTGCCTTAATATCACTTGATGTCCAATCATTTACATTCATGAGATGGACGTTGGGTGGAATCTGTTGAATGTTGAGATTTCATGGTAATTTGAAGAGAATGAGAAGCTTTTGAGGACTTTTTAGGCGAAGGCAATCTTTATTGAGTTGTGGAACGTGAATTGTTAAAGAAATTGTCATGGCAAAACATAAAATCACGTTATTCGTGTTGATTTTCCAGCTCGTACACAATGAAAAGTTTTCAATGCCACATCCACCCATTCCTGAACATTTTTCTATGATTTACGTATAATTTAACATTACTAAACGCCTACATCTATTTTTTCATAGTCGATGACGTATGCCTTGATATATTGGATATAAATTAATCTAATAATTAATCAATATCGAGCATTGATTACATGATAATCATTTTTATGTCGATCATTAGTGGAAATCCGATAGATAAGCAAAAAGGTTTGATTTCACTGAATCTTCACTGCATGTAAAACTGTGTGGGCTATAAAATGTCACGTTCTTGAGACGTCTGTGATTTTTATTTATGTCTAATCTGAATATTTTATGAACTTTTAGGACGGTCCATTTTTGTGGGATGCTGGCAGTCAGGGTATTATTTTATCATGCTACTTTTGGGGCTATTTTGTATCACAAGTAAGATATAAAACTTCGATTTGCATAGATGACACTGAACTTATGATTTTGATATCCTTTTTCAGATCCCTGGAGCAAAAGTTGCTGAATTGTTCTCTGCTAAGTGGGTCATGTGGTTTGCTGTCGCTATCAATGTTGTGTGTACACTTTTGACTCCAGCTGCTGCATATCTTGGTGTATGGCCTGTTGTAATAATGCGTGTACTTGAAGGTATTGGCGGTGGTGTCACTTTCCCAGCTGAGGTAAGTTTAATTGACTGTTATATTATTTCTGGTTTGTGTCTTGAATAATAATGGGAATTTTGAAACTCCCATGCAGTGTCTTGGATATTAACGGATACCTTTTGAATAATTGTGTCTTAGCTAATTACTTGCACACTCAACAAAAAATTTGGGCAGATCCTTGACTTTTATTGGTCAAGATTTGTTGCAAACTTTATTTCCAACTGTATTCATTCTATTAAATCTAATCCAGTTTTAACTGTTCTTTTTTTCTCCCAAATCAGCACACTCTTATCGCTGCCTGGGCTCCACCACAAGAAAGATCAACAATCTCATCAATTATTTATGCAGGAACTGCCCTTGGTACAGTTATTTCTATGTTAATGGCTGGAATGCTAGCTGAATTTTTCGGATGGTCGTCAATTTTCTATGTTATGGGCGGTTTGAGTTGTATATGGCTCGTGTTATGGATCATCTTTATTCAAGATTCACCAAACAAGCAAGGATTGATTGACCAAGCAGAACGTGACTATATCAATACATCACTTGGAAGTAGCAGTGGTCATCATGTTGCAAGAAAAACTCCATGGAAACAAATTTTCACATCAGGACCATTCTATGGCATTTTAGTAGCTCATTTCTGCAACAATGTCGGCTGGTACATGCTTCTTATTGAACTACCAATTTACATGAACGGTGTTCTTAAGTTTGCAATTAAGGAAAATGCCATTTATACAGCAACACCATTCTTAACATTGTGGTTCTTCAGTATTTTCATTAGTAAGACATTAGACGGTTTACGCGCAAAAGGAGCCATATCAACAACAACAGCCAGAAAAATAGCAACAATGTTTGCGTCTATCATACCAATGTGCTGTTTATTGGCTTTATGCTTTATTGGATGTAATAAAATGGCAGCTGTTGTCATTGCTGTAAGTCATGCACAGATATTTTGTTGAATTAAGAGATTAATTGAGGATTTATTTTTAGGGCATTGGCGTTACATCTATTGGTGCCATGTTTTCAGGCTTTCTGTCCAATCACATTGATATTGCACCAAACTTTGCAGGTAAAATTGATTTTAAGCTTGATTGATAGACTTTTATGCTAATTATGTTGATTGTGTCTGTATAGGGATACTTATGGCAGTTACAAACACAATGGCGACAATTCCCGGAATTACAGTACCTCTTTTTGTTGGACAATTGACAAAGAAAGATGTAAGATCCTTAAAATTTACTTAAATTATCGTTCCTGTACCAATTTACATACCCTTTACAGCCCACAATCGCATCATGGAGAATCATTTTCGGTATCACGATTGCTCTCTATGTCGTTGAAATTTTCACATACTTGGCACTCGGATCAGGCGAGGAGCAGCCATGGAATAAGTCAGAAGATGAGAAATCTGGCCCAGAAATGACACCACTTAAAGACAAAGCACAATCAGATTACAAAACTAAGGAGGATGCATAGTGTGCATAAATTTAAATTAATTAGTAAAAGCATTTGTTATTGGCTGGGGCACTCTTTTGAGCTGCTCAAATCTCAAAGTTTAAAGATTCGAAAAATGACAAAAATGTTGAATTATTTTTTTGGAATTGTATGGTTTTGGATAATTGACGTGTAAAACTTCACAATTTATATCGTAAAACTGTACAAATTCCAGTAAAACAATTCAACAGCATTCAAAATAAGAAGTATCAGGACAATACAAATTTAAGCAACTATCCGTCAACAATAATTACTTTGCATCTCATACAATGTCAAATAGGACGTAAAGTTAACAAGAACACATGCTTTAATTAAAATACAAAATTAGCAAGTTGTCTGTCAATAACTAGTGTCTCAGCCAAAATTGCAAATTGAATCAATCACAAGATGAAAAAAAATACTTACTGTTAAATAATCGTACAATAATTTGTCATGCTTTGTTTTAAAGGATTTATGATGAACATGAGATTTTTATGTTGTAGGCTTTATACATATTCATAGTGTTCTGTAACTTATGTTCATTTTATTGATATTTCGACACATCACTTTCGATTTATTTTATTTGATTTTTAATTCTATACAATTGATCGGAAGTGATTTTATAAATGACTATAATTAAGCAATTTAAATGTAATTTTAGTTTATTCTGAACCGCAAAAACGAATAATTCATCATTAAATGTCCATAAATTGCCCAAATTTCATTTTTTAGGTAGTCAAAAAGTGAGGGAAATCAATGTCTGATGGAAAATATAGACTTGAAGGTGATCAGACACAAGATACAGAATGCATATTTTCTAAATGAGAGATATTTAAACCACAAAAATAAAATTCTATAAGACTAAAAAGACTGATTTTTATTTAATTCCTTGTCATTTTACAGAAGTACAAGGGTCCGAAATTAGCTGGAAGATACGGCAGCACCATTTGTCCATATTTTAAGCCTTTTGGATGCTCAAATTTAAAAATACATTGGAACGGCTTCATTACCATCGATAGATCCTTAATTGTTACTGAAATACCATGTTCCTTAAATACATTTGATAAAGCCATGTGAATTACTCCATCATTTTGAATTGGACTGAGGGAACAGGTTGAATAGACTAAATCTCCGCCTGGCTTTAACAATCGAATGCAATTTGAGAGGATTTGAGATTGTAATTCTGGAATTCTGAGTCGTTCCTTTATTCTTGCTGGTTTGAAAATATTGTTGTCACTTTCATTCACTGAATGTCTATCTGTTGTACATGGTACGTCCACCAGAACTTTGTCATATGAAGCATATTCACTGGTTATGCGTGCATCCTAAAATAATCATTATTAACAGTTTTTGAGAATTTAAATTTTAACGATTATACAGAATTCAAACTGATCTGAACTAAAATGAACATGTTGAACAACTGAATGGATTTCCAAAAAATTATATAACGGTTCCAACTTACTTCCTCACGAACAACGCATCGATGATTCTTCCACGATGACTTAAAATCATACACAAATTCCTGCATTAATTTACGGATTTTATTTGCACGACTTTCCATGACATCATTACTAACGAGGAGTTTAGGCAATAAAGTTTGAAGCATTAGAAACGATTTACCGCCGGGAGCTGCACAAGCATCAAATATTACATCGCCAGGCTTAAGATTCAGTGCTAATGGAGGTAAAATTGATGAGCCATTCATAAGAAAATGAGAACTAACAGCAGTAATTGTTCTATAAGGTATACGGAAGTCTGTAATGTTTCCCATTTCATAAGTGTACATCTGTAGATTTTCAGGAATTGAAAATTCTGTCTCCATTTCGACTTTTAATGGAAAATCAGCAGAATTACTATAGTATCTATAATGCTCTGATTCAGGCACAAAATCCTCTAATCCTTTAATTTTTGTAGCTGGTACATACTCGTAAAGTGCTGATTCGACGAAATTCGGATCAATAATCCGACTATAATCTATGGCTGAATCTTCTCTCATGACTTGTTCTAATGGTCTCTTAAACTTCTTTACATCTTCCATTATTTCATTCTCATCGTCACTTTCTTTATCGCTGTCATTCTCTTCTGTTAATCTTGGCACTTCCACATTCTCAGCATGTTCCTTATCAGCATAAATTCCTGTAATTTCTTCTGATCTCTTTTTCTGGAATATATTGTCAATTTTTGAGTCATGTCCTAAGGCATTATTTGCGTAATTCTCATCCACATAGAACTTTCCCATTTCATCTTCCAGATTCCTCTTTGTGACTTCATATAAAGTCCTAATATTAATAGCTCCATCTCGTTCAAACATTTCCGAAACTTTCTCATCCTCACCGAAATTATTCACCATAGCTATATACTTTTGCTTGCTTAATAGACCTAATCTCATTGATTTCCACCGAATCCCGTACACATTTGTGTAAAAATCATCAAGATTCTGAAGAGCTCGATCTTTTGTAAAAATCTTTTTCTCGACTACCGACTGAAATGCAGCATGACTTTAGTTAATTTAACTTACAATTTATAGCTTACATACCCAGTGATTCTTTCCATGCTTGTGTCTATAGAAATACTTGACGATACTCCTTGATTTTAACATTTTTAATTAATTTGTTTAAGCAATGTGAAGAATGTAAACATTGTGAGACATAGATCAGGTCCTGTGGCCCAAAAAAATCTACACTTACCATCCCTTCGTACCAAAAGAAAATCAACAAACGAAGAAAAACATTGATTTTATTAATTAAAGTATCTTCCAGTGAAGTCATTAGAACGTAATAAGGCATGACAAGGACAGAATAGTTTAATTAATCAAACATGGTGAAAATTAGATTAAAAACTCCTGAGATTATTCAGTTTCGCCTGAGTGAAAGATTTAATTATTTTATAATTTGTGTTAAAAGTCTGTTCTATAATCATCACTTGTCTCAATCTTATGTAGCGGATATCCTCTTAGAGCCAATATTTAAAATAGTCGACTCCAGAGTCTTCAAACGATTTCTGGGACCACTTTTTGTGTTATGCTGTATCTTATTGACAGGATCTGTAGTTATTGCATGTTACTATGTCGGCTTACCTTATTGGTGGAGAAAGTCTCAGGAAGTGACAATATTCCTGCTTATTGTTGGAAATTGGCTGCTAATTAATGTGACCTATCACTATTTTAAGGCTGCATTAATAAATCCAGGAACGATTCCTTTAGCTGAAAGCTATAATGCTGTTGGAATTTGTAAGAAATGTTTGATGCCGAAACCACCAAGAACTCATCACTGTTCAATTTGCAATAAATGCATCCTCAAATTTGATCATCATTGTGTGTTCCTTAATCAATGTGTTGGTTTTTATAATCATCGACATTTCTTCCTGTACATGGCTTATACAGTCATTGGAGTGATCTTCATCATTACTTTTGGAATTGGAATAGCATATGATGTATTATGGCTTGGTGACAGCGGTGGGTGGGAGGAAAAAGAGCATGAGAAACTGCATGGATCACTTGTGCGATATAATTTAACTGGACATTTAATTCCAATAACGGAAGTGGATTATGATTCCTTAGGGATATCGCCAGCCTCTCACAATCTTCCAGTAAGTGAACTTAGTGATCCTAATATTTATCGTGCATGCTGCTATGTAGCTGTGATTATCGTTGGTAAGCAAATGACTTTTTAATGACGTCCAGAACAGCTTAATATTTGAATACTTTTTAGCTGTGCTGATTGCTCTTGGTTCATTGACTGTTTGGCATTACATCTTAATTAGTCGTGGAGAAACTAGCGTTGAAAGTCACATTAATAAGTCTGAACGGAAGCGATACAACTCTAAAGGCAAGACATTCGTTAATCCTTACGATTTTGGAAAGTCTACAAACTGGAAGATTTTTCTTGGTTTAACAAGAGGAAGGTATGTATGCACACAATAAAAAATAAAATTTTTTTAAAGCAGCATCCTCATTTACAGGACATTCTGGAGACACGTTTTATTCCCATCAAGTCATAAGCCAGATAATGATGGCATAACATGGACAACAGTCAGTGATAATGAACTTTTTCGAGTCAACGATCATCAAATGTGATGAATCAATTCCAAAGACTACCATTTCTTACTAGATTTTAAGTTTTAAGGCATTTTTAAATACATAATAAAGTTCATAATTAATTTATTGTATTTAACGGTTTTTTAAAATCTGAATTTTAGCAATGATTTTACATTTTTTACGCAACCAATACACTCGAATTTTTCTTACCAACACAAATAGTGCCGCGACACATAGATTGCAGAATATTAAGCTATGCTAAAGTATAAACAAAAAAATAGTGAAATTAATTAAAAAATGAACGACAAAGATAATTCAAAGGACTGGGAGGAGCAATTAAAGGACTTTTACATTAAGCAGGATGATCTAAATAGACTGATAATGGATTACTTAGTAAATGGTGCGTGAAAAATTGATTTTGTTGTTTTGCAGAAAATTAATTGCATTATTCATTGTCTCCGACATTTTTTCAGAGGGATTTAAGGAAGCTGCTGAGAAGTTTCAAGAGGAATCTGGCATAATAAGTCCTGTTGATCTATCTACATTGGATAATAGAATTATGATAAGGGAATCGATTAATGCAGGACGAATTCAGGATTCTATATCGCTTGTGAATCAATTACATCCAGAACTTCTTGATAATGATCGATATCTGTATTTTCATCTCCAGCAATTACATTTGATTGAGTTAATACGTGACGGAAAGGTCGAGGAGGCTCTTAGATTTGCACAAAACAAAATTGCTGAAGCAGGAGGTAAATATACACTATTTTCTTACATAACAAGGATGTCTAGTGACTGCACTTGTTCCTTAAAACTTATTTAAAAATATAACGGTTAAAAACTATTTGAAAAGTTGACTTATTTTAATATAAAAGTCCGTTAAAAGTGTCCCTAATTTTGCTGGATCTTTTCAGAAACAAATCCCGAGGTCCTGAATGAACTCGAACGTACTCTTGCACTACTGGCATTTGAAAAACCTGAATCCAGTCCATTTTCGGATCTTTTAGAGACGACTCATCGACAGAAAATTGCAAGTGAACTTAATGCTGCAATACTTCGAATGGAACACAAACAAAGTCAGAATCCGCGAATCCAAAACTTGTTGAAATGTCTCTTATGGACGGAATCACAACTCGAGAAGAAAAATATCAAGTACAGAAAAATGACAGACTTGGCGAGTGCTTCATTCGAGCCAAAGAATTGAATATGCTCAACTTTTTTCCGCAAATGCATCACTTGTAAATGATTTTTATATGCTGTTCCTACTCATTATCCTTTCCTTTAATCTTTGATTATTTCCTACTTACTAAAAAGAAGTTTAATTATAATTTTTGCACTGTATAAAAAAAAGCTTTTTGAGACTAAACATCCAGCAAAAACGCAAAGGAATCTTGATTTGAAATATTAGTGAATAAAAATGTAAAGAGAACTTCCGTTTTGATTTTATTAAGCATAAAATTATTGGGTAATTATGGTAATTCCTTAAAAACTAATTAAGAGCACATAGAATGTTGAGTATAGAAATCAGTCATGCATTTGCAATCTTTATCCTTGCGATATACATCTGGTTTGCTTGATGGATCAAATGTGACTTTTGTGGATATATAGTCATCACAAGTGAAAAGATAGTGATACAGATCCTTCCTTAATTGTTCATTATACATTTCCGTTTCAGACTTAATATTCGGCATTTTATAGGATGGTTCATTAAATTTATTGATCTTCAGCCATTCATCAGTGCTAGATTGTGACACATTCTTCCTTTCACATCTATATTCAGCCTCGACTATTTCATTTAACATCATTTGGATGTCATCTTTATTTTTTCCACAAATTTCTTTCTTTGATAGCTTTTGCATGAACCGATTTGTCTCTTTAGTGCTCTCATCCTCAATCTTTGGTAGATTTTTAAAAACTGTTTCAGTTGTTGGGAAGTTAAGCTTCAATGAGACCTAAAATAAAGAGTATTTGATTGCTGGATGTTGGGATATTGGCATTTTCATGACTTACAGCACGATTGATAAAATCTTGGGTAGTTTTACTGACATCATTCATGTCCTTTACTTCTTTTGTTGAATAATTCTTAACTTCATCCAGCACTTTCCGCCATTCTGCTAATTTGTTGATTGTTGGCTCATGAAGTGACTTCCTCGATTGTTTCTGATCTGTATTTTCGGACCTTTTTGAGGATTCAGGTCCATAAACAGTGATTCTTTTGTTCTTATTGATTTGTTCATTATTTAATGGCACTTCTGGATATCTTAAAATGGATTTTCGGACGGGATTTTGATTTTCCTTTGCTGAACACTTTTTCGAGTTCATTATGGATGTTCAGGAGCTGTTTGAAACTATTTAATTACCTTATTTCCTTATTATTATTGTTGATTTTGTGCAACCTTTTTTTGTTTTGATCTTGCGAGAAAATTTTGAATATTATTTAACCGTTACTGTCGATGTCAGAGCTTTTGAAATTCAAATTTTTCAAAAGCGTTAAAAAGCTCATTTTTTGGTTTGCAGAAATAATGATTCGAAATAATATTGTATAGATTTATAATGGAAACTCAGAAGATATGGAGATTTTGGTAATTAGAAGTGATTGATTTCATTAAGTCCCCCCCCCCCCCCCTTTATTGACAATTTAAATGTTTCAGAATATTGTAGAAATGACTAGTTGGGACTTGATATTTCTAGAAATGAAAGATCTAATTTAAATAAAATACCAGTCCAATTTTGAGTTCTATTCCTAACATGAGCTAATGTCATAAACTGCTCAAATAAAAATATTTGCCGACAAGAATAACGAAGAAGGAAGGGAAAATATAGTTTTCAAAAATCTGTTTTCAATTTTATTGCAGTCCTGGGTAAAAATTATTTGAGATACATGCACAAAAAATATGGAAAAAGAGCAAAAAGGACACTTTCATGGCATAAAAAAGTTTTCTATATTTTATGATGTCGGCAATAATTCTCAAATTCATTCAAAAAAACTAAGTTTTATGTTGAAACATGAAATGGCATAAATTTTCATAAAATATGACATGAAGAATTCTCGTTTCACTTGCTGTATAGTCGTTGATTTCTTTTTACTCTTAATTCTTCTCCATTCTGCCATTTTTGAACATTAATTCGATTCTCCAGCCAACAGAAAAGAGCCATAAATCTTCCACATGTATACGACTAGCTATGGTATTCTTTTCCATATTTTTTATGTCTTAATTGACGTTCAAAAGAAGATAATAATCTTCACCTTTTCTTCATCTCAATTTCCAGCTTTATAGGAACAAAAGAAAAAATGATCCATTAATTTTCAGAGACTCGCCTTGTATTGGATATCGAAAAAAGATGGTTAAGAAAGACATTAAATTGATGTTTTTAAGCTTTTTATGTAGATTTATCAAATTTAATTCTTGAGAATTTTAACATCAATTTTTTCAACGGCTTTTTTGGATTTCAGTTTGTCATTTTGTCTTCGATTTTTTGTGGCTTACTTTCATTTTATGATTCTTATAGCTTATTGAATATTCTCTGTATACAATTTTCATCAAAATCATGTCAAATTGCTTTAAAAATAGCAAAATTGTCTTTCAAATTTCGTTCAGTAATCCAAAAATTTGTTTTATTTCAGTTCATTAATAATTCAAATAAAAACCGTTAAAAATCAATCAATCATAAATAATGCGTTTAAATGAGCTAAAGAAATGCCTTTCAACATTTTTGTCAATTTATTCCAAAGATCTTTCAAAAAAGCCATAAATTGAACAGAAATAAAACGAGAAAAAATGTTTATTTTTTGTTAAAAACGTTTTATTGCGGGATAACGAGATAAAGAAATGGAAACATTCAATCAACAGTGTAAAAAGGTATTATATGTACATCCATACATGTATGGAAGATTTAAGAACCGATTATTATTAAGAAAAATGGAATGCTGATGAGAAATAAAGTTACATGAAGACTTTAATTGGAAAGGCTGTTTGTAAGGAAGATAGGCAGGCTCATGACAATCATATGGAGAATATAATTGAAAGAAATAATGAAAAATTAAAGGAGCTGGAGACTAATAAGATGTGTTATAAATTTTCTTTTTATTCCCAATGTAATGGCTTGTTTTTTCATATTTTAAAAATTATTTTTTATTGCCAATATAAATTTTGGAAGAACATAGTTCAGGTGGATCTTATTCAAACAAAAAAAAAAATGAGTTGTGGGAATAATTCTTGTATAAAACTTTGCTGATAGTTATTTCCTGAATCTTTTGTGGAGCGTAAATAACTTATGATACTTAAAAAAATTCAATATTGAGATCAAGAACTTTTAACGTATTTTTAATTTTTCATAGTTTGTCTGAATTTAAGCGGTTTTGAAAGAAAATTGTAGAGTTCTGAAGAAAATGTTTTTAAATTTAAAAAACCGTTAAAAATTTAATTATAGTCATTTTTTTGATCAAACTAATAGAAATCATTATAAATGTTAATGTACTCAAACCACAATGATTCAGATTCGGAAAAAATGTTCAAAAATTCCTTGTGCACAATATTTTTCCGACACATTAGAAAATTGAAAGTTTTTGTTAATTTCTCTTGGTTTGAATCTTTTAGCATCTTCTACATAATGTTTTCGTTCATTGTTCAAAAAATCAGTCCTTTATATAAAGGATAAACATGATTTTTTACCAAAAGTTTGTAAAAGTTTATCAAAAAATATTGTGCATGATCAAATTTTGTATGAAAATGTATGTAGACTTTGAACGCAAATATCTCGAAAACGGCATCAAACGGCATGTCCTCAGTAATACGGGAGATAGATTTAAGCTTAATTAATTGATGTATATAGGTTTCAGAGAGGTCTTTGGAAGACTTTTTAACTTTTGAATAGTTTAAGTTTTGTAAAAATACTCAGATTTCAATTGCATTTTTAAGACTTAATCAGCAACTTTCTTTTGATATGGTAGTTTTAATATGCAGATCTAAGCTTAATTTAGCTAACAGCAGCTAGCAAGATATGGAAATAATAACTTAAAGGAGAGAAAATCGAAGTTTTTATTTCATATACAAAATGTAAACAAATTTTTGTTGAAAATAAATTAAAGATTTCTGGAGTTAGACATCAAATTGAAACGAGATATTTTCAGTGAATATGCCTTAAGTTAAAATCTTTAATCTTGCATTTAAAAGATGTAGTTTAATTAATATGTTATTTTTGAATTTTTGAACATTTTTTCCGAATCTGAATCATTGTGGCAAACAATCCAAAAACGAGTCATTCTTTAAAACTTTTAAAAACAACAATAATGAATAGAAAATGTTAAATTTTCTTCCTATTCAATAACAGCGATTAACAGCATTGAAAAGAAAATCGCTTCCTTTACAAAAATTCAAGATCATTCAAGTGACTGATGAGAAAAACAACAATAAAAGCAAAATTAAGATTTCAATTAAAAATTATTATTAAAGCCACATTTTCTCCTTAATGTGCGAAATAAAAAGAAAAAAATCTAATAATTAAAACTTGTTTAATGCCGAAAGTAATAAAAATTCTTTTGATTAAGACCAATGCTTTATGGCACCAACAATTTTTTTTTGCATTTGCCATTCAATTAGAGCTCATGTGAAACTCAAATGTGTTAGGTTTTACAATTAAATGCCAGCCTTGAAGCAATTAAACCCGCTATTCATATGCCAACAATTTCAATTAAATAAAAAGCGACGTCAAAAGTCTCATGTAGATTTGTTGTCTTACCTCAAACATGAAAATGTTCATTATTTAATCAGTTCTGTTGAGGAAAAAGTTAAATTTCGTTTGATATTTGCTTAGATTCGTGAAACAAACTTAAATACAACATTTATCAAAAAAGCTTTTATGACATTTGCTTATCTTCGTCATCCACAGACAAAATATCATCAAATGTGCTTCATTTCATGTTCCTTGTTTCCATTTGATAAATTGTTCCTTAGTATTTTCATTTCTAGACTCTCTGGAAACTGCTGGAAACCTTTAAGAACTAGAACCTTCTAGATCTCATCAATTTAAAACCATTTTACTTGAACAAGGCTTAATCATCAATACCAACCTTCAGAGTTCCATTAATCGATACAAATTTTGTCAATTGGTTCTGTCCAAAACCCTTAAACTCGTTAAGCTGCATAATATAAAGCAATTTAAACAAGAATGCATTCCAATTGAGTAAACAGCGGTGACTTATGTTCTATTTTATTGTTATTTAAACAATATTCACATCTGTATGGATCATAAATCGTCGACAAAGCCACAAAGTTATGATTTCTATAAGATCAGACTGTAAAATGATTAAATAGACTGTTTATATTACTCTAATTGACATCCAAATTAGTGTCATTAATGAAAATTGATCAAAACAAATATAAAGGCAGGCAGTCAGGCAGGAAGATATAAAGAGTGAAGAAGTAATATGAAAATTACAGCCAAAAAAAAGATTTTTATGAATTTACTTTTATATTGACATACAACAATAATAATAATAAAATATTATGGTTGTTTCATCACTCTCTATATTAATAGACTTTAAATTCGAGTGAGACTCTTCTTATAGATGAGCAGATGAGAAGTTCATAAAAGATTATGATGATTATTTAACAACATTCAGATTGAAAAGTTTTATCATTTGATTTGGTCTATTTACTTTTTGCGGGTAATTTGAGCCATATTGCTTCCTTTTCTCTTGTTAATTTCTCGCGACTGACTGCCATAATAGTCTATAGGATATTCGGAAGCACGAAAGAATGTTAAAAGCAGTCGGAAAACTTGAAAGGAATTTTCTAAGAATTTTTATTTCAACTCTAAATTGATGCTTCAATCCTTAAATGCCCCAAAAAATAAAGTATGGAAGGTCTTTGTAAGAGCTGTTCATGCGAATTCACGGAGCCATAAAACTTTGCACCTTCAACATTCACATATTTTAGCACTAATCTGATAAAATTTCAGTGAATTTCAGGAAGAAAGAACATAAAGAAGCCGTTCAGTCCCTTCCGTGCTGTAAAGTTTCTTTTGTATGTCCATTTTCATTTCCATTCACGCAAACAGTCACGACGGGATTCATTAATTTAGTTAAAGTTACGATAACAATCATCCCGAATTGCCTGTAAATTAATGCCATAGTCATTAAAACTAAGCAGATGGTTTTACTTTCGTGATATGTCCACAAACATCCATTTTCATAAATTTATTTTAATTAAAATGAAAAGCACCGAGCACCACTTTTATTGCTTCTTGCCATTTCTCTCTCGTATGTTCATTAGTCAGTCCAAAAAAGAAATATACAGCACATTCCTCCATCTCGTGCATGACGATGGATGGACGATAACGACGCTGATGATGATGGGAACAAAAGAAGCTTTAATTAAGATCCACGCAAAAGAAACGAGACGGAGGAGTCGAAAATGAAGGCAATAAAAAATGCTCAGGCACAAAATCAAGCATGACTCGACCATCAAATGGATTTCGATTGTAAATTATGGAAATTTTATTTCTTCTTCAGTCATTCCATTCGAATTTTTTAAATATAAGAAGATTAAAATTTCAGATACAAAAGAAGGCTCGCTGTGCCTGCTCTATAGCTCTTTGATGGATATTTTTAATTTGGAATTACAGAAAAGGTTGATTGTTTCATTTTTTGAAATATTTTTTGACTGAAATTTTTTCTTAAAAGCTAGAAAATCATAAAGGATTTGTATTTGGGTCGAAATATTCGTGATGAAGTTTTTTATTTATAATTTATAACTGTTGAATAATACATGTATATTATTATGAAAACTGAATAATTCCTTTTAAAAATTCGTGGAATTGTATGGTTTTAAGATTATTAAATATTGAAAAATCTTTGATTAAGAATATTGGGATAATATATTAAGGTCTTATATGACAATCTTTCAATTTGCTGGGACAATCACATTCGATAATGTCTGTGCTGTTTTATTAAAAGATCCAGTGAATGACAAACTTGTCTTATTCATGCAATCATTGAATAACATAACATTTCGAGCACTGTTGGGATTGAAATTACTTGCAATCAAATTGCTCAAATAGTTGAAGCTGTTAAACATGTTGTTGACTTGCTGTAATAAAAATATAGTTTATGCAGTTATACAAATTATCTTAATTTTACTGTAAGCTTACAATCTGAATGCATTTGCTGGTATTTTTCCGTGCATCTATGCTCATTACGGATGATAAACAGTTCTTTAATTCTCTCAAAACGGTATTAATTGAATCTTTTACATTTCCAAGCCATGAAGAAACAGCTGGCAAGACAACTTTTGTATTAGCAGTTCTTTCATCAAGGCAAAACGTATATCCGTTAGCAAACCATGACATTTCGCTTTGTGCCTCAGATACCAACATATCAATTTCAGTTCCATAATAACGAAGATAAGAAGTTTGTAATAAATTCATTATCACATCAATATACTCAGTAAATTCCAATAAAGGCTCATTTGACATATATTTTGTGAACGTTTCCACAATCCCATTCCTCCTAGCTTCTAGGGTTACATTCATTTCTTGCTTATTAAATAGAAAGCTTGATATGATTTTTAGATAATCGTAAATTATTGGCAATTGGTCTTTCTCGAATTTCGGTCGTACAATATCCTCATTGTAGCTTTTCAATACACTCTGGATGTATGAAGTAAATCCATTTTGAATATTCGCTTGATAACTGTCAATGTTTTTCAAAAGAGCAACTTGATTAGAATTATAGGTATTAATGAAATTCAATAGCGAAGTATTAGCTGATTTTTCCCCATTATAACGTGATGGCTGTATAATATCATAAATTGATCCATACGCAAACGTCAAACGTGCTGCATCATTAACATTCATAAGAATATCTTTATAAGAATTTACCGTAACAATCAAGAATCTTCGCATCTGATTAACAGTATCTAAATCAATAAATTCATTCAATAAGCTTGGTGTCAATAGGGAACTCGAATTTCTAATGCTTGAGATGCTTTGTGTAATTGATTTCGATGCTGCTGTTGCATTGTATAAATACAATTGAATTAAATCGAGCGATTTAAATAAATTGTTTACGACTTTAGATCCAGTAATAGCAGTAAGTTGGTTTAACTGATTTGTAGAGTTTGTGAGAATGTCTAAGGATTTATTGCAAGTACCAGAATATGTTAAAATTCTATTCAAATAATAATTTTCATTTGATGCTCGACTTATAGATGCTGCAATCATTTCATCATGGAATTGTAAACACGACCTTAAATTTGTTGTAAGGAATGATAGCGCAGATAATGCAGCTTTGGTGTTTGCATCTTTTTGAATAGTTTGTGGTCTGGATGTTGCTATGAAAATTTCATTCAACTCTTCTTTAATTAAGACTGAACGATCGTGAATCTCATAGCTGAATTGATTTTCTATTCCGATGCTCCAGAATGCTGTAGATTCCTGAGAACGGAGTATGATTCAAAATGTGCTTACAAATGGTTATGTCTTGAATGAAAATGTTACGACAGCACATACATCTTGATACATACCTTTATGACTGGATCACAGAAAAATAGGAAAATAATTAAAAGTATCTTCATTGCAAAATGAACTAACTGTGAGTGCAAAAAATAAGTTGGTAGTTTTTATACCCAGTCGTAAAATTGGCTAAGAGGAAAATAAGAAATTGTTTATGTTTATCCAAAACCTTGATAAGATGACATTTTTCGTGGAAGATAACGAAATTTATAGAATTTCCAAGAATACACAAGTCAAGGTGCTCTTTTTAAATGAATTATAATCCCTTCATTATTCTTTTTTATCACCAGTTATTTAAAATAGATCAATGGCATTTTGAATAGAGTTTGGCTTATAAAATTTTCTTACAAGTTGCATTGATATTTAAAGGAGATAAGAGTTTATTTATGGATTTATTAGGGGACCATCTAAGTTATATAAATTTTATTTTGGCAATATGTCAAGCTATAAAGTTAATTTTTAATTTAATTCGCACATTTTTGAAGTTTGTCCGTTAAGGTTCTATTGCCGAATATTTCAGGTAATTAATGCGTCTCTTTTTGTTCTTTTGTCTTCCTCCTTTCATTTGGATATCAAGTTTTGTGGGCGTTAAGGGATTTTTGTCCTTAATTGTCACCTAATAACACAGTCGTGCATATTTTATGGACACAAAAGGACAAACAAATTTGCAAATTTCATCAATAACTGTAAAATTTTCTCCTTCTCCATTTTTCTATTTATTTATTTTGTTAATTTATGTTATTCTTATACTCGATTGAGTCACAAAGGAAGCCGAAATTGTTTTATGGATGGATTCTCTTTTTTTGGGGGGGGGGGGCAGCACCAATTATTTTGTCTCTCTCACCTCTATTGTAGAGCTCATATGCATAGCAAAGATGCAATTAGGGATTCATATGAGTAGCAGGTAGCTATTGTAGAACAAACAAATTGAAAGTGAAAATGAGCGAAGCTGATTTAGGAACAACAAACATCGGTATTATTATTGTGGTCTATAAATTAATCAAAATCATAAATGTTAAGATGCGAATTTCAATATTTGATTGAGTGATGAGCAATCTTAAATCCGTTAAAATTGCAAAGAGACTATAAATTTTTCAACATCCATCCGACTTGCTTCTGCAATAATATAAATGTGTCAAAAGTGATTATTTCTTTGATAGAAATGTTATTCAAATAGACCCAAACAAATATCACTCGTCATATAAAAGATAAAGTATGAATAAGTGTGATAACAAAGTTTAATTGCTTTTGCTAGATTTCTTGATTTAAAAGCTCAATCACACGTTCAAAAAAAAAGCTTTAAAATTTAAATAACGAATTTTTTAAATTTAAATTTTCGCGCCAATTTTATTGCAAAAATAAGACTAAGAAAGTGAAATCAATTAATTTAAGCAGAAAATACGACATGTCATTAGGACCTGAACCTGTATCTTCAATCTACGATAGCCGATTACGTGGAAATACTTTAAAGTTACTCGATAAAAGTGAGTTTTATAATAATTTTAAGATGTTTCAATTTTGATACTATTTTAATTAAATTATCTACACAGAAAATCTTATTAATCGACCGCATATTGTATTGAAGACATCATTTTACACACTTACAAAGTGGAACATACCGGAACGTTCACATTCTGAGCTTAAAACTATTTTTGGAAAGACTTTATTCACGAAATTGGAGACCGCTGATAGCTATTTTAGTCACGAAGAGAAATTTGAGAAGATTAAACTCAATGCTGACTCTTTGGACAGTTTACTTCAAGGAGGTATAGACTTAGGATGCATTACCGAGTTTTATGGGCAAAGTGGATCTGGAAAGACTCAGTTATGTCTTCAATTAGCTTTAAATTGTCAACTTCCAAGACATCTTGGAGGTTTGGACGGTAAGGCAATTTATATTTCAACAGACAAGGCATTTCCAATCAAAAGACTTGCAAAAATGGAAAAAGCCATGAACACTGAATCCAAAATCAAATTTATGGACAATATCTTCATCTTTGAGTTCAATACGGGTAAAAATTTGCAGCACTTTGTTGAGAATGACCTTAAGATGATTTTATCAGTGAATCAAGGATGTGTAAAGCTGCTCATTATTGATTCTATTGCTGGAATTTACAGAACAGAAACGAATTACATTGAACGGGCTAAAGAAATGTGTAAAATCTTTCGTGAACTCCAAAAAGCAGCTGACAAGCATAACTTCGCTATTGTAGCTACAAATCATGTCACTTCTGATCCAAATAAATTAAACAATTCTGAAATTCCAGCTATTGGAAATTTTTGGTCTACTTTATTAACAACTAGAATTCGTGTAAATAAAACAGAAAGAATTCAGCAATTTAAAGTCAACGACCAAGAAGAAGCTCTTAAAATAAGAACAATTAAAGTTGACTTTAGTCCACGATTACCTCCAAATACAGCAGAATTTATAGTCTCATCCAATGGAGTTCAGAGCTTCAGTGAAGATAGATTACCTAGTAAGCAACTACGTGAATCAAGGACATAAAAAAGTTTGTTTAAAAATGAAAGGCAAATAATTAACAAGACAATTAACTTTGTAACTGTGATAACAAAAGTAAATACGCACATTTTTCCCACATATTTTTGTTTTTCAATTCAAAGCAAATACAAAATCTTGAAACAATATTTGATTTACAGCTGACGTAAGTACATAATACAGAAAAAATCTCTGCTAAGCTGCTTTAATTGCTCTCAATAATTGTTCTTGTCTCAATTTTTTCAAATGAATGACTTAATGGATTGTTTAAAAGAAATTTATAACAGCGCAATAATAAGTTTGAGCACTGATAAGAATTTTTATTACCAATAAATGAGGCAATCTTATCATTTAAAAAGACGTTGAAGAGCCGCCTTTTTAATTGCACATGTCACTTTTGTTCATTTACTTTTCAACAGTGCTGTCCAAAATGTGTGGAATCCACACTGCTGATATTAAGTGTATTTCAAGGCTCGAATGGACAGCAGAATTTCTGAGAGTGCTTTAAAACAGCAATTATTGATTATTTGTTTTGAAAACCATACAAATTCAGTCAAAAACCTTAAAAAAAACTCTTTTTGAAACCATTCAAATTATTTAAAAACTGGCAGTTGTGAGGTTATGGAGGTTATAAAATGCTTTACAATACCAAAAATTACGCTACAGTTCGAAATTTACCTGAAAATTATTTCTATTTATAAACATTTATGAATTATTAATAACATAATTTGTTAATGATGCCCAATAATACCAACAAATTTATCAATTCTTTCTGCATCCAGCTTTAATTAAATTCAACCACGATAAACCCAGCTGAAATAGATTATCCTAATTGAATATTATTCGTGGAAAGTTATTGCGACTCAAATAATTCAATAGAGCCGAACACATTCTTGTCAAATTATCGAACTGGCTGCATGTTATTTTTGGACCTATCAAAGTTTTCAATTGTTTTTCTGTTGAATAACTTGATAAAGATCTGCGAAAATAAATTTGCGGCATTTTGCTTTGCTCTGTAATTAATAACCCATTTATTGCTCTTTTTGTGTTTTATATTTTGCTGTATTTTCGCCTTTTATTTGAATCATCGAAGGTATATTTTATGATTGTTCCGAATTTCCACGAATTTTAATCATAAATTTAATTTCTTTGTCTTGATTCTCTAAACTCAATTTCTCACTTAGTGATTCTCAGATCAAATTTGTTGAAAGCTAATTGTGCATTAATTGATGCTGCCTGCCTTTAACACTAATTGAAGAATTAAAATCGAATGCATGTCAAGACATTAATAAATTATTATTACTATTGCCTTAGTATTTTTAGACATCATTCAAGTCTTTTCATCACGAATTTTATTTCTCATTTAAAAGTACAGAAAAAGTGGATAAAAAGAATAACAAGAAGACTTATTTCATTATGGCGTTCCATTTTGTTCATGATTTCTCATGATTTGCTGGCATTATCTCAAATGTTAAGCTCCGCCCACAAAAAGCTCAACACAAAAATACCAAATAGAAAAATTTTCTGCTCACATTACACTCAATTGAATTGTAAACGTCGTGAAGTCAAGACGACATGCTCGTGAGTTAAAGTTTCCAAATAAAAAAAAAATAAATATCAAAAAAATATTAAAATATCCATTGAGGAAGAGACAAAGTCATAGAAAGAAAAACTATTGATTTAAAAATTATTTATTGGATTTTTATTTGCTATTGTAATATTTTTATTAATTTTACTATATTTGAATGAGTGAGAAAGAAAAGGAATTTTATGGTCCACTTGACGCAAATAATTATCATCATTAAGTGATTAATCAATTAGTGTAATAAGAACAGAAGTGAATTCGAAAACTATTTAATTTGTCTATAAATTGACATGAGATTAATGCAGTGATTTATGTGCTTTAAGAGAATATTAAGAATTATTAGTAGCTACAATTATGGTGTCTTATTATAATCATCCATTCGCGATGTATCAAAAGAATCACAGCAGTGGTTCCAATTTGCCATATTCTGCATCACCGTCCGCTGCATGGTATTCATCAAATTATCATCATCAGCCTCCAAATGCAGCACAATTTCTCGATCCAGATGGACCACCTCAACACATGTATCATCATTATGCACCTCACATGTTGCCTCAACCGTCGCCAGATTGGGGACATGACAACTACACATCATCGCCACAAAATGGATCTCTTGGAACGGGTAGTAGTGGATTAGGAAATAGTCCTGGTGCTGCAGCCTTTCTTTCATTAAATCAAGCAGCATCAGCACAGAATGAATCAAATAATCATCATCATATGAATGATGCAATTCCAAGTTTACCATCACCACCTGTGACTGTACATTCAGGAAGTGATATGAGCTCACCTGGAGCTCCATCTTCATCACCACAAATTTCTTCACGACCAACTCCTGTCAAAAGTCCATATGAGTGGATGAAGAAACCATCATATCAGAGTCAGCCAAATCCAGGTAAGAATTTAATTCAATTCAATTCTTTTTTTTTTTGTTATTATTTTGAAACTTTCAAATGTGTTGGTGTCAAAAAGTTCTATACATGCTGCTCAAACACCTTTGTCCAGTTCTGATTTCATTTCATTTTATTAGAAATTCTAAAGATAGATTTATGGAGCCAAATTATTCGAATATGTATATATTGGAGATAGAAAAAGGAAGAAGATGCTCAATACAGTCACACTCGTTTCATTCTTAATATTTCTATTGAATCTTCATATTCAGTTGTACATGATTTACGATGTAGACATAAAAATGTTTTATTTCTTCTCTTGATGGTTCATAAAATGGCTCTTGATGCCCTTTTAAGGCACAAACAACTTTTCAAACAAGAATTTTTATTTCAATTTTCTCACATTAATTAACACTGAAACTATATATTGAAATTAGGCAGCTGATGCACAGCAACAAAATATTTATTTCTTTATTTAACTTTGCACTTTCGTTCTTACTTCTTTAATTTTTTTTTGGGTATCATTTATGCTCACTTAATGTCTGTACAGAAAATAATTAACACAATTCAAATATTTAAGGATTAATCAACATTTGCTCGGCACCATCACTTGACGATTTTTCAATGGAAATAAATGGTAATGCACCAATTTTTATGATTGACTTTGAGTTTCTTGATATTTTTGTGGTTTTTTGCATGACTCTTGCTTTTAGTTCCTCAATTCTTTTGTTTACTATCTTTTGGACTTTTATACTCCAGCATAAACTTTTAAGTTGATATGAATCTGAAGACCTTATGTCTTAATTCCAAAGAATTTACTTTTAACTCATTAAAACGCATTAAATCCTTCACATCAGTTTCAACACAAGATATATAGATGTGCTCATACAAAAATATCGCAGTTTTTAAACGTCAAAAATTTGAATTTTCTAAAAACACTAACACTATAAAAGAAAATTTTCAATTTTTGTTTTGCAAAATTTTCAACTTTCTGTTAAGTTTTGTTGATACAGGAGTATTGCAAATGCTTTGCTATAATTTAAAGAAACTGACTTAAGACAAATGTTGTTGCATCTGTCGATATTTAAATGAAAACTTGAAAATAGAAAATTTTAAAAATTTTTGTTTGTATAAGTACACAAAAAATAGTATGGTCGAGTATGGTCAAGTATACTCTGTATGAGCCCATCTATATATCTTGTTTCAACATAAAATTTATTATACCGTTCAGCTTTGCTAGTTCCATGCAGACAACAAAGACATCAGCAGGGTTTCTAAAATCATTTGATTGCGCAAGTTGTATTTCAAACCATTCTTTGATAATATTATGTTGCACCTCTGCATGACCATTCGTCCAACATTCATTTCTTTTATCCATAAATTATCGTTTCTCTCCATCTCCATCTCCTTCATTTTTATTTCAATTTCAATATTTTATTGCCTTGCCGCCATTAAATCAAGAAAGAAAGAAAGAAAAGAAAAAGAAATGAAAAAATGTATAAAACCACGAGAAACGAGTTGAAATCTATTTTGTGGCATTGCGTGATTAAGACTTAATTTATGTTGCTAGCCGACTTATGCTCACCCTGCACGAAACTCTCATCAAAATGGTGGAAATAGAATTATTTCCATCAATTTATCAAACTTTTTTATTTTCGTTTGTCATATCGAGTCATATCATCAATCATTAAAAGCGATGAGGCATCAAGTAAAGGAAATGTTTTTGTATACTTAAGGAACGATCGTTATAAGTATATTTCAGGCAGATCGGCAAAATATTTTCTAAAATGCATCAACAAACGATGCAAAAAAATGTAAATTTTATGACTTAATTTGATGCCGTTGCCTCCTTTATTTTTATGGAACCAACGGATCCTTTTTTGTATGCTATGCTTTGATCCTCCATTTTCGCATTTATGTCTTCTTCGATCCTTTTATGATTGTGTGTATTGATGCCTGTATCTTTCTGCTTCGTCTACATGCTTCAGTCATTTAAAGATGGTGCAATAAATGTTGAAAGGAGCAACCAGTCATAAAACCTTTCTCATCTGTTTTAATGAGATTTTTATGTAAATTTTCTTCTTTCTATTCTTTCTTTAATGAGATTAAAAGTATGCACTGAACAAATCCAATTTCTTGTCTCTCGAAAAAATAACAAACAAGCTAGAATTGGTTGTAATAATAAGAATACTAATAACAATGACAATAACAACAAGCATGAAGGTAATGAAAAGATTTTAATTATGAAACAATGGATTCTTATTGTCTTAATAGTTTACGTAATTTTTCTTTGCCTTGTTCTCAGTTCAAATTAGAGTTAAAACTAATGTAAAGTTGTTAATTGATTTTTTGAAGGATTCCATTGACCTTCGTTGCTTTAAATATTCAAAAATTATAAGTGTTGAACATACTTGTATCTTACAATCAATATCGAAAAATAGGCAACAAAATAATTTAAGAGATGTCATTGGGGAAACACCGCCTTAATCCCAACAAATTTTATTGCTATGAGATTATGCCTTTCCATTGTACGATGGAGTCATCATGTGGATATAAAAAGTTTCTTATCAATCCACACTCATTCAATAACAATAATAGTATGTAGAACAGACATACATGCAATGTATTGTTATCAGTCATACACATTCAAGCTGCTTTTTTAGTTCGTACCTAGTCAAATGATTTTGATTTCCGCGTGAGGCATTTTTGACACTTTAAAAATGAAAAATTTAAAAAAAGTAAGGAATGACTGAATAAAATTTAAATCCATTAAACTTTTCTTAATTCTACTATCGTTTCTCAGTCTTTGTCGGCACAAATGAACTCCTCACATGTTTGTTATCAGTCCGATTCATACGATGAATTAACTATCGACTTTTTAATGATACCGCGAGCATATCCAGACCTAATTTCTGTTTACATTCACTCGAGTGATGAGTCTCAAAAAACTTTTTTTCGGTATCTAATCCCACCAGACACACATTTTTTAAACAAGAAGTTGGGCAACTTCAAACATTCGTTACACTTCCCATGAGATTTTTCTTTAGTTCTGCTTCTATTTTCTGTTATGTTGTTGGTCATGTGAAGGAACTTGAACAATATTGTGACTTTTTGTAAAACAGAATGAAAAATGTCCTTCATGCTTCAATTTCATTTTTGTACAACACATTCACAATGGTAGCCACAAGATTGGGCAAGAAGAAAGTGGTGAAATGTCCTACTGATTGACAATAACAGTAATTTCTTTCCTTTCTTTAAGTACCGAAAGCCATGAAGAAAATTGCGATGATGTTTCAGTTTATTTCTCCCTGTTGACACCATCAATTTATGAGGACAATGAATTCCATTTCTTCTTTTATTGCTTGCACTTTATGATCATTTATAGGTTGTTATTGTGATACTTTATTGGCTCTTTTGTGAGTTTTTGCATTGTTTTGACTGAGAAAGGGTTGTGAATTGAATCTTATTGACAATTGACGATCAAATTCTATTCTGATTGAGATGAAAATGTTCTCACATGATAAATAGCTTCACATAGATAAAAAGTGATACATTCTCGATACAATATTGAGGGGTGATGCTGATGATTTTTCTTCCTTCATCGCTGAATATTCATATTCAGAGGGTTTCATATCTAGAAATCAAATCAACTGCTTAATTTACTCAATTGCTCACAAGAGACTTGAAGCTCTTAACAATTTCGTACACTTATCACCCTCTTACAGTTCGTTTTAATTTTTATTTCGATATGCTATATAGTGTGAATTTTCGCAAAAATTGTAGACAAAGGTGTGTTATTGTATGATAAATTAAGTTCAATTTTTTTTCGCAACTTTCAAATTTGAATGGTGAAGAAATTAGCAATTTTAATTTCTTAATTGATTTTTTAAATTTCTCATATTTCACAACTCTCTAAGTCTAAAGTTTTTTTTTTAATCAAAGTTAATTTGCCGTCAAAACATTTCTTTATGTTTTAATAACTCTTTAAGCACAAAATTGTATTGTGAGCTATGAAGATTATGCGCAAGTTGTGTTTCTCTTATCAGTGATGAATTATTTCCACTTTTGTTTACAAAATTATTTTATTTTACTTCTTTATCTTCCTTATCATCCTCTAGTTCACACTTTTCATTTTTTATATATTTTTTTATTCCCTTTTTCTTTTATTTGTTGAGCCTTAGTCAAATGTATTCTCTTTGTGTGCATATCTCTCTTATTCTTCTAGTTATTTAAATAAGCTATAAAAAAAGTCAAAGAAGAGTTATTCAACGATGTTTAAGCTAAAATGAGGTTATAACTTACAATTAGATTAATTGCGCTTTAAATTAGAGTTCAGATGCTGAGCATAATATTGATATTTAATTCTTTAATAAAGTTAAGTATGATCGGGAAACAAATATAAAATCTCAATTTAGTTCATTGAATTTATCAACTTACACTTTTAATATCTCATTCTTAAAAAAGCAGCATGAGTTTTCAGAAAACATATTAAAATGTTTGTTGTCTGATGATGAAATCAGATACAAAGTTGAAGATTTTTTTGTTTATCTTTATCTTTAGCAAAAAATAGCGAACACTTCAAATAATTAATTGGATCGCGTTATCTTCATTCATTTAATTACTCAAAATATTTTTATTGTTTATGACACTTTCAACGCTTGTGAAATATAATCAAAATCCACACTCCTCTAGATTGATAAAAATTTTGTTTAATTTTTTTTTTCGTTCATTTCGATAAGATTTGATTTTTATTTATCAATGTAGAATTCTCATGAATTTTGTTATTATTATTTCTTCCAGGAAAAACTCGAACAAAAGACAAGTATCGCGTAGTTTATACTGATCATCAAAGATTGGAGTTGGAGAAGGAGTATCATTATACAAGATACATTACTATTCGTAGAAAGACAGAGTTATCACAAATTTTATCATTATCAGAAAGACAAGTGAAGATTTGGGTAAAAATCTCAGCATTAAATTGCCAAAGACTTTATATCTATTATATAATAATTTTTCTCATTTAAATAGTTTCAAAATAGACGTGCAAAGGACCGAAAACAAAAGAAGAAGGTTGATACAGGTATGCCAATGTCAGCATGCCAATCTTCCGCAAATATATCATCTCTACTCGATGTTAAACCTAAACTAGATCCAGCGCTACACTTTCAACATCTTCAGATGAATTCTTTAGGCCTTAGATTACGATAAATGAATTTGCTTTAATTAGATAAGGAAAAGAATTGTTCACGAAAGCCTTTTAACTGTTTTATTGTAACTTTAAATTATTATTTTAAGTCTAGAAAGTTAACAAGCATTATTAATTCACATAAAAGTATTATGGAACTTGACTTTACTTTATCATAACAATTTAGCCATTAAATGCACAAACAATGAAATAAATGAAAATGTACATATATATCACAATAAAGTCTGTTTTATTTCCGATTTAACGTCTTCAATATGTCCAATTAAATACGAAAAATGTATGCACAAGATGATAAACTCCGAAAACGTGATAAAATTCGTGGAAGATAAAAAGACACGAAAATATTTGCCTTGAAAAATTATCAAGATGTGTTGGTTGTCGTCAGATGAACGATTAAATATCACTGGAACTGTACGAAATTGTTCTCTTCTTTCCTTCTAGTTGTCAACAAACTCCCATGACAGCCATAAAAATTTGTTCAGATTTTCTCCCCCTAAGAATATACATCATTGGCAAAAAGATTAGAAAAACTTGCTGATTTTGTTGCTTAAAGATGTTTTTGTCTATTAATTTTAGTTTTTGCGATAAGGACTAGACAAACTTCATTTCTTTAAGTTTTCTATCAATCAAAAATAAGAACCTTTATAAAATAGGATTTTTTTATTTTTTCATATCTATTGGAAGCATTAACAATTGACAAATAATCTGACTTATTGTCAAAGGATGTAAATTAAAAATTTATAACTCACGATAAGATTATCAGTGTCGGCTTTTCCGGGAAGTAAGATTTAATTCTTAAAGAATATGATACAGCAGTCAATACTAGTATAAAACCATGATATCGACTTTCTAAGTCCTTGACAAAGTGTGGAAATTTTTAAAGCTTCAAAGTTGTGAACACGTGGCGATAATTTGTCAGATAAGAACCGCTTCAAAAGCTATTTTTGCTCAAGAATTATCTTATTAAATTAAATTTTTAACCTGATTATCCTTAAGTATCCGTCTTTTAATAATAAAGTGTGTTGAGATAAGTTAATACGTCTTGTTTAATATCTGGACAGTTCTCAAAAGCTTGTGCTTGTTGAGACATTTATCAGTCAACGATTGTTGCCTCAAATATCCCTCGCTATTGTTTTTCAATGGGTTGAGGCATGATTCACTTTATATTATGGATGATTTTTAAGGCATCATTTTTCTCTATAAATTGATAAAGTAACAGATTTTCGCTGGATTTTAATATTTTAGAATTCAGTGACATCAGAAATTTTTAATATAAAGATTCTTAAACGAAACTCAGTAATTGACTGGTAAAATTTCATACTCAAAATAATTAAATATCTAATATCCATGTATATCTGATTACTCAGACAAACCTAATAATATTCACACAACATGTTCAAGCTATTAATCACCACATTATTGCTTAGGTTAGTTGATTTAAATATACCTACAAGTACATAACACGTGATAACAGAGCAAACAAAAGGCAATTAATACTTGCGATTTCAGAGGCAGGTAATTAAAATGTAGGAAAAAAATGTTAAACAAATTATTCACTTTGAGTGTATTTTTTGTGTTCTTTATTTTTTCATATTTTCTTCTTTTTCAGCTCAAGAAAAAAATGTTTATCGATTACAATTTGTTTTGTTCGTTTGATATTTGCAGAGCATTAGCAAAAAAATGGAATGAATTTTAATAAATAGAAGTCTATTTTCGTCAAAAGGATTCTTATTAATGATTTTAAAGATTGTTTTTTTTTTGATAACAGAATAATTTTATTTTACTATCTAGTTCATTAATTCTTTAAATTTAACTTTCATACCTCATGTATGAAGGTTGTGTACAAAGATTGGATTAAAGTTGAAATCAGATGAATGTTTTTATAGCTCTATGCTTAAATTTTACAGTCCGTAATCTTTCAAAATGTTCATTCAATTGCTTGCAACTGAATTTAACTTCCTCCAATCTCTGACATGATTTACTAGCCTAAAGCAAATTTCGTAATAATTTTAATTTCACAATTTCTGCTTTTTTATTCATTAATCTCGTAAAATAGTTTAATTTACAATAAATCCTTTTACATTTCAAGCAGCATAGTGTGGGCGCAGTTCTCATTTTTGCGACAGAGTTGGATCATTTTAATGTTTCTAACAGTTTTTAAATGTAAGTTTATTGTTGATAAGTTTTTTGGGTTGGTTTTTTTTACAATTATATTATAAAATCTCTTAAATCGTTTTAAGACGCAAACCGACTCTTATTCTTTTAATGTTTTACCTCTAGATCCCCTTTTAAAGGCAGTGGTATTGCTCGTTAAATTGAATTTTGATCGCTTTTCTCGTTCATACTTAAAAGTAAACTGATCTCAAGAAGATTCCAAAAACCGAATGATTCTAAGCATCAATAGATCAAGACTTAACGCAATTACTAAGAAAAATTATTCGATATTTAAACTTGGAAAAATCTTAGATAATTTTGAATCCAAATAAAAACACATTTTTTTAATTCGAGAAATATTTTTAATACTTAATAAAAATCTAAGGTTTACTTACAAAAAAATGTATGTCCAACTCTGTCTTACTTTGTGTTACAGAATTTTCAATATTATTAAATCTAAGAAATTTTTACTTAAGTTCTAAATTTTCTTGCACTAATATTTTTAAAATTACGCTTATATTTGCATAAGTTTTCATTGCACTTAATTTTGTTTTCGTTGAAGCAACAAAAAATTAAAGTTTTTTAAGAGTTCGTCGTAATTCTCAGGGGTACAATCTTTAAGATTTTTTTTAAAATAATCCAGCCTAAGAATATTTGTTTAAAAACTTGTTTTAAACACTAGAAAAGTTTGAAACTCTAGTATTCACTTATTAATTGAATTCATGATATAAATTTATTTATAAATTCCCAACGGACGGTTTGAGATTTTCTTTTACTTTAAAGAGGGTTGAGGCTGATTAAAATTTTCAATAATTTCCCTAACATCAAATTTATCTTCTGGAAAATCAAAAAGCATGAAGATATGTTGCATCAATCTTATTCAACCTCAAACCAAATATTTACGGTCAACAAAAATGGAATGATCCTTCATAATATGAAGAATGTTTAACGGAGCAGGAAATTTAAAATTCAATAAGCTTTTTGTAAAATTTATAAACCTATAAAATAATTTTCATAATATCCTTAACGATTTTCGTTTCACATTTGAAATAATATTTGATTAAAAAAATTTCAGGAAGTGCTAGTCGCAAAATTGAAGAATATCCAATTTTCACGGTTAACATTTTCTGAATATAATAAAACAAAATAATATTAAAACACAATAATGAATAAAAATAAATTGATAAAAATCTTCAATTCATCAGCATTGGCGATGGAGATGATTGTGGATGTGATGCTGATGAAGTTGGAGGCATTGGTGGTGGTAAATGTGAATGTAAATGTGGATGAAGTCCCATTTGTGACATATTCATACCCATTGCACTCATCTGATGTAAATGCTGTAAATGCAGTGATTGTTCCAATTTTGGTTTCACATCCAATAAACTTGAGAGATTTGAATGTGGGTTGCATGAACTATTAACATGGGATTGTGTTAAAATTGTTTGACCATTCATTGAAATTGGGATGCCAGCGTCAATCTTCTTCTTTTGTTTGCGATCTTTTGCGCGTCTGTTTTGGAACTGTGGAATGAACAAAATAAAATAATAATGAGTCAGAAGATCATTCAGTTTTTATTTAAATTTTTTAATTCCTTACCCATATTTTCACTTGTCTTTCAGACAATCCTAAAGCTTGTGCTAACTCTGCCTTTCTGCGTATTGTGATATATCTTGTATAATGGAATTCTTTCTCAAGTTCTAGTCGTTGATGGTCTGTATATACTACTCGGTATTTATCCTTCGTTCTAGTTTTGCCTGTAAAAAAAGCAACAAAAACAATTTGTTAAAACACTTAAAATAAAATTTGTGAAAGAATTCATGCAATAAATAGAAAAAGGATTCGATTCTTAACACAAAAAGAGAACGAACCATAACAGAAAAGAAAACATACACAAAAAGAGAATGAAAGGAAATAAAGTATTTATACAGCCACAAGTCTCTCAAATTCATAAAATAAATTGTTTACAGAAAACAAACGAAAAAGAAGGAATTGCATACAAACAGAAAAATATATTTACTTCTAAAAAGTTCATTCATCATTGATAAGCGTAGTAAAGTAAAGTTAAATAAATTAAACTCCTTAACTCATTCATCATTTAGTAAGAAATGGACAAGAAGAAGATTTAAATGAGCATACGTGACTATTTACCAAATTCGATGATGAATTTGATATTAAATATTGATCAATCGAGGAATTTTTGATGCTTGATTTTAAATTCATTTTTAAAAACTATTTCAATTTTTATTATGTTTAGAAATAGAACCAAACATACGTTTATAATAACTATATAAACTTATTCACCGAAAATTCTATTCCAACATATGCGAGCAATGTAAACTTTAGCGAAAATCTACCCTCAAAATTTTAATATCCTCTAAAAATAAGTTGAAGTAATGAGGCATATGCGCCATACAATAAATTGCGCAAGTGTCTTCAAAAATAACTGTCACAATCAATAAAAAAAACGACAACAAAAAAAAAATGAAATTCTTTTTACACTCGAAAGATAAAGCAACGCTTATCATGCAACAGCGAGACTAAATTGCCAATCTATGGCGACTATCAAAAAAAATTTCATTCACAAAAAAAGAGAGCAAAGCGAGAAAATAAAAATAAATTGATAAGGAAAAAAAATTTTATGTGATAAGAAAATGTGAGTAAAAGAGTAGGGGAACTACAACAGACATTAGAGGTATAGACAACAAGATAATAACAACTAAGATGAAAAATGTAATGATAAGGGAGTGAAAATTACTTGAACCATTTCACAATTTTCAGCCTATGAATAAAATTATCAAAAATTATTTTTTTCTTACATGCTCAATTGACAAGAGACAAGAAAATTATTTGCGGTGAATTATGAAGTGATTTCTGAACAGAGAAAGAGAAAATCCCGTGGGTGTGATTGCGTAAATTAAGCAGTTGATTTGATTTCTAGAAATGAAACCCTCTGAATATGAATATTCAGCGATGAAGGAAGAAAAATCATCATCAGCATCACCCCTCAATATTGTATCGAGAATGTATCACTTATGGTCTATGTGAAGCTATTTATCATGTGAGAACATTTCCATCTCAATCAGCACAGAATTTGATCGTCAATTGTCAATAAAAATCAATTCACAACCCTTTCTCAGTCAAAACAATGCAAAAACTCACAAAAGAGCCAATAAAGTATCACAATAACAACCTATAAATGATCATAAAGTGCAAGCAATAAAAGGAGAAATGGAATTCATTGTCCTCATAAATTGATGGTGTCAACAGGGAGAAATAAACTGAAACATCATCGCAATTTTCTTCATGGCTTTCGGTACTTAAAGAAAGGAAAGAAATTACTGTTATTGTCAATCAGTAGGACATTTCACCACTTTCTTCTTGCCCAATCTTGTGGCTACCATTGTGAATGTGTTGTACAAAAATGAAATTGAAGCATGAAGGACATTTTTCATTCTGTTTTACAAAAAGTCACAATATTGTTCAAGTTCCTTCACATGACCAACAACATAACAGAAAATAGAAGCAGAACTAAAGAAAAATCTCATGGGAAGTGTAACGAATGTTTGAAGTTGCCCAACTTCTTGTTTAAAAAATGTGTGTCTGGTGGGATTAGATACCACAAAAAAAGTTTTTTGAGACTCATCACTCGAGTGAATGTAAACAGAAATTAGGTCTGGATATGCTCGCGGTATCATTAAAAAGTCGATAGTTAATTCATCGTATGAATCGGACTGATAACAAACATGTGAGGAGTTCATTTGTGCCGACAAAGACTGAGAAACGATAGTGGAATTAAGAAAAGTTTAATGGATTTAAATTTTATTCAGTCATTCCTTACTTTTTTTATATTTTTTATTTTTAAAGTGTCAAAAATGCCTCACGCGGAAATCAAAATCATTTGACTAGGTACGAACTAAAAAAGCAGCTTGAATGTGTATGACTGATAACAATACATTGCATGTATGTCTGTTCTACATACTATTATTGTTATTGAATGAGTGTGGATTGATAAGAAACTTTTTATATCCACATGATGACTCCATCGTACAATGGAAAGGCATAATCTCATAGCAATAAAAATTTGTTGGGATTAAGGCGGTGTTTCCCCAATGACATCTCTTAAATTATTTTGTTGCTTATTTCTCGATATTGACTGTAAGATTCAAGTATGTTCAACACTTATAATTTTTGAATATTTGAAGCAACGAAGGTCAATGGAATCCTTCAAAAAATCAATTAACAACTTTACATTAGTTTTAACTCTAATTTGAACTGAGAACAAGGCAAAGAAAAATTATGTAAACTATTAAGACAATAAGAATCCATTGTTTCATAATTAAAATCTTTTCATTACCTTCATGCTTGTTGTTATTGTCATTGTTATTAGTATTCTTATTATTACAACCAATTCTAGCTTGTTTGTTATTTTTTCGAGAGACAAGAAATTGGATTTGTTCAGTGCATACTTTTAATCTCATTAAAGAAAGAATAGAAAGAAGAAAATTTACATAAAAATCTCATTAAAACAGATGAGAAAGGTTTTATGACTGGTTGCTCCTTTCAACATTTATTGCACCATCTTTAAATGACTGAAACATGTAGACAAAGCAGAAAGATACAGGCATCAATACATACAATCATAAAAGGATCGAAGAAGACATAAATGCGAAAATGGAGGATCAAAGCATAACATACAAAAAAGGATCCGTTGGTTCCATAAAAATAAAGGCGGCAACGGCATCAAATTAAGTCATAAAATTTACATTTTTTGCATCGTTTGTTGATGCATTTTAGAAAATATTTTGCCGATCTGCCTGAAATATACTTATAACGATCGTTCCTTAAGTATACAAAAACATTTCCTTTACTTGATGCCTCATCGCTTTTAATGATTGATGATATGACTCGATATGACAAACGAAAATAAAAAAGTTTGATAAATTGATGGAAATAATTCTATTTCCACCATTTTGATGAGGATTTTGTGCAGCGTGAGCATAAGTAAGCTAGCAACATAAATTAAGTCTTAATCACGCAATGCCACAAAATAGATTTTAACTCGTTTCTCGTGGTTTTATTCATTTTTTCATTTCTTTTTCTTTTCTTTCTTTCTTTCTTGATTTAATGGCGGCAAGGCAATAAAAAATTGAAATTGAAATAAAAATGAAGGAGATGGAGATGGAGAGAAACGATAATTTATGGATAAAAGAAATGAATGTTGGATGAATGGTCATGCAGAGGTGCAACATAATATTATTAAAGAATGGATTGAAATACAACTTGCGCAATGAAATGATTTTAGAAACCCTGCTGATGTCTTTGTTGTCTGCATGGAACTGACAGAGCTGAACGGTATAATAAATTTTATGTTGAAACTGATGTGAAGGATTTAGAGCGTTTTAATGAGTTAAAAGTAAATTCTTTGGAATTAAGACATAAAGTCTTCAGATTCAAATCAACTTAAAAGTTTATGCTGGAGTATAAAAGTCCAAAAGATAGTAAACAAAAGAATTGAGGAACTAAAAGCAAGAGTCATGCAAAAAACCACAAAAATATCAAGAAACTCAAAGTCAATCATAAAAATTGGTGCATTACCATTTATTTCCATTGAAAAATCGTCAAGTGATGGTGCCGAGCAAATGTTGATTAATCCTTAAATATTTGAATTGTGTTAATTATTTTCTGTACAGACATTAAGTGAGTAAAATGATACTCAACAAAAATTTAAGAAGTAAGAACGAAAGTGCAAAGTTAAATAAAGAAATAAATATTTTGTTGCTGTGCATCAGCTGCCTAATAGTTCAATATATAGTTTCAGTGTTAATTAATGTGAGAAAATTGAAATAAAAATTCTTGTTTGAAAAGTTGTTTGTGCCTTAAAAGGGCATCAAGAGCCATTTTATGAACCATCAAGAGAAGAAATAAAACATTTTTATGTCTACATCGTAAATCATGTACAACTGAATATGAAGATTCAATAGAAATATTAAGAATGAAACGAGTGTGACTGTATTGAGCATCTTCTTCCTTTTTCTATCTCCAATATATACATATTCGAATAATTTGGCTCCATAAATCTATCTTTAGAATTTCTAATAAAATGAAATAAAATCAGAACTGGACAAAGGTGTTCGAGCAGCATGAATAGAACTTTTTGACACCAACACATTTGAAAGTTTCAAAATAATAACAAAAAAAAAAAAGAATTGAATTGAATTAAATTCTTACCTGGATTTGGCTGACTCTGATATGATGGTTTCTTCATCCACTCATATGGACTTTTGACAGGAGTTGGTCGTGAAGAAATTTGTGGTGATGAAGATGGAGCTCCAGGTGAGCTCATATCACTTCCTGAATGTACAGTCACAGGTGGTGATGGTAAACTTGGAATTGCATCATTCATATGATGATGATTATTTGATTCATTCTGTGCTGATGCTGCTTGATTTAATGAAAGAAAGGCTGCAGCACCAGGACTATTTCCTAATCCACTACTACCCGTTCCAAGAGATCCATTTTGTGGCGATGATGTGTAGTTGTCATGTCCCCAATCTGGCGACGGTTGAGGCAACATGTGAGGTGCATAATGATGATACATGTGTTGAGGTGGTCCATCTGGATCGAGAAATTGTGCTGCATTTGGAGGCTGATGATGATAATTTGATGAATACCATGCAGCGGACGGTGATGCAGAATATGGCAAATTGGAACCACTGCTGTGATTCTTTTGATACATCGCGAATGGATGATTATAATAAGACACCATAATTGTAGCTAATAATTCTTAATATTCTCTTAAAGCACATAAATCACTGCATTAATCTCATGTCAATTTATAGACAAATTAAATAGTTTTCGAATTCACTTCTGTTCTTATTACACTAATTGATTAATCACTTAATGATGATAATTATTTGCGTCAAGTGGACCATAAAATTCCTTTTCTTTCTCACTCATTCAAATATAGTAAAATTAATAAAAATATTACAATAGCAAATAAAAATCCAATAAATAATTTTTAAATCAATAGTTTTTCTTTCTATGACTTTGTCTCTTCCTCAATGGATATTTTAATATTTTTTTGATATTTATTTTTTTTTTATTTGGAAACTTTAACTCACGAGTATGTCGTCTTGACTTCACGACGTTTACAAATCAATTGAGCGTAATGTGAGCAGAAAACTTTTCTATTTGGTATTTTTGTGTTGAGCTTTTTGTGGGCGGAGCTTAACATTTAAGATAATGCCAGCAAATCATGAGAAATCATGAACAAAATGGAACGCCATAATGAAATAAGTCTTCTTGTTATTCTTTTTATCCACTTTTTCTCGACTTTTAAATGAGAAATAAAATTCGTGATGAAAAGACTTGAATGATGTCTAAAAATACTAAGGCAATAGCAATAATAATTTATTAATGTCTTGACATGATTCGATTTTAATTCTTCAATTAGTGTTAAAGGCAGGCAGCATCAATTAATGCACAATTAGCTTTCAACAAATTTGATCTTTGAGGTAAGAGAAATTGAGCTTAGAGAAGTGAGTCTTGATGCTTTGTTATTGTGAATTGTGAGGGGTTTGATCAAATCAGTCAGTGTGAGTATGAGCATATATCACAATTGATGAAATACAAGAAGAGCAATAAAGTTTTAATTACTCAAATGCAAAAGTAGATTGCCGCAAATTAATTTTTTCACGTAGCTTTGTCGGTGTTAAGCAATCGATTAAAATGAATCGAATTAAAGAAAATTAAACTCAATAACTGATTAGCGTCCATCGTTGATATCGAAATGTGTTTTAATTAGAAATTTTGGCAATCATGCAGATAGTAACCAGTTTTTCCTGGTAATTGAAATGACACGTAATACGTTGGCAAAACTTATCAAGCCTCATAAAAGCAAATTTCACCAAGACTTTTTTTTTTCGTCAAAAGCAGCAAAAAGCACTAAGCAAGGAAAAATTTTAATGGTTTATTTTGTACTCAAATAGACATGTGCAATTAAAAGGCGGCTCTTCAACCTCTTTTGAATGATAAGATTGTCATGTTTATTGGCGTTAATAAATTCTTATCAACACTCGTCGCTCGTTATTGCGCTGTTGTAAATTTCTTTAAAAAATTTTATTAAACTCTTCCAATTTTTAAGATTTGATAATGTGAATAACTTTATAAGGTTTATTGGAGTTCTATTAGATTGAAGACGCTTGATTTTTATTGCCTTCTCTAGTTCAAAACTACTCAATAAACTTGACATGTATTTATAATATTATATATTAGTATTGGTAAGGCCTAGTGATTCCTAAAGTCAGTTTTAACTTAATTAACTTGATATTTTGGTAGTGAGTTTCTAATCGACGAATCACCAGTTTTATTCAATTGAAGCCTGCATGAAGATTGTCAGTTTGAGAAAAAACCGTTACACAAAAAATTTGAATTTGAATTGTTGTAAATCTTGAAGGAACAGGGTTGGTGACTATTCTTTAAAGTTTATGTAATCAAGTTTCTGTTCTAATAATCATTGCTGAATCAATTTAAAGTTTATCAATTCGATTATTAATCTCCAATTTGTTGTGAAAAATTAGCAAAATCAAGTTAAATCCTCCAAAAATTGTATAAAATCATATTCTAAAACACGGGAACCTACCCTGAAAAAATCCCTTGTAAAATTGTAAAAATCCGTAAACAAACTTATTTTTTGCCAAAAAAAGTGTATTTTTAAGAAATTAATAGATTAATTAAAGATTTAATCATTAGAATCAATTAAAAAAGTAGCAAACGATGAATAAGGAAGAAGATGAAGAGATGTGGACAGAGGATATGGATGGATTTCCAGCAACAGGCGAATTTAGCTTACAAAATATTGCAAAAAACTTTTCAAAACAGGATTATATTATGGAACCGTCTATTTTCCTTCAATTAAAGAGGTAAAACAGTAAATTGCATGATGTGTATACTTATCTAATCTAATGTTTGTTATGTCCATAGATACTTTCAAGCCGGCGGAGAACCAGAGCTTGTAATTGACCAACTATCACAAAATTATACAGCAACAGCTCAAATGGCTAATTTACTAGCTGATTGGCTTGTTGTAGCTGGAATGGATGGAATTGAAGTTCAAGCTATGGTTGAAAATCATCTAAAAGACATGATTTTAAAGATTTTTGATCCAAAGAAGGCAGATACAATCTTCACGGAAGAAGGTGAAACACCATCGTGGTTGACAATGTTAATTGAGCATAAGACATGGAGAGATTTAATATATCGATTAGCTGAAGAATATCCAGACTGTTTGATGTTAAATTTTACAATTAAGCTAATTTCTGATGCTGGCTATCAAAGTGAAATCACGTCGATTTCAACAGCAGCACAACAACTGGAGGTTTTCTCCCGTGTCCTTAAAACATCCATTACAAAAATCTTATCAAAGAATCCATCAGACGAAGAGTGGCATACAGCAATAGAAGAATTAGCAAAAATGGTATGTTTTGGTCAGCACACTTATATCTATTCTCAAATCTTAGTTCATGTATTAGCGCAAGAAACAAAAGGTGGACATAATATGAAACGTATTGCACAAGAAGTGCAACAATATGCTTTAAGAAATGGACTGAATGTAACTCCAATGACAATGGCACTTTACGGAAACACACAAATTGAACATCCACAAGCTTGTGAAGCTTTATCTTCAATGTTATCAAGAAATTGCTTAAATCCAGCTGATATTAATGTCCTTTATCGATGCTATTCAAGCACGTCACCTGCTCCACCAATTGATCTCGTTCGTAATCCCCAATTTCTTGATCTTTTGGTTGATTCACTTTTTAAAGCAGGCGTTAAAATTAATCAGGAACATAAATCAAAATATATTTATCTTCTGGCTTATGCGTCAAGTGTAAGTGAAACAATGTCAGGAAAGAAAGGCTCAAATAAGCAAAAAGTCATTCATAAAGAAGAATTAAAGCCAACAGTACAAGCTATTGAGCAAGTCCATTCCATTTGTAATTTAAATAAAGGATCGACGGAATTAATTGCAGAAATTCAAGCGCTTTATAACTGCATTAAATTCCCAGTTGTTGGCGTTGGCCTCATTCGATGGATTGAAGCAACAGTAACGGAACCGTCATTCTTTAAGTTATGCACTGAATCAACTCCCATTCATTTGGCCATTCTCGATGAAATAGCAAATGTTCATCCATCATTACATGATGGAATCCTTAAACTTCTGATTCGACTCTTTGAATCGAAACAAGACGAATTGGAAATTTTAGTGCAATTAGAGTTGAAGAAAATGTTGCTTGATCGAATGATTAATTTACTGACTAGGGGCTGTGTTATGCCAGTTGTTAAATACATCAAGCAATGTTGTGCTAAAGGTGATACAGACGTTTCATTAATTCGTTACTTTGTAACTGAAGTTCTGGAAACTATTACGCAACCATATTCACCAGAATTTGTAAGTCTATTCCTGCCTATGGTCGAGAATGAAGACATTACAAATCGTATGAATGACGAGGAAAATGATCCATTTGCTGAGTTTATTGGTAAGTTATTTTATTATATGTACAAAAGACATGCAATATAGTAACAACAAAAACATAAATTTATGACTAATACTTACTTTTATGTACCTTTTCTTTACAGTACAAGCGAGAGCCAATATGTTTAGTAACTGAGCTTGTAACAGAAATAAAAGTGAGATGGAAAAAAAGCTCGACGACAAAAAAAATTAATGGGTGGAGCTAAAATTCGTAGCAAGTAATTTTTATGCTTTTCTCTCTTTTTGCGTTTGTTCAAATAAAATGAATTTTTTTTCAATAAGAACTTCTTTACAACTTAATTATGCTTAATTTCTTACAGTGGATAATATTTTTGTTGCAATAATTTTATGAGAAAATTGGCAGTGATTATGAATTTATTGAGAGCAAAAACTTTGTAGACTGATTTGCAGCCATTTTTATTACAAACCTTATCAATCTTAAGTAATTTACTTCATTTTAGTCACAATCAAAAATTAACTTTTCAAATTCTAAGTTTATATTTTGGTTTTAAAACCAGCCACAAATCAGTGGAAAGTCATCAACAAAGTTAGCCAAACAGCAACAGTATGAAGGAAACTCAAAAAGAAAATTGTCTCGAGATTCCAAAGAATTTCAGAATTCAGGAATTTTCAATGCCAAATTTCAAATAAATCATTTACTTAATTGATTGGAAGATAAACAAGCACCATCAGATTATTAATTTTATTTTCGAACTATGGTTCAGGCGATCTACATATCTTAAAACAGTCAATTCAATTCATTGTATTGAAATGTAGATTGATGTCTATGAAACTTAAACAAAATATGTAGAACAAGACATATTAAAATGTTTTTCAATAACTGAACAGTCTCAAATCATAATAAGCTGTAACCTTATTAAGTTTAACAAATTCACTTTCGAAATTTACTATTTTAATTAATTTATAGACCAACAATTAAAAAGTTCGTTAATTTTGCCAATGCTTTGTTTGTTGATCATCAATCGGCATTTTCACTTTCAATTCCATTTTTCCTGCTACCTGGTATGTAAAATATATTGATCCTAATTGCATCTTTTAATGGATTTCCCGGTGCATGAAATGTGCTGTAGAGGTAAGAGACAAAAGAATTGCTGCTGCCCCCCAAAAAAGAGAATCCATCCATAAAACAATTTCGGCTTCCTTTGTGACTCAATCGAGTATAAGAATAACATAAATTAACAAAATAAATAAATAGAAAAATGGAGAAGGAGAAAATTTTACAGTTATTGATGAAAATTGCAAATTTGTTTGTCCTTTTGTGCCCATAAAACAGGCACGACTGTGTTTTATTAGGTGACAATTAAGAACAAAAAAAATCCCTTAACGCCCACAAAACTTTATATGGAGATAAAAGAGAAGACAAAGAACCTGGTATAAAATATAATTGGATACATAAAATTACCTGAAAGTGGACGTGATTTTAACGGAAAATTTTTCTCATATCGTCGGCAATAAAACTTAATTTTAAATGATCGGCAAAAGCTTATTTTTAGCCAATACTCATATTTTTAAAAATGCCAATTTTTAAGATCAGCTTGAGAATATATAATTAAGTCGTAAACATTTTTGAAATTATTCATATGATTAACATTTTTTGAAAGGTCAAAATTGGGAGTTTGATGCATAAGAATCAATGTTTTTGGAAAACTGAGAGTAATTTTCATAATATTCAATACTGAATTCTAATTCTGTTTCAGTGTTGTAAATGTAGATGTCTACACTAGATGAAGAATGTAGATTCTTCAATAGTTTTTGTCTAGCTAAGAAACTTTCTCCATAAAGATCGATTCTATATGAAGATAGAAAATCTAATCTACACAAAGATTATTTCTACATAAAGATTCTGTCTACATAAAGATTCGATGTAGATGTCTACAATTCTACATTTTTTCCAGGTCTACATCAGAGAAGAATGTAGAATTGTAGACATCATCGAATCTTTATGTAGAAATAATCTTTGTGTAGATTAGATTTTCTATCTTCATGTAGAATCGATCTTTATGAAGAAATATCTGTCTCAGAATTTATCTGATCCAGACAAATTACCAGAATGCAACACTGTTCTGTTTATTAAAATCAAATCGAATTTTTCAGAAAGTTATTCCAAACCATACAATTGTCATCTAAAGCGAACTTTTGAAGGGTTTTCAGGAATATTAATCAACATGTATTCACATTTCTTACAAATATTCTTTTTAAACAATTCTTCCTTCAATATTCAGCATAACAATGCATAAAACCAGCATTCAACAACATTTTTAAACCTAATATAGACTCTTTCGTTAAAAGTCTGATGAATTATTCACAAATCTTCATCAAAATTCAAGAAATTTCGTTAGGGGCTGTTCACTTATTACGTAACGCGAAAAAATGACTTCTTAGACCCCCCCCCCCCCCCTCGTAACAAAATTTGTATGAAAAAAAATTTCCTTGTTTGAACCGTAACAAAATCTTAGACCCCCCCCCCCTCCCCCTAAAAGCGTTACGTAATAAGTGAATGGCCCCTTAATTAAAATATTGTTTTCATCACAACGTTCCCAAATGATTAAGCTACAAACAAATTCTTAATTCAAAATGAGGGATTACGAGTTTCGTGTTAATTTAACACACTCTTATTCATCCATAAGATTTTCAATAAATTAAACAAACAACCTTTTCTGTAATTCCAAATTAAAAATATCCATCAAAGAGCTATAGAGCAGGCACAGTGAGCCTTCTTTTGTATCTGAAATTTTAATCTTCTTACATTTAAAAAATTCGAATGGAATGACTGAAGAAGAAATAAAATTTCCATAATTTACAATCGAAATCCATTTGATGGTCGAGTCATGCTTGATTTTGTGCCTCAGTATTTTTTATTGCCTTCATTTTCGACTCCTCCGTCTCGTTTCTTTTGCGTGGATCTTAATTAAAGCTTCTTTTGTTCCCATCATCATCAGTGTCGTTATCGTCCATCCATCGTCATGCACGAGATGGAGGAATGTGCTGTATATTTCTTTTTTGAACTAACTGACTAATGAACATGCGAGAGAGAAATGGCAAGAAGCAATAAAAGTGGTGCTCGGTGCTTTTCATTTTAATTAAAATAAATTTATGAAAATGGATGTTTGTGGACATATCACGAAAGTAAAACCATCTGCTTAATTTTAATGACTATAGCATTAATTTACAGGCAATTCGGGATGATTGTTATCGTAACTTTACTAAATTAATGAATCCCGTCGTGACTGTTTGCGTGAATGGAAATGAAAATGGACGTACAAAAGAAACTTTACAGCACGGAAGGGACGGAACGGCTTCTTTATGTTCTTTCTTCCTGAAATTCACTGAAATTTTATCAGATTAGTGCTAAAATATGTGAATGTAGAAGGTGCAAAGTTTTATGGCTCCGTGAATTCGCATGAACAGCTCTTACAAAGACCTTCCATACTTTATTTTTTGGGGCATTTTGGTATTGAAGCATCAATTTAGAGTTGAAATAAAAATTCTTAGAAAATTCCTTTCAAGTTTTCCGACTGCTTTTAACATTCTTTCGTGCTTCCGAATATCCAATAGACTATTATGTCAGTCAGTCGCGAGAAATTAACAAGAGAAAAGGAAGCAATATGGCTCAAATTACCCGCAAAAAGTAAATAGACCAAATCAAACGATAAAACTTTTCAATCTGAATGTTGTTAAATAATCATCATAATCTTTTATGAACTTCTCATCTGCTCATCTATAAGAAGAGTCTCACTCGAATTTAAAGTCTATTAATATAGAGAGTGATGAAACAACCATAATATTTTATTATTATTATTGTTGTATGTCAATATAAAAGTAAATTCATAAAAATCTTTTTTTTGGCTGTAATTTTCATATTACTTCTTCACTCTTTATATCTTCCTGCCTGACTGCCTGCCTTTATATATGTTTTGATCAATTTTCATTAATGGCACTAATTTGGATGTCAATTAGAGTAATATAAACAGTCTATTTAATCATTTTACAGTCTGATCTTATAGAAATCATAACTTTGTGGCTTTGTCGACGATTTATGATCCATACAGATGTGAATATTGTTTAAATAACAATAAAATAGAACATAAGTCACCGCTGTTTACTCAATGGAAATGCATTCTTGTTTAAATTGCTTTATATTATGCAGCTTAACGAGTTTAAGGGTTTTGGACAGAACCAATTGACACAATTTGTATCGCTTAATGGTACTCAGAAGGTTGGTATTGATGATTAAGCCTTGTTTAAGTAAAATGGTTTTAAATTGAAGAGATCTAGAAGGTTCTAGTTCTTAAAGGTTTCCAGCAGTTTCCAGAGAGTCTAGAAATTAAAATACTAAGGAACAATTTATCAAATGGAAACAAAGAACGTGAAATGAAGCACATTTGATGATATTTTGTCTGTGGATGATGAAGATAAGCAAATGTCATAAAAGCTTTTTTTGATAAATGTTGTATTTAAGTTTGTTTCACGAATCTAAGCAAACATCAAATGTGATTTAAGTTTTTTTCTGAGCTGGTTAAATAATGAACAATTTCATGTTTGAGGTAAGAAAACAAATCTACATGTGACTTTTGACGTCGTTTTTAATTAATTGAAGTTGAAAAACACCGTAAACTAGTTGAGGGCTTAATTGCTTCAAGGTCATGACTTATTTAACAAAGGTGTAACTTAAAATGTACAAAATTTTGAAGGTTTATAATAATTTGGTATTATAAAAAGCTAATTCTAAGGCTTTAATCCTTTATCACAGTTAGGATACAGCTATAATTGAAACAAACAGCTACCTATTTAAACTCTAGAAATTGAAATCATTGTAACGCAGTAAATTAGGGATTTCAATACCGGGATCTCGAAAACCGGGATCAAAAAAGGTTTGAAACGGGGAAAATTAAAAAGTTCAGACAAGACAAGAAAAGGAAATATTGGAAAAACTTTAATTTTCTGGCTTAGTTTTTGATGCTGGGTTATAAGTCCAGAAACTATAAGTCCAGAAAATCAAAGTCAATAAAGGTTTATAAGTCCAGATATAAAGTACACCTGGACTTAAAAACCTCACGTGCAATTCATAGGTCCAGGTACAAATACAGCTGGAATTATAAACTGCACGAGAGGTTTTTAAATCCAGGTACATTTTATATCTGGACTTATAAACCTTGCGTGTGGTTTATAATTCCAGAAAATTCATAAATTTTACTTTTAAATTTCTAGTGCGATTATAAGTCCAGATACATTTTTCTGGACTTATAATCCTTGAAAATTATTTGTGAAACTATTTTAATTTACCACACGTAAGGTTTATAAGTCCAGATATAAAATGTACCTGGATTTAAAAACCTCTCGTGCAGTTTATAATTCCAGCTGTATTTGTACCTGGACTTATGAACTGCACGTGAGGTTTTTAAGTCCAGGTGCAATTTGTATCTGGAATTATAAACCTTTATTGACTTTGATTTTCTGGACTTATAATTTTCTGTGCACGATTTTTGTATCTGGACTTATAACCCAACATCTTAGTTTTTAACTTAAAAATCTTTTTAATGATAAATACACCTACTTTGTAATTGAAAGCTCTTATTTTGAACGTGTTAAACGCAATTTTACACCTGTTTCTGAACCGAATCTACTACCGAGTTTCTACCGTAATCCCGAGATTGAAATTTTGGGCCGGTATTGAAATCCCTAGAAGTAATCTTTTAAAAAATAGTAAACAGAACAATTTATAAAACTTTAACAACAATTCAGAACAAAACAATGCTCACAAAAACTCATTACCTTAATGACTCTCACTAATCTGTAATTTTCATAAACCAATTAGCATCAATAAGTTGTTTTTTATTTTTTAATAAAACTTGAAATAATTTTTTATTCATCAATCAATCTATGTTGTAAAGAAATAAACATTTTTTTAATCGCCATAACATGAGAATGATGTGACGACGACAGTAGGATGGAATTAAGTACAAAAATCAAAGCAATAGATGTTTTTTCTTATATATCTTATCTTCATTCAGTTTCATTAAAAATATAATTATTTATTACAATATGATAATAAAGTTGTTGGTTGTTGCAAAAGGTGCTGAATTTCGCGAATAATTGAAGATTATTGAGAAATGTTTTGTAAAGATTTTAATCAAGGTTTGATGGAAAATTGAGGTCAAACAGGTCAAATGAAGTATTTATTTTAAGTTTTTAAGCAGTCATCGATGTTATGACAATAATTTAAATGCACACTACTCTAAGATTGAATCAAAATAAAGGTTTTTAAGCTACTCATTCGAAGTAGTCTTAGAAGATCGAATGAAATATTCAAAACATTGTTCAATATCCTTCATATTGTCTCATCAACAGCACATAATTAGTAAAATTTTGATAACTTGTTAAATGTCTTTTTATACAAAAGAAAAATTAGATCAAAATTAAAGAATGGATAATATATCGCTTTGCTGAATAAAATAAAATTAATTTATATATCCTTCATCATTCTATATCATTAGACGTACATAATTAATTATAAGGGACAGATTAATAACTGAATAGAGGAAAAAAAAACATAATTAAATAATAAATTTATCTTCTCATTATTTTTTACTCTTTTTTTTTTGTGAAGCGCAGCAACAAATAAAGAAGGCTTCCATTATCTAAACACAGAATTATTACATCATCATTTATATTATCTCATCTAAATCTCTATACCGTAGTCATAAGCCGACATTAAACATCTGGGAAATTGCTTACTTCAGCTTGCTCCAAAATAGGATTACCATTACACACAAATGAAATTCTTAATTTCATTCGAAGGACGGCCTGTGGAAGAGAAAAATATGAGCAATAGAAGGTAAATACAATGAAAATTAGTTTAAATGGAAATTGTGTCATTTCGAAATGAAATCCTCATTTGTTGACATGAATGTTCCTTTTCATCAAAAAGGGTACTGTGCAAATATTAGATAAGGATGTTTTGTAAGTGCCTGTATCTCTGATATATCATAAAAAGTTTTCAATGAATCAGCACATTTTCATTTCTAACGAAGTTATTAAAAGTTTTATGGATAAATTTATTTTAAAGTTTGATTATAGCTTATTCACTTTTGAGGTTTAACAATTGTGGTCTTAATTTCATGAAGCTATTCCTAGTATTTTATCAATTTAAGTTAATTGAGTGATTGTAGACTAGTTATAAGGGCATACTATAAAACCATACGACAGAGTTTCAAAAATGGGAGAATTTGTACGGCTTTGGTGAAATTTCAACCAAGTATATACGACAAGTTCCCTAATCTCTACGACGGATCATTATTGACCATAAATAATATCGAAGCATTCATAAACATAATTATCGTTAATGTCCATTATTAATGGTTTTACTAGAGACCATTAATGTAATAATCATTATAAAATAAATTCACAGAATTTCCCACCTCAATCTAAAAATCCCTAAAATGCAGATAGTACTGCCAAGATGCAGATGGTGCTGCTAAAGTGCAGATGAAATTAATTTTCCCTAAAATGCAGATGAAATGCTGTTGCTTTAAAAAAGGTATAATGCAGATAATTTTTATCGTATAAAGTGCAGATAAGATGCTGCCCAAATGTAGATCGTATAATTTCATTAAAATACATTAATATTCGATGAATTTTTTTCTTGATGCGTGTTAATGACTTTAAATGATCCATGATGAAATTTAAGGGTAATTATTTTGTCTGATGACATATTTATGTAAATATTGGGTTGAGTATCCTTTTTATGAGCACATCTATATATCTTGCAAAAATGTTACATGTCGTTTAACAACAAAACTAGTGTATCGGGTAGAAACCCAATGCGGATATATTCGCACCGTACCATCAAAAGTCTTATGGATAGACAGAGATTTGTTCAGCATAAGTTTGAAGGTATAAATCCTAACGAACCAGCTTTATACCTTCAAACATATGCTGAGCGAAGCTCAGCTGACTTTCTAGCTTTATACCTTCAAAGCGCAGCTCAGCTGAGAATCGCTCATCATACGTTTGAAGGTATAAAGCTAGCGTGTCAATTGAGCTTTTCTCAGCATATGTTTGAAGGTTTTAAACTTAACGAACATTCTTAAAAAGTTTGCTAAAAATAATTTTGCTTTTTCTGAAGCAACGGCTGTTCCTACCTTGACCAAAAACAATACAGCTTTTCTATAGAGCAGCACGGATCAAATGTATAAAACTACAAGTCTCTACAAGGTCTCGTTATTGAGATTTCTTGCTTGCTTGCTTGTTTGCTTACAGAAAGCGTATTTTGCGATTTTCTCAGTAATGCCTCAATTAATTTTAAATCTGATTTTTGCAAAAGATGTAAAATTTCAAGCACAAACTTTTCTTCTTGGAAATTTCTTGATTTTCCAATCTGAACAAAACCAATAGATTCACACGTGAAAACGGTGTGAATATAAAAAATACTTTCGCAGATATATCAATGAAAGCTCCCAAAGTTATAACAAAATTTATAAAAATTATTCGTGAGTGACGCTTAATTAATGTGATTTCCCTACATAACTCCTTAACTTTAGGAAGTAAGTTCTATGTCAAAAGAAAGCAATTTTTGTTTTTTACAAGATATAATAACTTTGAAATTTGTCACTATTGTGTAGGGTTTGAGGAAAACAGCTGTTTTTGAAAAACAGTCTGTTTTCGGTTTTTGATTGTTAAAAACAGCTGTTTTCCTGTTTTTCTAGAATTCAAAATAAACTGAGTTATCCTAAGTGTTTCTCTAAGATGATGAAACTTTTTGGTGGTTAAAAGCAGTTAAGCATACATTATAGAGCTAAGGATTATTATTTCTTAATTTTTCGTTAATTAACTCTATAAAATATAATGGAATATAAAAATTCAAAAAAATAAATATTTATACTTTTAAGAAACATTGCATTGTTGCATTGCAGAAGTTCCATAAACTCTAATATTTTATTTGAAGTATTCAAAAAAATCTTTCTAAACAAAAAAATACCTTGTAAAATTGTTGATTATATTTTTGAACTTTAGTAAATGCTACAAAAGGTTCAACAAATTTCAAATTTCGATTGCAAAATTAATAATGATTAACCATAAATTTTATAATGATTTCAAACCTATTAAACATTCAAAAAAAATAGTAAATACATTTCAATTTGGAATGCTAGAAAAATATATTAAGTTTTTCAAAAAATTAAGAATTTTTTTTTTCTGTAAATTATATGTAAAAATGAAAAACAGAAAACAGATCTGTTTTTGAGACCTGTTTTCTGTTAACAGATTTTTGACGAAAAACAGCTGACTTTCTGTTTTCTGTTAACAGGTTCCCCAAACCCTACTATTGTGGTTTCGGAGATATTTAAGAAACCAAAGCGTCACTCACGAATAATTTCTTTTTTCGTCGGTGCCCAAAAAATTAATATCCAACGTTAAATTATCTACATTATAACAGCATTTCATCTTTATTTTAATAAAATTATACGATCTACATTTGGGCAGCATCTTATCTGCACTTTATTTGATAAACATTATCTGCATTATACCTTTTTTAAAGCAACAGCATTTCATCTGCATTTTAGGGAAAATAAATTTCATCTGCACTTTAGCAGTACCATCTGCATCTTGGCAGTACTATCTGCATATTAGGGTAGCTGCATTTTAGGGATTTCTAGATTGAGGTGAATTTCCCTCTTAAATGTTACCAAGTCATTAAAAAATTACTGATAACAAATTTCGCAGAACCATTTAATAGTAGCAATTCACAATCAATTTAATATGCCAAAATTGAATACTTACACTTGACGAATTGCTTTTCACGCGCATTTCTTGTGAAACAATTCCTCCTGGCAATAATACGGAGCCCGTTGGTGACATCATTTGAAGCTGAAAACTTTTAGGAACTGCAGCCTATGAACAAAAAAAAAAAAATATTCATTTAAATAACAAAAAAATAGTGGAAATGAGTATATTTATGCGGGCGCAATCAATGTCAAATTTACATAAAAATATTGTTGAAATTCGTTGCATTTACTCGAAAAAAACCACACTGAATGAATAATTACCTGGAATAAATACTGTTCTAATGTATCTAGCGAGTTATTAGTTGTCGTCATAACAACTTCAACATAATCACTTTTCCTAGTCGTTGCAAACGTAATAAGTAGATCATTTTTGTCGAAAGCGGTCGTTATTTTTGCGCTAGTTTGTGTTGTTGGCGTAGACAGGAAATCTAATCCCAAATCATTATAATTTCCTGTTTGCGCACCTCCACTGCCATTCATGTTAAATAAGCTTTCGGATATTTTTGTGTTCTCATTATCATCTAAAATCGACATTGTTACAGGTGATGTGATGATATTATTATTGTTATTATTCATAATTGGCATTGCAGGCGCACTTATGTCAATATCACCAAGAAGATCTAAGAGATTACTAGCTGGAACTGCTGTTGTGGTCAAAGTCGTTTGAATTGGCGGTGAAATTATATCATCACCATTTCCTAATAGATCCAAAAGTGTATCTGTATTCGATTTTACAATATTATTAATCGTTTTCTCTACTGTTATTCTTGGCAATTCGTCCTCCATTGTATCGCCATTTGAATTGGTTCCATTGATTTTATTGATCGTCATTGCTGGCATTTTTTCTAAAAGTGATTCCCTCAAATGAGAATATTGACCAAATAACTGCGAAAATTCCACGCCACGTTGCTGTAAATCGATATTTAAATGTGATCCGAACGTGTCGATTATATCTTTGATATCACTGAAAAATTGTTTAAATTAATAAGTAATCTTAAGGTTGAAATTAATCAAGTCAACTCACTTTTGTCCACTTTTAAAACGCGTACTCAGCTTTGCTAACGATACTAGAGCGTACTGTTTACTCACAGTATTGACCTGATTTGACCATAATAATTTGCTATACAGTTCAATTATGGCTGTTTCATCTGGTTTCTCGCCTGCAACTAAAAAGTAAATTAATACTTTAATTTTTATAGACTTTGTACAAGATAATTTTGTAACGTCTTTGTAGAACTTAAATATTTTAACGGTTTTTGTAAAATTTAAATATCCAAGACACAATATTTTATAAAATCAAATATCCGAGAACAATTTTCAACGTGTTCATAAAACTCAAATATATTTGAGACACAACTCTGTTAAAATCAAGTATTCAAGACACAAATTTTTGCGGTTTTGTAAAATTCAAAATTTAACATCTTTTTGAAACTCACATTCTTGTTCAGAATTGTACAGCATTTGATCTCCGCTTTCACCAATACACCAAACACCAACTTGAGTCAAGGGCTGATTGTCTTGTGTCTCCTGAATTGCTTCCCAAAACTTGACCGCAATATAAGCTTGCTCATTAGAAGGACTACTTGAAATCATTTGTATTGTTGAAGATGTTACATCATCACGTACATAATTTCCAGCAGCTATTAAAATACTCAACAATGTATCTAAATGCCAACGAATTGTTGGCGCATAACGTTCAGCTGAAAGCACCATACTTGAACTACATTGAGCTTTAAATTCTGGATCAGCTTTTTCTAAAAATATTAAAAGTTCTTTTGCCATTGCTCTTATATTTTGAGCATTCACCAATGCGAATGATAATTCCATTGCACGTTTTCGTATGGTGACATCTGGATCTTTTAAGCACTCAAGGATTGTGCTTCTGTGACGCTGCACAGCTGATATATCCACATTAACTGTCTTCAATAATGTATGTAATGCGATATATCGAATATTTTTATCATTATTAAGCAAAAATCTTCCGAGAATATTAACAGCTAGAACACGTAGTCCGCCCTCTGATTTGATATCCATAATAGTTAAGACCGTTTCATATAAAATTGTGTTTCCAACATTTTTACTCGTCTCTGTATTTGTTGCGACTTGTGCCAATATGTCATTCATTGCTTCCGACGATTCCGAATCATTACGTCCAAGAATTCTCAAAAGTCTTAAAATTTTTACTTGCAAAAATGGATCTGAAACACCGCTCACATCATGTTCCGGCGAATATCCAGCGAGAATTAGATTCTTTAAGATTCTCACTAAATTCGGTACAATCTGGAAAGAAATGAAAGCAATTTAAAGCATTAGTAAAGCTATAAGTGATGTTGTGATAATCGAAAACCACTTAACTACCGTACATAATCATATCATATCCATCAAAATACATTTTTGTCATGTCATAAAATGACACATATAAAAAGAATGAACATCCAACTTTGTATTGTTTAAATACCATCATGCATTAATGAAGATGAAAAATAAATGCTGTTGACAGATTTAAATGAAGAGATTTTTTTGTGCGGAAAGAAAGCAACAGATTATAATAAATAAGAAGATAGATAGAGCAGGATTCTGATTGAAAAATAAGAAGATTTTTTTTTTCTCGTATGCATAGAATTATAGAATAAACAGTTAAGATGCATAAGAAACAAAAAAGCCAAGTAGGAAAATATTAATTAAACATTAACTTTGTCATACCTCTTTTTCATTTCCATCCTGCAAAATTTATTCATTTTCAGTTTTAATAATTGATAGAGTGAGCGAGAGATAAAGGGGGAATAACAATTGATTATCGGGAATGAAAATAAACCACAATGAAGGAAACACGGCATAGATAGAAACAATAAATTTCGAGTTATAATTTTAAATCCAGTTACAGACTAGCTCATTTCAAACTTATTCGGTGACATTTGCAAAAATTCACATCGTTAAAATTATTACAAAATTGTGTAAGTGAAATCACTCGTGGTCATGTAAATGCATTCTCCGAATTTTCGGTTACTTAAAGTTGTCGTCAGCAAAAAGTTTAAAAAATAACGGCGAAAATATATTTGAAAATAACGGTCAAAATAAGGATATTCTGGAGCACTCGCAAAAAAAGAAATGATAAGGTTTAGGATGTCAATCTTAATCATTTCTCATAATAGCCTTTCTGCCTTAGAAAATGAGTTTATGCCTTACTGGCTGTCTAAATATTGACTTATGGAATTATCAGCCTATAAAGTTGCTGAAATTGTTTAAAAGAGCTTTCAACTTGTGAAAAAAAAAGTTTAAAGTCTTAAAAACCTTAATCTCATTAAACATCTGCGGCACTTGAAGGACACATTAATCTTTGAGGTATTATTGCATTAATTATTCAGTTTGCTAGTCTTAAAATATACTCTATGAGTCATGCATTAAGTTACTGATTAACTCAGGCAAAAAAATGCGTTCTAGTCATCAATCTATGATGACACTTTTGACTAAAAATTCTTCTCGTTCCTTTAAAAGTTTCTCATTAATTATTTTTTTCGTCATCTAATTATTCAAACAAGCCAATCTAATTTGCATTTTAAAAATAAGAAGAAGATAGAGTCGGGAAAAAAAGGCTTTTTTTTTCTCACCTTTTTGAAGTGATTGAGTGTGTCAGGGCTGTTTTCACACATTTCTGTTATTAAAGTTACACCAGTAATTAAAATGCCTAAAAGATAAAAAGTTTGACTTTTAATTTAATTAACATTTAATTATATTTTCCACTCTCATACCATGATTCTTCTCATTAAGCAATGATCGTGTTGCGGGTAAGAATATTTCCATTAACTCAGGCACACGACGAATGATACGGAAAGCGCACAGCACTGCTTTCTTCCGGATATAAGCATTTGGCGATTTCATCAATTTCTCTATTTCTCCAGCTAAATCTCGAGCCATCTCAGGCGAGGCTATTGCACCGAGTGTACAAAGTGCTAAGCCAACAACAAATTGTGTTGGACTATTTAGGTCACTGAAATGTCAAGAAAATATGTTTTAAATTATATATCTGATTTTGATTGATGATATGAAAGTCGTAGGAGGAGAATATGGAATTATATTATTTTATTGCTAAAGGTCGAAGTTGATTGAAATTATTATTTTTGGCTGATTGACGCGATGATTATTTTTGATAGAATTAGATCTTGAAGACATACAAATGTTTTCTTTTAATTGGCTGTTGTATGGTTTTATAAAATTTTGACTGTTGTAGAGTTCTCTTTAATTTTTAAGGCTGTTGAATTGATTTTAAATTTAATTTATAACCTCACAACAGCTTTGTGTTTTAAACCCCTACAACAGCATGAATAAAACATTTGTAGGGTTTCAAGTCACAATCAACGTTAGACAATGAAGAATATATAGGCAAAAACAATAAAAGAGTGGATACAAACTTTTTCAAGCAATTTGTGATGAGTAAATGAACATCTTGACGTTCGTCCAACAGTAACATTGCTCCTAAATATCCGATACGTTTGTCGGTGAATTTGGGACTTGCAATTAGTTTTAGACATTCTAATTGTCCGAAATGTGCTGGATAACCGAGCATGTGAATGTAGAATAATTTTGCAATATTTCTGCATCGCCACACTGAGTCCTCCTCACGAAATGTTGATCGAATATAGGCACATTCTCTATTAACTACTGCACGTTCCTCGGCTTGTGTTTTTGCCGCACGAATTTGTCGAATAAGATCTCTGAGACGAGTCGGTGTCGGCATTCGCACTAAAACAACAACAGCATGGTAATAGGAAGGAGAAAGAAGAAAGAAACGGGGAATATGTTAGTATAGAATTTTGCGAATGGGACAATAAAAAAAACATTATGCATCCTTAGAAATTCCAGGATTATATTCAGAGCATGCAAAAAAAGAATAAAGCGAATAAAAAATGGAAACGCATTGGTTACTTATACCCCTTTCGATAGTTTCATTGATCGCTTGTCGAATTGTGGCCATATTGAGGCCAGGATTAAATCTGCAAAGAGAATTTAAGGTGGTCATGCGATTAGTCAAGTCATAAAACAAAAAAACAAAAATATTCTGTCCGTTTTGAATCATCACACTTGATTAAATAATGTCTATGCTTTATTTTTTTGTATGCACAGTAACTTAACACCTTACTTAGGCTTCTTTCTAATTTTTATATGCTTGAGGAACATGATTATGGCTATATGCTTATTGTTGACGAACAAATAAAGAAATAAAATGAAATGTGGAGAATATAAAAATAATAAAAATTCAGAGCAAGGATCATCGAATATTTCACAACGTCCTTCGAATGGTTCTGAAGCAAGCTATTTATTTGACTGAAGCACGAATTTTTCTCCATAATTTTAGTTTATGCAAATTTCGAGTCAGTCTCAATAAGCTAGTCAAGTGCAATGATTCATTGATAAATGTTACACGTTAATTAAAAATCATTAAATCAAGCTGGTTATAAGGTAGTTATGAAACGATTAATTACCCACTATCTGCATTCATACTCTTTATTTTTTTGCTATGTTACTTGAACACGAATTGTGTGTATGAGAAAAATTAAAATGAAGCTTACTTCTGTAGACTATTATGTTACAGAAGAAGGATATAAAGCACAGGGAAACGTATGTGAGGTGTCACAAAGTAAGGCGACAGCGAGGAAAATAAAATTTCTCAATTAATTGAGTTAACAACAACAATAGGAATAATAATGAATGAATGAATGTGTCACACTTTTCTTCTTCCTCTCTTTTTTTTCTTCCTCTCTCTCTTGCTGTATAAAAGATCCAGTAAGAGTTAATTTCTTTCTGTTAATACCCAGCTATGCAGGTTATGGAATGTATAGAACGCAATATAAATGTATAGCTTTAAGCAGTCATACGCTCTCTTCAGGCTGTATATTATCAGGAATGAATAGTTAATTAATTTTTAAGAAATTCACTGGATCTGTGGAAATTTCATAGTATTGAAATGAAGAATTCTGCCAACATTTCCTTGTAGCTGTATAAACTGATTAGTTCTGTCTATTGTTGCGAAATAATGATGATTGATAACAGGAAAACTTATGTATTGTACACTTTTTTTTAGTAGAAAAATGATGATAATGACAAAAAGCAACGAAAAAAATTGATTATATCAGGTTTTCACAAAAACTTCAAGCAAACGTATGTCTTTTAAATGCACTATATCAGACCAGTGATTCTGATTATTCGATTGAAGGAATTATCTTCTCTATATCACTAGGTTTTCTTCTGATTTTCCACTATTTTAAAAAATCTTATAAAGTGACTTATTTTTGAAATATTTGGAAATTTTGTTTCTTTAAAAAAACCTTGCAGCACGATTTTAACAGCTACATGCTTAATATTGGTAATTTTGTCTGGCCTGATCATCTGATGTGCTTAATAAATTTATTTTTCAAAGTATAAATTCAACGGTTTTGTAAAATTTGAAAAAGTAACGGTATTGTAAAATTTGAACAAGACAATCAACAAAATATTCAACCGTCATTTTTAATTTAAAATTTTAACGAAGATTTCAAATTTTAAAAATACGTTCCAGAATCGTTTTCAATTAAATATCATCAAAGAATATTAAATATTAAACTAAGCTTTTATATCTTAGTTCATTTTTTTTTAAAAAAGCGGGGTATAAGGTTATTATTGAAAAACAAAAATTGAGAAATTAAAATGGATGCGCTTTATTTAAAATTAGTAAGAATGCAGTCACGTTTTAACTTAATTCTGTATTTTTCTTGCGGATATTTTTTACGCACTTTTCAATCATCTCGGTAGTAATGTTCGCATCTCGAAATACATTTAAAAAAATAAAAACCGTTATTTTAAATATCTTCTTTTCACAATTTAAAATGTTGATATCTCATATCCTTGAAAAGTTAAATAATTTTTTTTGTTGAGATTTTTGAATTTTTTAAACTTTTACAAATTGTGAAAAGAAGAAATACAATTTTTTTCCAAAAATATTTGCTTGCATGTTGGCACTGACAAATCACAAACTTAGCTTTCCATAGCTTGGTAAATTTTAAAAATCCATAGCCCAGTTCTAATAAAGCAATAAACTTTCAAATCATGAAAATTTTCACAAGCATTTTGCCACTGACTCATTTATGGCACTGATCTGATTTACACAAAAATTATCTCGAATAAGAAAAAAAAATCTTTTTGCTATTTCTAATTATTTAAACACTTAGTCACGATAGTTAAAAAAGACAATGTAACATTACCTCCTATTGTGTTCAATGGGTAGGATCCCCCATTCGTTTTCATAGTACGGATACATCACGACTTAATTAAAGTAAATCAATGATAATATTAGAAGATCCACGAATATCTTCCGTTGTTGCGAACAAACTAGACTAAATGAAGTTAATAAAAGACATACAACAAACACTCATTTTAATGTTGTTATCTAATTTTTCATGAGAAATTCAGTGCATGTGTGTATATCCAACACATTGTTAGGTATGAGGGCACTGATAAGAACTTGTGAAGTAGTTGTAATTATATTTCTTTCTCCTTATCATATTATACGTGAATTTCACAGAGAAAACTTACACTTAAAGTACAAAGCGTGTGCATGCGATTAAAAAAAAAATGAATGAAAATAAAAAGAGCAGAGAAAGTGCCAATAATGTCAATATTTAGGTTGCCGGATGATAAACAAACCTTGTCTGTTTGACGAAAGCAATGATATTTTCTACGCAATATTTGTGAAAAACAGGATTTCCCCGGCAATATTCGTCCAATTGTTTATTTTAAATCGTAAGTGACGAAAAGCATGCGAAGAAGCTCGAAATTGAGACGAAAGGAATCGAAATAGCTATGAAGTTACACGAATTGATGATCAGTGAAGTATTCAGTAAAGATGTGTAAAAAATATCTACGACAAAAATCTATTTCAATAAGTAAAATGTATGAAAAAGCTTGAAAGCTCATGAAAGTTTTCTGGCAAGCACTTTTATCCTTAATACACCTCAATTGAGCGTGTAAACGAGACAAATGCACTTTCGCATAATGTTACTAATTATAGATCGTGTCATCTGGCAAACGATCAGAATCGCACAAAACGTATAAAAGTGGATTGAAATATAAGGGTAGCTCGCAGAAGTTGTCTTAAAAGTCAAGTGTAATTTTTCTATCTAGCTTATTTTTTTTTTACTTATACAAGTTGCAATCAATTTTTTTTATTTCTTCTAAAAAAAGTTCGATTGAAATCGAGTAATTATGTCAGCCGCAGTAGCGCAACGATCATCAAGAGAAAGATCTACTCCAATTAGGAGAGATGTAAGATTTTCTCGAACACCAGAACGTCATTACTTACATCCAAAATATGAACGTCCAATTACACCGGAATACTTTAAACGTGAGAAATCGCCATTCGAATTGGGTGACTCGATAGATTTACAGGTATTTTCGTCAGCTGCAATTATCGACAAGGCATCTGTTATGGATATCTCAAAAGTTGATGTTAAGAATGTTGACGATTATATTCAACTATTTCTTACTGAATATTGTGTAATCGATCGTGCAGGCATTGAAGATGTTAGTGAACCTAGTGTACGTATTATGGTTGTTGAAGAAGATGAAGATGCTGAAAAGAAACGAACAGGCATGATGTTTAGTGCTCCTAAGCCCATGCCAATCGAGGAACCAATTATTGAAGATAAAGTTGCTGAGGAGGAAGCTGCTGCCGAACAAATCTTAGTCGAAGCCCAAGAAGGCGATTCTCAGGACAAAAAAAAACTCCGATTGACTCCAACTTTGGGGTGATAGAATCTGAGCAAAAACCCGAGGAATCGGTGCCAAGTGTAGAAAATGCTGAGAATGTTGGTCAAGAGCAACAACAACAACAACAGCCGAATGATGAAAATAAACCTGTCGAAAGTGGCGAAACGAAAATTGATGACGCATCAATTGAAAAGCCAGCTGAAAGTGCTGAACCAATAATTGAAGGCGAAAAACAATCAGAAATGAAAACTGAAGGTGAAGTAAAGCCTGAAGAAATCGGGGAGAAATTAATTGAACCTGAAGGATCTGATACAACTGAGGATATCGATTCTGATTTTGATAATATTGAAGAAGTCGATCCATCGTACGAAATTGATCCACAATTATGGAAAACTTTCTCAAGCTTTGATGAAGTCGATTTTCATCCACCAAAACCAGAGGTAAAAGAGGGCGAAGAGCCACCAAAAGAAGAAAAAAAGGCAAAAAAGGAGGAAGTTGTTGAAGTTGAAGAAGATTCAGGATTTTCTGAACTTGTAGTGCGTAGTGAAAAAGAACGTGATGAAGAGTTTCAAGAATATATTCGTGAATTATGTAGACCTCAAATTGTATCATACTTGCCAGATAGAGTTGCTGCCAAAGGAACAACCGTCCGTTTAACATGTACCGTAAAGGGTAACAACATTCAAACTCGTTGGATGAAAAATGATGTCGTATTGGATCGTAATCCAAGAATCATGACAAAAACTGATGGAGAGATTCATACATTGGAAATTAAAGAAATTAATGACAAAGATGCAGCTGTTTATACTGCCATTTTCAAAAATCGAGCAGGTGAGGTTGAAACCTCATCGAATATTCGAGTATTTGATGGAAAATTGAACAAACCTGATCACATTGACATTGCTCTAGTTAAAGGTGAATATTTGTTGCTTAATTAAACTTTTCTTTCATCTCGGTGCTAAATTTAACGTTCACGATGATCCCAATTCGATAGCATTGTAATAGATTTTCTATTCTTATTATATCACAAAATCAAACCAAATTGAACTTGAAAGAGTTTGACGATTTTAATGAAATCGTTTTCTTCTTCCTTTAATTTTCTGTAGACTATTACGATCACTCATTGGGTGGCCTAGTAATTGAAGCTCATGTTCATGGCTTGCCAGCACCAAATGTCAAATTCTACAAAGACAATCATTTACTGCACGCACGCCGTAACAAAATCGTTTTCTTTATTGAAAATAAAGAAATTTATCAATGCTTGATGGTTCGTCCGGATGCAAGTGTTACAGGAACATATACAATTTTAGCTGATAATGCAGCTGGAAAACGACGATTTGATCATCATGTTGATTTTGAGACCAAATATCCATTGATTCATTTACCGGGAATGTATCATGCTGATAAGAATCTTGATGATTTTGTTGATGACATGATTAGTAGAGTTCCAAAAGCGCCTGAAGAAGTTCCAAAAGCGCCTGAAGAAGTTCAGCCACAACCTGAAGTGCCAGTAGAACAACCACCAGTTGAAATCATCGAGAAAAATGAAGAAATTGAAAAAGTAGAAGTCCCACAGCCACCAAAACCTGAAGAAATTGCTGAAGCGCTGCAAACAGTCGTAGATGGAACAACCGTTGAAGGAGAAAAACCAGTCGAGGCAGAAAAACCAAAGCATAAATCCAAGTCCAAGTCTAAGCATAGAAAGAAGAAGCGTGCACACAGTCCAAAAATTGATTCCGACTTAATTAATGATGGCGAGGATGAAGCTACTGACGCCGAAATACCTCCAGAAGAACCATATAAGAGAAAATTCTCAACTGTCGTTCATGAATCTTATGAAACTGAAGAATTCAGAATTTTCAATAATAAACAAAAAATTTGGTTCTCTGGAAATTTACGAGACCAAACTGTCATTGAAGGATCGACAATTAAATTAATTTGTGCTGTATCTGGACCCTTGCCAATCATCAAGTGGACGAAAAATGAAAGGCCTATTAATTGGGGTCAAACTATCCGTAACATGAGTGGTGAAGGAATTGGTCAAATTATAATCGAAAAAATCACTAGATCAGATGCTGGTACTTATGTCTGTACAGCTAGAAATCCATGCAACGAAGTATCAACATCGGCTACAATTAAAGTTATTCCTAGATCAACTGTACCGAGAGATGATACATCAAAGCCATTATTTACACGCATTCTAGGTCAATTTTATCATCTTACAGAAGACGATTTAATTTTAGATGCACATGTTCGTGGTGTACCTCAACCAGAAATCAAATGGTACAAGGATGGAATGGAATTAAATAAAGCTATGGATGATCGCTATGACATTTGTAATGATCATGATGGTGGATATCAATTTAGAATTCATAAACCAGTTTCAACAGATAGTGGACTCTATGCTTGTGAGGCAATCAATTCTGTTGGTAAAGCAAAAGTCTCTCATAAACTTGAGTTTACTAACCGCGAAAGACATACACATCCACAATTTGTGTATCATAAGGAATCCTTTTATCAACCAACGCTTAGAATGTCTATTGAACCAGAGCCAGTAAAACAACCAGAAGAAAGTTTTGTTATGCCTGAATTTGATCAAGCTGCTGGTCAATCTGGAAATGATTCAATCAATGTTCAAGGAGGATTACAAGATACAGGAAGTGGAAATGGTGCACAAGAAAGCTCCCAGGGTGATGATGGAAGTTCAGGTGCTCAGAATGGAAGCTCAGGTGGAGATGGTAACGAAGATGGTGATGAAAATAAGGATATTCCAAAAAGTACATCAGATGTCCCTGATGAGACTGAAGAAGAAGAAGAAAAGGAGAAGCCTAAGAGAGCAGCTCCAAGAACTAGACGAAGACGTTACGAGGGTCCAGTTGAGCCACTTGTAATTCGAGATTCTGTAAGTTCTAACAAGTTTTGAATAATATTTTATAAGTAATTATAATTTTAACTTTTAGAAAGAAAAAATTTCTTTTGCTGTCCAATTACGAGATGTAACTGCACCTGCTGGTACTAATATCAAACTTTGTTGTCAAATTGCTGGCCCTGGACCTCAAATTAAATGGTAAATGAGGCTACCAGATTTTTTTTAAAAAGTTTATTTTAAATTTCATCATGATTTTTAAGGTTCAAAAATGGAAAACCACTTGATCAATCACCAGAAGTTAGAGTATCCGGAAAGGAGGGATTTGGTATTGTAACAATATCAAAAACCAAACCTAAAGATTCTGGAGTCTACAGAGTTGTTGCTGTCAATAAGTTCAATACCATTGAGTCAACTGCAAATGTCACTATTTACCCCATTGAAGAAGTTGAAGTCAAACCAACATTTATTAGAATCACTGGTAAGACATTTGACCTCAAAACTTGAAGCATTTTAAATTGATTTTAACACGAGTATTTTATCAATTATCTAAATAGATTATTATCGTCAGGAGGTCGATGATCTTGTTATTGAAGTTCAAGTAAGAGGCGTTCCAACTCCAAAAATTATCTGGCAACGTGATGGTGTTGAACTAGATATTTCTGATAGTGAAAAGTTCTTTATAATGCGTGAACCTGAAGGAGTTTATAAGCTTTGCATTCACGATCCTAATCCATTGGATGGAGGTCGATACATTGTTCAAGCTTCAAACAAAGCTGGTAAAGAAGAGATTCGTAAGCTTGTTAAGTTCTTGGGTAAAAAACACTACAAATATTTGCCTGGAATTTATCATGCTGATCCAAAGAAAGCTCATGAAGAAGAAACAGGAGATGAGGTTAAGGAAGGAGAGAAAATTGGTGAACAGCCAGTGACCACTCAAGCTCAACCAGCAGAAGAAGAGGAAGAAATGGTAAGCTTCATGATTGCCTTCTTATTTATAACTTTCATTAACTGTTTTTTCACAGGATAAGTGGGGAAATGTTAAGCCTAAGAAGGAAAAGAAAATGAGACTTCGTGAAAAAGTATTTTTGCCACCATCTAAAGCAGAAATTGAACAAGAAAGCTTAGTGCTTAAACAAGTAAGAAATCATCTTGAATTTGAGTCAGAATTGAAAAATGCTGCAGCTAAAGTTGGATCGAAAGTCAAGCTTCTTTGTACTGTGTCTGGTCCGGCTCCTGGTTTATCTTGGTTCAAAGATGACGAGCCACTAGAATTTAGTCCACCAAGAGTTAAGAATACATCAAATGGAAGTTTTGGAAGTATTACATTCTTGGCAGTAACACCTGCTGATGAGGGTGTCTATAAGTGTGTTGCTGCTAATGAATTTGTTGAAGTATCATCAGAATGTACTTTAACAGTTTTGCCAACTCAAGATCCAAACTGGATTAAACCAACATTCACACGAAATCTTAAAGAATTCTACGATTTAAAAACAAATGACTTGATTTTGGAAGTACATACTCGTGGATATCCAAGGCCAAGACTTTCTTGGAATAAAGACGGCTTAGATGTTGAAGATGGAGATGACAAGTTTTTCTCAACCAGACATCCAGACGGTGTTTATCGTTTAAATATTCATGACCCACAAATTAAAGACAGTGGTCGTTATGGATGTTCTGCTGTAAATGAAGCAGGTTCAGAAGATCTCAAATACTACCTTAAAGTTAAGAGTAGGGAAGAATATATTCATACAGCTGGTCTTTATCATGCTGATCCAACACAATTCGCTAAATACAAGGAAGAAGAAGAACGTAAGAGAATCGAGCGTTTGTCTTATCGTCCAACTCGTCCAAAACCAGAAGAAAAAACAACCGAGCAGTTGATTGAGGAGATTGAGGAACAAGCTCTTAAAGAACATCAACCACCAATTGACCCAGCAGCAGTTAAAAAGGAACCTGAACAAACTCAGCCTGCAACTGATGCAAGTGAAGCATCAGTAGAATCAACAAAAAAGAGGGAAAGAAATTGGCTTCAAGGTGCACCAGAAGGAATTCCAGAACCCGTTGTAGAAGTTGTTAAAAAGCCAAAATATCAATTAGAATTCCTTACAAAGTTGGAAAATCGTACAGGTGTTGAAAATACAGGTGTAAAACTATTCTGTCAAATTTCTGGACCTCGTCCTGAAGTTCATTGGCTACATAATGGAATGCCAATAGAGAAGAGTGATGAAAATAGAAAGAATATGAGTAACGAAAATGTTGCTGCTTTGGCTATAATTAAAGCAACAACAGAAGACTCTGGTGAATATACTTGCATAGTAAAGAACAGAGAATGCAAAATTGAAGCTGTATGTAATCTTACAATTTTGGCACTTCCAAAAGAACCAGAGAAGGGAATCCCACCACAATATCCATTTGGCATGAAGTACTCATTTAATTCACAAACTGATGAGATGATTATTGAATGTGTCGTTCGTGGAACTCCAAGACTATTCATTAAATGGTATAAGGACGCAAGACAAATTGAAAATGATGATAAATATTTGATGTCACGTGACGGTGAAATTTATAAGCTTTTTGTTCATAAACCAACTTTCAGAGACAGTGGAATCTATTTGTTGCAAACAGAAAATGCTTACGGCATGGAATTCTTAAAATATGTTATTGAATTTGAGCAAAAAGATCAGCCAGTTGTAAGTGGTTTCATTTATCATGCTGATTTGACAAAAACAAAGAAATATCAAAACGAAGAAGAACGAAAGAAGGCTGAAAGAATGGCATACAAACCTCCACCACTACCAGAACAACCAAACGAAGAAGAAAAACCAGTAGAGGCTGTTCCTGAACAAGCTGAAGTTGAAGTAGTAGAAGAAGAAAGTGAATATGAGACAACTGATTCAGAATATGATGAAGAGGGTGAATTAATTGAAAAAGAGAGACGTAAGAAGGTTAAAGCTCCAAAAGAACCAACCCCACCTCCTAAAGAACCCACACCCCCACCAAAAGAACCAACCCCACCTCCTAAAGAACCAACACCCCCACCAAAAGAACCTACACCCCCTCCTAAGGAACCCACTCCAGTAAAAGAACCAACACCAGTCGAAATTGTACGAGAAGAAACTGGAAAGAAGGAAATCGAGAAACCATTGCATGTATTTAGAGCACACAAGATCACAGAGTTTAGAAAGAATGCAGAAGTCCCAGTTGAAATTCTTAAGAGACTCCTTAGTACTGTAGCAAAGGTTGGATCAAAGATAAAATTGTCATGTTGTATATCTGAAAGTGATCCTCGAATTAAAGCAATTTGGACTAAAAATGGCGAGCCATTAGAAACTGATTCAAGATTCTCAGCAAATGCCACAGAAGATGGGTATATTTCACTTGAAATTAAGGCTGTAGAGTTCACTGATGAAGGAAGATATAAAGTTGTAATTAAAACGAAAAAGGGTGAGATTTCAAGTGAATGTGATGTCAGTGTTTATGGCGAGGAAGAGAAATCAGTTGATGATGTTCCACCTACATTATTATCAGCAATCACAGACCTTTATCGTCCAGTTTACAATGACATGTTAATTGAAATAAGAATTAGAGGTACACCAAAGCCTAAAATCACATGGGTACGTGATGGACTTCCAATTGATCCATGGAAGCAATATCAAAAGTATCAAGTAAAGCATGATGATGTTAATAATATTTATACTCAACAATTGATCATTACAAGTCCAAATCAATATCGTGATAATGGCAAGTACATTATTATAGCTGAGAATAGAGCTGGAACTCTTGAGCTTGTACACATGCTTGACTTTGAAGGCAGAAAGATTGAACCAAAGAGAAAACGAATGGATGACATCTTTATTGTAAATGAAGTACCTAGAGTTAACCCAAAACCAAAGACCCCAACGCCACCACCAGTCGAAGTCGTGCCAGAGCCTGAAGAAGTTAAGGAAGAGGTAGTCGAAGAGGTAAGTCACATTTCCATAATTTTGGGTTATGACTATCCGGACAAATACCAAACAACCATTTTTAAAACTATTTAAATCACTTTATTACTGCTTATTTACAGGAAGTGGAAGAAGAGGAAGAAGAGAACGAAGACGAAGAGGATTAAAATGATTAATTATATTATAAAAATCTTTTTCTAATTTTATAGGAATGAGTGCCAATTTTGTTCTTAAAATTTATCAAAATGTGTGAGTTTTTGCATCAATAAAAGTATGACAAAGAAAACTATTTTACTGATTAATAAGTTACAAAAGATCTTCAGGATTACTGGATGTTAATAAAGTTGCAATTTTCTTGCTCAATTCAGGTCCAATGCGTCGGTATTTTGATAATGGACCAGTTTTGATGATTTGGATATCTGCAAGCATTTGATTCTTATTATCACAAGTTTTATAAGCTTCAATTAGCTTTCTAGGCATTGGGTATTCTTTAGAAATTGATTGAGCAACGTCGAATGTGACTTTTGGAAGACAGTTTAATTGAGCATTCCAAAGACGAGCATATGAGTCTGGATCATTCTCGATAACATTAACTTTAACATCACTACAAAGAAATAGCTGTTCCTGATCAAGTTTGTGATTTTGCTTGCTTTTAAACGGTTCTTCAGCTATTGCTTTGCTGATTTGTGAAACTGTTAAAGCTAAATCATCAGGTGTTTCATGCAATCTATGACTACAATTAGCAAGTATTTGCAGTTGTGTTAATTTGATTTCAGTCTCCTTCATGCCAATTTTGTTCTTGTTTTTTCTGCAGTAAGTCTTCAATCCATAAACTACTAAAGTTGTTGATATCGCTTCCGTTGAACATAATTCCTGAGCAGATTGTACAATATTCATTAATTGATTCTCTTTAACTGCTTTAGCAAATTCATCAGCCATCAAAATAATTAATAAGTAAGGCTCATCCTTCTCAACATCGTCAAACTGGATGATTTTTCCATCCTCAGTAATAATCTTTTGATTCATTTGTCGCTTCCACGTTATTGTATTTGGTGTAGCACTACTTGATATTTCAGCCTTCATATCTAGTTCCGTTAACTTTTGTATTATTCTACTTCCAGCCAATTCTTCAGTTATTTTATTGTAAATTACTGCTTTAATATACTTATTACATTCTCCTGGCTTTAATACACGTTCCTGTTCTAATCTAAACTTCCTCTTCTGTACTTCGATTCGACGACGTTCCTTTTGTGTTATCTTTCCCTCTTTATCAGCTTCCTCCATGGTTTAATTAATAAAACTTTAAAGATGTAAACAAAACAATTTGAACCATAAATAACAGCTTTTAAAATTTGAATTTATTGCTCGCATGTTTATGGGTAGCATGGGTCGCATTTTGAAACAATAATAAAAAGTTCTTTTTAAAAATGTCAAATAAATAGATTTAAAGCCATGGGCAAGACAAATTGGAAGGAGTTGTTTCCTACGAGGACGAGCGTATTCATATTTATTGCCTATATGTCATTGTTCGTCGCTCAAGGTGATTTATTCATTTTTTTTTTTGTTAATTAAAATAGAAGTTCATAGATTATTTGTAGGTATTTTTGTGACGGCAAGTCAGGAGAAGAATAATTCATATAAATACGATACAGTGACACTTGTATTGCTTACAGAGGCTTTAAAATTGATCGTTTCATGCATTTTATATTGCAGAGAGTAAGTAACACTAGCTTGATATAATTAATTAATCTGCTCTACATTACATGACATGTAGGACATGCAAATTAAGTACCCATTCATGACTAATTTCCGTTATATGTTTGTTTTTTTTTTAGAAACACAGCTCAGTCACTCGTAACGAATGTTATCAAAGGATCGAATGTATTAATGCTATATTTAGTTCCAGCAGCTCTGTACTGCTTATACAATAATCTCGCTTTTCATAATCTCTCAGTCTTTGATCCCACAACTTACTATTTATTATTACAATTTCGAGTGGTCATTACTGGAATCTTATTCCAAATAATCTTTAAAAAGTATCTAACTAGTCGTCAATGGATTTCCTTAATTCTACTTACATTAGGATGTATGATTAAACAAATTAATTTTGGTGATCAAGAAGCTATAAGCAATGCATCGGCGAACGATAAAGATGAGGCTATTATCACAAAGAATACCGTAGGATTTGATCTCAGCATAAATGCCGTATTTATCCTTATTCAAACCATTTGTTCCTGCTTAGCGGGCGTCTATAACGAATATTTATTGAAAAACAATGGTCAAGACATTAATATTTATATCCAGAATGTATTCATGTATCTCGATTCAATTTTATGCAACGGTTTGATTTTATTAGTTCAAGGAAATATTTTAAGTGCCTTTACCATAGAGAATCTCGCTGAAATATTTCGTCCACATGTTTTTATTATTATGATTAATAGTTGTGCAGTTGGAATCATTACAAGTTTCTTTCTCAAGTATTTAAACTCAATTTTAAAGACATTTGCTAGCGCACTCGAACTTCTTTTTACGGCAGTTTTGTGCCGAATGTTCTTCTCAATTCCGATTTATATCAACACAGTTCTATCCATTGCCATAGTCTCGATTTCTGTGTACCTTTATTCACAAAGTCCTGTCGTTAATTTACCAAAAAGTGATGCGGTAAGTTCTCGTTTTTAAAATTCTGTTTTTTTTGGACTGATTGTTAATTTTTTGCAGAGTTCTAAGCGTGATTTTGAAGACAGGAGAGCACTTTTGACTGAAGAAGACGAAGATGATATTCTACAGATGCACGAAGTTATTATTAAAAAGTCATAGGGTCATTGATTGTCACCAAATTCATTGAAATTTTTTTTTTTCATAAAATAATAACCAATCTCGAGTATGTACTAGAATTGATTGAAAACTATGTATTTGGAAAGGTATTTATAGCTGCTTTATGAGAGAATTTAGAGTATTAGAAATGAAACTTTTGAAGGGTTTTGACTTGTGTATTAAATTTGATTTGAAACACTTCAACAGTAAAAATCTCATTTGTATTGTTTTCAAATTTGAAAATTCAATTTAAAACTCCACACTATTAATTATCATTTGTATAGTTCTAAAGCACAGAATCTTGTTCAAAACCTCACAACAGCTTAATATATCTAATTTATAAGGTTCTCAATTAATTTTGCAACGAATTTTAGTCACCATTTTTACCAATTTTTCTGAATCAATCCAATTAATATAACTGCAATTAAATTATAACAAGAATGAACAAAATAATAAAATAAAAATAAACAATTTTTTGAGCGTAAAACTAATTCTTTATTTTGAAAATCTTTCAATTCAAACTTATAATCAATTGTTCACAAAACGATTTTTATGTTGCGTGAAATTAGTTTTGTGTTACTCAAAACTGTTAAACTTGTCTCCCACGATGAACACGAGCACATTTTTTTTTATATTAAATTCATGATTTTCACATTTTGAGTGCGAAGAAGTTAAGATAATGTAGGTTGCATAATTATTTTATTCTCTTTTTGTTTGCGTGTATGTATGTAATTATCTATATCATTATTTCATTGATCCTCAAAATCCTCACAGACAATTTTATTTGTCAATATATCCATATTCAAGTGTATAGCGGCGCGCAGGTAATTTCAATTTACTTCCAGTTGTACACTATAGATCCGTCAGAACACTTACTTTCCTCTTTTATATTATACCTCATCTCAAATCAATTTCTTATTCATTATTCTGGTGTATAGAAGAAAAAAAAGAAGAAAAAGCAAACAGAACCAAAAATTTTGATGATGTTGTTTTTTTTTTGTTGTGTATAAAAAAAATTAATCTTAATTGGGGGAAATATTAATCAAAGATTTGTTAATTGGTAAGCTTAATGGTTATTGTTACCCTAATTCAAAAAGATCAAAAGGAAATTATATTAGAACAAACTAGAAAAGTTAAGGAAATGCACTCGCAATGGAATCAAAGTGTTTAGTTAAAAACTCACGAGTGCTTAAAAAAAGATATTATTATTTTTTTGGGACATATCTTGAATTAATGGGCTTATGAGATAGAAATAGACAAAGTTGCATTGATAGATTCTTAACGTCGATCATATCTTCGATTTCTATCATTTCTATCTCGGGATCTGTCAACAGAACGACGTCTATTATCCCGTGGTGAACGAGATCGTCTGCGATCCTTATTCTTTCTATCTTCTTCGCGCATACGCATTTCTCGTGCTTCACGACGCTCTTTTTGCATTTTCACCATTTCTTCCATGCGACGATTATGTTCAGCAATATTTTTCAGACGCTGTTCTTCCAGCTCCTTGATCTGCAAATGATTTTTCACCATCAATAATTGTCAAGTGAGATTTTTAATGAAAATTAAACGACTTTTTAAGATTTAAAAATTAACAGCTTCTTGAAATTCAAATATTCGTTCAGTAATTTTGCTTCATTTCTTTTCAGTTCAAATTTGAATTTTTAAAAACCCGTTAAATTTCAATAAAACCGTTAAATCATTATTTTAATTTAAAATCTACTTACTCGCTCTTCTGATAACGGCATCCAATAAATAAATGGAAGGGCCTTAGTTTTTCTGAACAAATCGTCGAGTAATCTTTGCTGCGGAACGGGCGTCATATCTTTTTGTTCCTCGCGAACTATAAAAATTTATTGAATTTTTGTTTTTTTGAACAATTAATAAGTATTTTTAAGTCATTACCTGGAGACTTGCTAACGCTACGGCGTTTAACAACCTTGTCTCTTTGCTCTGATGATCGCTTACGACGTCTATTCTCTCTGTCCTCATCCCGTTCAGTTTCTTCCTTCTTGCCAACATCCCATTCGCGAACACGACGAGAATTCTATTAATTTAATTAAATTATTAAGCTTACATTCTTATAAAAATTACAAAAGTCCTCGTGTTATTGATCGAGGGTCTTCAGCGCATTTTTGGAGCAGCGATCAGAAAACAAGTTTTTCAAAATGCGCTAATAATGGATAAAAATCAATTAATTAAGTACCTTTGAGCGGTCTTCAGGTTGGGATTCTTGTTTGGACCACCCAAAGCTCTTTTCCGGCTTTGTTTCGCGACTTGCTGCTGATTCATTTGTGATGCGCTCTCCTCTCGTTGCCTCAATGATTTTATTCATCTCATCTTCAGTTGAAAACTCCACATTTAGAGTCTTTAGATTGTGTTCAGGCCATTTTACACCATGCAATGCGTGTCTAGTTTCAACTGCCTCACTTTAAATTTAAAATAATAACTGTCAGAATATTGTGCTTTAAACAATGTTAAAGGCTTTACTTACTCTTCAGTTTTGTACACAACAAAACACTTTGATTTAATTGCATCAATCCAGAAATCCTCAATTTCACCAGTTCTGGCAACTAGAGCTTTGACAGCCATGAATGTCAAAGGACGAACTAAATTCGTAATGCAAATAATCCGTGAAGTTTGATTTTTTGATGGTGTTGGAGGTTCTGATGGTTCCTCATTATTAACAACTGAAACTTTACGATCTTTTCCAGCACCATTTGTCACAATAATGGTTGGTGATGTTTGACTCCTTTCAATAGCCTTGGCAATTTGTTCATTTCGACGATCTTCTTCCTCTTCTTGCTTCCTTAATCGTTCCTTTAATAACTTTTTCTTAACATCACGATCCTCAGACGTTAATTTAACACGTTGACGTTTTTCTTCAGGCTCAGGAGATGGACTACTTGCAAGTTTAACATCAACTGGCTGAACTTCTTCAGTAATGACATTTTTAAGTGAATCTGTTGTTATTGCAATGACTGGTTCGTCATCAGTCTTTCTTGCACCCCATTTTCTCTTCCTTTGAACTGGTTTTTCATCACCAGTTGTTTTTGGTGGTGATTTACGGTCAATTTTTGTTGCAGTCTTAACTGGCGATTCTTTCTTCTTATTCTCAATCTCAATTGAATCATCTACATCCATTTTATCAACAGATTCATCATGAATTTCTCCTGAACTAGAACGTGAACGTTTTAATGCAACCTTAGCCTGCTCAATTTCTGTTTCTGATGAATTTGATCTGGATCTTGAACGTGAATCACTTTGATCTTGTATTGGCAATTCGGGTGCTTCTTTGGACACTTCGTCATCAACTAATGATTCATGTTTGTCATCAATTTCAGCACTAACGACCTCATCATCACGACTACTCATGTCTTTATTTTCAACATTACTTTCGTCTTGATTGTCAGCTTTGACTTCTTCATTAACAGGTTCCTGGTCATTATTGGACTGTAAATCCTGTTCAATTGTTACTTCACTTACCTTTTGTTTCACAATTTCTTCGGATTCTTCAGGAGCTTCCTGCTTTTTTGGCTGTTCTGGATGCTCAATATCTTTTGGTGGTGATTTGGGCTCAATCGGTTCTACTTCTTTTTCCTCAATATGTTCTGGCTGTACTTTTTCAGGCTCATTTTCTTTTGTTTCTTGAACTTTTACAACTTCAATTTCCTTTACTTCAGGAATTGGTTCGTCAGCAATAACAGTTGTCTGTGGTTCCTCTTGCTTAATTGTCTCGGCATTAGACTCAACAGTTTCAGGTTCTGGAGATTTTTCCTTTTCTAATGTTGTCGAGTCCATTGTTGATGCATCTTGTTCATCATTTGTTGTCTGACTATTCGCTGATTCCTGGTAATCTTGTGAATGCTGTTCCTCCTGTATTGGACTTTGTGCTGCTGCACGTCGACCTCTACGTGGCCTAGCTGGTGTTTGTTTCTCTTTTTCCTCAACAACAGGTTCTTTTGGCTTTCTCCCACGTCCTCGACCCCTTCCACGACCTTTTTTAGGACTTCCATAGTCTGAATCATTGTCAGATTGTTCAGACGATTCATCTGATGGCTTTAATAAATGCGGTGGAATCTCATCAATTACTTCTGTATCAACTTCTTCAGTACTTTTTTGTCCACGTCGTGTTCTACGAGCTGCTGGTTTATCAGGAGAACTTCCTGAAGCAGTTCTAGTGCTCTTTCGCGGCATTTTTGGATGTGCGGCAACTAAAGTCACAAATTTTAACACAAATTTTTTATTTGAAGTTTGTTCTGCTTACTTTGAGATATTAATCCTTACTTTGATATTTATAAACTTATTTAATGTCTTATGAACCTAACTGCGATATTTTCAGTAGTTAAACTAATCGATTTCTTATGTTTTTTACACAAAATATTAATTTAGATTAAAATTTTCAAAAAGCATTTTCAGAGTTTCTGAAGATTCAAATCTTTTTCAACCGTTAAGTTTATCTCAACAATTGTTGATATTTTAATGGTCTAAAGTCTACTATTTTTGTTTGATCGCGTCTCCAACAAATTAAACATAATGATATTGCTTTAAAAGTCCTTAATTAACTTTCTGAAGTTTTTGAACTCATTTATTGTATACTATTTTTTCAAAAGTATGCATCAAAAGTTTACTGAATTTTTTCCTCGGATGCATGAATGCATTTGTTTGTCTATCATTTTTCTAAACCTATACTTCATGATGCTTTGCTGTGATTAAGAAAATACTTTAGTAACATATTTATAAAGTGCATGATAGTTACAAACATCTTATAATTCAGTTCCTTGCAAATTTGCGTGATGATGAATCCGTGTCATTGATGAAATCATCAAGAGATAAAATTTAATTTTTTTTTCACCTTAAATATTTTTTGTAATTCTCACGAATCTATCGACATTTAAGCGACCTATCGACTTCTAGTTAATTAAATTAAGCAGGTAAAACCTTATAAAACTATGATTGTTCATATTCGCCCAAGAAATAATGAGAAAAATTGAAATTAATATTTTGTGTGTCACATTTTCACAGAAAAACAACAAAACGACTGATAATGGAAGAATATTCGCGAGAACCATGTCCTTATAGAATTGTTGATGATTGTGGTGGAGCGTTTGCTATGGGATGTATAGGAGGTGGTGTTTTTCAGGCAATAAAAGGCTTCAGAAATGCTCCGTCTGGTCTTCAGCGACGATTTGTGAGTAAAATTGCTCATTTGTGATGCAATCGTTTGCTTTACTTTTGTCCTCTCAATGTCTTATGACTCTATTGACTATTATTGTGTTTATAGATTGGCAGTATCACATCAATTAAAGCTCGTTCACCAATTATAGCTGGAAATTTTGCTGTTTGGGGTGGAATGTTCTCAACAATTGACTGCACATTAGTACATTTTAGAAAAAAGGAGGATCCATGGAATTCAATCATTAGTGGAGCAGCAACGGGTGGAATTTTAGCAGCTAGAAATGGTGTGGGAGCAATGGCTGGATCAGCAATTATTGGTGGTGTATTATTGGCTCTAATAGAAGGAGTTGGTATTCTTTTTACACGATTATCAGCTGAACAGTTCAAAAATCCATCACCACATGACCAACCTCCACAAGATCCTTCAGTTTTGGGCGATCCAAATAAAGCTGGATTTAGTTTTGGACAGGCACCACCAAGCTATCAGTAAATAACTGGAAATTTTTGTGTTTAGATATTTGATACAGAAGATTACAAATTGTGTGCAAGTGAATAACATTGTGAGTGATACATAAAGTTAATGATTGTATGATTAAACAGTTTCTGAAGATTCAATTAAATAATCTTTGCCAAAAATGAGGGAAAATGTGAGAAGTTGTAACAATTACTGTTCTTATTTGTTATTACAAGCTTTTCAAATCTCAATAAAGCGTATTTTCTATTAAGCTGGCTTGAAATTTAAATAATTAAAAAGATAACGGCAACGAAATATTTGAAAATTAATTGCCGTAATAAATTCAAACTGCTCGAAAATTCAAATTTAGAAAATACGCTAGAAATGACACGTAGATGTGATAAAAATGTCCAAAAATTATCTCTGATTAAATGATCAATTGTTATTAAGTTTAGTCATTAATCACGAAGTTAAGATTTGGGTTAAAACGAAAGAAATTAAAAGTTAAGGATTTAATTAATTGACTAATCAGACATGAGATATGAGTGTGAGAATGTGAATGTGTGGAATGTGTGCTTGAAACCTTCTTGCTAGACTACATTAATACGATATAAGGAAAACCAAATTTTTGTTCCTTTATGAGACTAAATGAGAGAAGAATTTAACATAATTGATGGGTATATTGTCTCGTTAATAGAATTATAGTCTGTAGCTGGTAGTAAGCTGCTCATAAAGTTATAAATAAAGTTTTTCTTACCCCCCTTAGATTTCTGCAATCCGAAGATTTAAAATGAGAATTACAAAAAAATAATTTTGCGATTAATTTAGCTATACTTTGATTTCCATCCTTTCTTGTACATAGCAAATAGAAAGTTTGGAAATCATTAAAGATTTTTTTTACACAAAAAAACAGTAAAATGAATGTCAGATGTAAAATCAGATTTTTGTTTTGAGTAGTTTAATCTAAAAATTAAATAAAATACGCGATAAGATCTTTATTAATAATTTTATTTTCTTGATTTGATCTTTGTTCTAGGAAGGACCGGTGATAAAATCAACGGTTTTTGAAGACTTGAAATGAGATTCAAATGAACTGAACTGAAATGAACTTTAACGACTTTTTGAGATTCAAATGAACTGAAATATTTTGATAGATTATTGAAATTTGAATTCAATAAAAACGGTTAATTAATTAAGCATGCTGCAAATTTTATTGGGTCTCGACGTTTTTTTGAGGATTTTTGCTTAACGGAAAAAATAATTTGAATTTTTCACTAACACTATCATACAAAACATCAAAAATTAAATTCTCAAAATTCTTAATTATTCAATCATTAATCACAAAAATTATGATTTGAATACGAAAAGTAGATGATACATTAGCTGTTCTGACTATTTTCAGAGCTTTTACATCATTATCGGGTGATATTTTCGTGACTTTACAAATTTCATTTTCGATTTTGTTTGTAAACAAACAAATTTCAACCGAAAAAATTCAAAAAGGTTAAAACCGTTTAAAAAAATTTAACTTAATTTTGTCCAATTGGGTATGTTAACGCAACAATTTTAAATTTTTTATAAACTCAAAAAGAACAGAATTGAATTTAGGACGTTAAAAAAATACATTTGGAGATATATCAATAAGCAATAATGAAGATAAAGCAAAATTCCCAAAAATTGTACGTGAGTGACGCTTAGTTAAAGTGGTTTTTTTAAGCAACTATAAAGTTTTAAGAAGTGAACTGTACAACAATAGATGGGGATTTTAATTCTCTTTTTAAAAAAGTAACTTAAATTTGTCACTTTTAAGGATAAGGAGATAATCAAGAATAACAAAGCATCACTCACGTACAATTCTTTTGTGACGAGGCCCTATTGAAAATCTTCAGCTGAGACAAATCAAAATGTTCATATTAACGGCGGAACCTCAGATTCATCAACACAAATGTTTCTTATATCCACAGTTCCTTTTAATTTCTCGCATTTTTTATCAGGCTTCATTTCAATCGCCTTCTGCTTCCCATCATTTTTCACAGTAACAGCATTTTCCATTTTTAATTTGGGCATTACAATCAGCAGGTGTCCAGTAATTTGCGACCTTTTCGACGAGCATTCATCAATTCGAACCTCATCGTTGAGAGCCATCTGAAAAATCTTTCTTTTTACAGTTATGCGAACATAATTCGGCTGAACGTCAACATCAATTAATGAAGTATCGAGAAATCTGTGGGATAGAAGATTAATAAAAGAAGAATTATAATTAACAGAAGCAGCAGCACCAAACTTACTTATAAACATGCAAATTCAATTCGTAACGGTCTATTTCATCGGAAAATGTGAAATCCAATTTGGGGAGATTGAGACAGTACGGACGTCCAGAATCATTAAAAAGTTTTGGAATGAATTTATCTTTCTTGTGCTCATTTATATCAACTTTATTATTTCTGTTGGCAAGACGTGACTTTTCTGCAATTTCTTTCCTCATTTCAGGACAATGCTCAGTTTTCATATTCCAAAATCTAAAATAGAAATTATATTATATAGCATAGCATGATGTTGAGATGAAGGAAATTGGAATGTGATATGAATTGATAAAGTCACAATTCTCAGTTATCTTCTTACTCTTTCAATTTTTCTTCATCATCAAGATCAACATTTTCCATTGATTCAATCTCATTTTGAACTCTCAATTTCTGCTCGTCACGCGATATTTGATATTGAGCCTTTGAATAATAAATTTTAATGTCAATTTATATTATGCGATAAGAGAGTTTCGTGAGAATATATTGCATTTAAATTAATACTCTGTAAATTTATCTTTCTCACCTGTAATTGAATTATTTGACGTCTATTCTCATCAAAATTCTTTTGAGCTTTGAATCTTTCGCTTCTTGTTACTTCTTTTCCATCCAAATGCTTTAATTGTGGTATTGCGACGATGACATAATCGCGATAACAAGGGTAATCTAATTGCATTAAAGATTAAAATGAGAGTTGTTATATGAAAGCATAAAAAGCATCTTTGAATTCGTTGCTGAATTTTATCCGGCTTGAAACTTTTTAAAATATGAGGTTTTGTTTTAACATTTTTTGAAATTTAAATTATTTTTCAAAACCATACAAATTTTTTGGTTTACAGTCCAAAACCTTTCAACAGCTTCTTCTTCTTCTTAATTAACTTTATTATGGTCCATCAGCTTATTGCTATTTAAAGACCGTTCACAATTCCAGGTAGTTTAATTTACAAATATACACAAAGAACAATCAATAAAATCCAGTCAACTCCAAATGGTTGACAGAAAACATGCCCGTGCTAAGTCAAAACAACAAAAAACCATCGCTAGGCAAAAAATTCTATCTTCAGTTGTCGATGATCCAGATCCCTTGACAGTCCTTGTAATTTAACTGATTTGTTGAAATCCAGTCAGCACCAATTGATTGATAGAATTGCCCGCGTTATATGGGGAAACACACAAAACCCATCGCGAGACAAATTCTCCTCACAATTGACGATAATCCGTTGTATTCCAATAATATTCAATGTCTAGGTTATGGTTATGATAGAACCTTCTTGTCCACGATTGTTGGTAAAACACAAAAAACCCACGTGAAACAATTGATTCTCCTCACAACTGCCGATCGTGATTTGTCAATGTAATTAAATGTTCGTTGGTATTCCGATGATGATCAATTCCGTTTTATCTAGGTTATGTTCAAAATTTGCACATTTTTTTTCCAATTTCAATTTATATCCAAAATTTAATTAAATCGCGACTTTGCTGAGTTTTCTCCTTGGTATTTTTGTTCTTTGTTACTTTGAAGACAGTTCCCGAAGGTTTGTGACTTATTCCTACGCGTAATTAATTAATTTTGAAGTATTGCACAATTCCACAACCTACTCATTCGGAGGTTGGGAGAAAACCCCACCTTTCAACAGCTTCTTCTTCTTCTTCTTAATTAACTTTATTATGGTCCATCAGCTTATTGCTATTTAAAGACCGTTCACAATTCCAGGTAGTTTAATTTACAAATATACACAAAGAACAATCAATAAAATCCAGTCAACTCCAAATGGTTGACAGAAAACATGCCCGCGATAAGTCAAAACAACAAAAAACCATCGCTAGGCAAAAAATTCCATCTTCAGTTGTCGATGATCCAGATCCTTTGACAGTCCTTAATTCAACTTGTGATATTCCAAATAGATTCAATTTTTTCTTATGTCTCGATTGTGATCTGTCAATTTAATTAATATGATCTGCTGTACTCCGAGATGATCGATTCTTGTTTGTCAATGTTGATTTGTTGAAATCCAGTCAGCACCAATTGATTGATAGAACTTGCCCGCGATATATGGGGAAACACACAAAACCCATCGCGAGACAAATTCTCCTCACAATTGACGATAATCCGTTGTATTCCAATAATATTCAATATGTCTAGGTAATGGTTATGATAGAACCTTCTTGTCCACGATTGTTGGTAAAACACAAAAAACCCACGTGAAACAGTTGATTCTCCTCACAACTGCCGCCGATCGTGATTTGTCAATATAATTAAATGTTCTTTGGTATTCCGATGATGATCACTTCCGTTTTATCTAGATTATGTGCAAAATTTGCACATTTTTTTCCAATTTCAATTTATATCCAAAATTTAATTAAATCGCGACTTTGCTGAGTTTTCTCCTTGGTATCTTTGTTCTTTGTTACTTTGAAGACAGTTCCCATAGGTTTGTGACTTATTCCTACGCGTAATTAATTAATTTTGAAGTATTGCACAATTCCACAACCTACTCATTCGGAGGTTGGGAGAAAACCCCACCTTTCAACAGCTTCTTCTTCTTCTTCTTAATTAACTTTATTATGGTCCATCAGCTTATTGCTATTTAAAGACCGTTCACAATTCCAGGTAGTTTAATTTACAAATATACACAAAGAACAATCAATAAAATCCAGTCAACTCCAAATGGTTGACAGAAAACATGCCCGCGATAAGTCAAAACAACAAAAAACCATCGCTAGGCAAAAAATTCCATCTTCAGTTGTCGATGATCCAGATCCTTTGACAGTCCTTAATTCAACTTGTGATATTCCAAATAGATTCAATTTTTTCTTATGTCTCGATTGTGATCTGTCAATTTAATTAATATGATCTGCTGTATTCCGAGATGATCGATTCTTGTTTGTCAATGTTGATTTGTTGAAATCCAGTCAGCACCAATTGATTGATAGAACTTGCCCGCGATATATGGGGAAACACACAAAACCCATCGCGAGACAAATTCTCCTCACAATTGACGATAATCCGTTGTATTCCAATAATATTCAATATGTCTAGGTAATGGTTATGATAGAACCTTCTTGTCCACGATTGTTGGTAAAACACAAAAAACCCACGTGAAACAGTTGATTCTCCTCACAACTGCCGCCGATCGTGATTTGTCAATATAATTAAATGTTCTTTGGTATTCCGATGATGATCACTTCCGTTTTATCTAGATTATGTGCAAAATTTGCACATTTTTTTCCAATTTCAATTTATATCCAAAATTTAATTAAATCGCGACTTTGCTGAGTTTTCTACTTGGTATCTTTGTTCTTTGTTACTTTGAAGACAGTTCCCATAGGTTTGTGACTTATTCCTACGCGTAATTAATTAATTTTGAAGTATTGCACAATTCCACAACCTACTCATTCGGAGGTTGGGAGAAAACCCCACCTTTCAACAGCTTTCTTCTTCTTTATCTTTATTAAGGTCCTTTTTAATAAATTTTAAGACCCTTTTCAATTCCAAATATGTATTAGGGGCTGTTCACTTATTACGTAACGTGAAAAAATGACTTCTTAGACCCCCCCCCCCCCCCCACCCTCGTAACAAAATTTGTATGAAAAAAAAATTTCCTTGTTTGAACCGTAACAAAATCTTAGACCCCCCTCCCCCTAAAAGCGTTACGTAATAAGTGAATGGCCCCTTACATTATTTTAAATTTATAAATACGAACTGCATTACAGGATATTATGTGTTTTGGTGTTAAATTTTATCTTACAAATTTATTTCTTTTACAAAATTGAGGATTTTATCTGTGACATTTTTGTCGTCAATTTTTAATGATTGATAGTTTATGTTATGACCTTTCAACAGCTAATTTCTCCCACATGAACCAAATGCTTTCAACAGCTAAAACAATTCAAATTATTTTAAAATTAGAAATCATTTTTATGGTTTTGAAACAAAAATTCAAATTCAAAAAAATCTGTTAAAAACATTTTTAAAAGATTAAAAGCAGCAAATTCATAATTGAAGAGAATTGCACTATAATTCACAATAAGGTTCATAATACTAAGTCACGATAAAAAGTGAATGAACTATCGCATTTTTCATGGAAAACGTGCGACGAAAACAAAGACATGCAGAAAAAAAAGTTTTGACACGATGATTGATGATATCAGATAAACAGAACTGAAAGAGAGTAAAATAATCCATACCTGTGCTAGGATTTCCCGTAAGAAAAAGTTCCTCTAAGTGAATATTCGACTGCAAGCTCTCAACGCTTGTTAATTCACCTATGAAATTCAATGTGAGGTCGAGTTTTTGTAGCGACTCACACTGACTTAAATTTTCAATTTTCTCAATGTTATTTATTGCAAGATTTAGATACTCGAGCTTTTTCAATTTATTGAGATTTTCTGCATGAGAAGAAAATAAGAAAAAGTCTTGTGGTTGTGGATGAAAAATGAATTGAATTATTACCAATTTTCTCTATCAAATTCGATTGCATCAGGAGTATCTTGAGCTCACGGCAATAATCCTGTATGTTTTCGATTCTCTCAATATTCTCTTGATGTAGAGAAATTTCTTCAAGACTAAATATAAGAAGTTCATTATGCTCTGACTTCTTTCTAATCAGCTCCTCTGTTACTGAAAAGTGAGATGGGAAATTTCAGTGATTTTAATAATTTTTTTTGACATCAACAAACTCACATTTCACCATGATGATATAAGACTGAGTGAATTAATATTAATTTCGTTGGTTGCTACGATACATAAACACTTTTTTTATACTTAAAAACATGTTTCCATGACATTCTCAAATGTCTTATAAAGTTTATAATGACATTTGAATTTTCATTTTCTTCATGGCATAAATTAAATTGAAAAAAACTTGGCAAATTCATCCTACAGAGCATGTAGTTCAGCTCTTGTCATCAATTTTTGTATCCGAAAAGAATCAATGAGGAACTTTTATCGATGTTATAGCAACAGCATTCAGTGAATAGTTGGCAGTTTAGCTATGTGATTTACTAGATTTTATTGTTTAACAATTTTTGAAACCGTTAGAATAAAATTGATTTTCTGTTCATTTACTCAAGTTTGTTTCATTTCAGTTCAATTTTTAAAACCTTATAAATCCGTTAAAATTTAAATGTTAAAAAACCGTTTTAACCGAAGCTAATTTCATTTCAGTTCAAATTCAATCATATATCACACATCATAAAAGGAACCAACTTATATTCCCTCTAAACTTGTTATTGTATAGTTCAATCGCCGTGAAAGCAATTTTTCACAACTTTATTTTATATTAAAAGAAAATTTCCCGGTAAAAGAATTTATCACGAATCTTTCTTCTTCTTCTCTATCCCACATCTGTCGGGATATATTGCTTTATTGTGCCTTCAATATATGAAATATAACATTTTTCTTTCCTTATACATCTTTTTTGTTAAAAAGTTTTTTCTACTCATTTTACAGTTATGAGATTTTTCTTCCATCTTAAAATTATTAAAAAAGTTTTTCCATATTATAGTGAGCATGTATGTTTGTATGTATAAGGAGCTATCGTATATGTGAATAAGGAGATTGTTTGAGTTTATAACAATTTCAGTGGAGTAAAATATATATAAAATCAATTATTTTAATTAAACATCTGAGATACAGAACGACTGATTCCACTGACAATGCTTTCATCCAAATTGTCACATTTTAACTTCTTTGTGACCAATTTTGATTGATTTGGCTCCAATTTAAATCCAGTTTTGCGCTTAGAATTTACAAAAGTGTCATCGAATCCTTCATCATCCTTCTCGTTAGAAGTATCATCAGATTCCTCATTTGGAAAGATTTGACTATACATTTCGTTCTTTTGTTGCCATTCAATGACTTTTTGGACTGACATCTTTCTTGACTGAACTGGTTCACAGTTTGATATATACTGCTTAATTTGAATCTCGTCATCATAGTTCAATGGCAGTTTACCTTCCTCATACTTTAAGATTCCACCAGTCTTTGAGTTATCATTCCAGCGCTCAATATCACGTTCAAGGACTCGATTAAAATACTTTTCAAATTCTTCTGGCGATGATGCTCGTTTTGCAACCTTTTCATTAACTAATACTTGACTGAGGCTGAACTGAAGACCATAGAATGTTGTGATGATTAAGTCGCCAAACAAAAAACCTTTATGATTAGTTAAATTATCCGACATTTCAAACGAAATTACTGAGGCTTTATCGAGACTTTGTTGGAATAGCTTTAATGCCAATGGACACCATGAATTGTGGAATAGAATCTCTTCCTTTTCGTTCAAATAGTCAAATCGGGTAACCGCTGGCAAGATATTAAGTGCTACTTTATTCATTATTGGACTTTTTGAAAACTTAATGATTTCAGAGATTGGATTAATGTCTTCAGCTCTTGTTGTAAACAATGAGACACCTAATCCGTAATGATTTTAATATAAAAATTAAGTGATTCTAGGAAAACTTGTGACTCACCATAATCCAGTGCGAATAGAAAGTAGTGATAACTGTAATTAAACATGATGACGTCATCAATCTCACAGCGGATGTAACGTTTACCATCTTCCCAATAATATGCAACAATATCGCCCTTTTTATGCTTTCTTTCTGTTGAATTCTTGTATCCAAAATTTTGAATTTCAGAAATTAAATTTTCTTCAAGTGCATTTCGTGCCTTATCGTCTCGTAGGTACGGATTGAACAAATGGAAATAGCTTGGATTGATCATTTGAGTCACAATGAATGTTTTCTCGTCATTTTCTGCCTGTACTTCCATCTCTTTTAATTATTTTAAACAACTTTTTACAGTCAAATTCACTTTTTGTTTATGTTAAAAAATGTGTTTTTTTTTACTTTGCACGTGGGGCTTGGGACTGTTATTAATTCTAGTTGATTACCCCTATCCTTAAAAAGTTTGACATTAATAAAGTGCTTAACATAATTAAATTAGTCCATCATGATCATGTTGAAGAGTAAAAAAGAGATTGGAGACTATTGTTGTAGATGCAAAAAAGACTTTTGTCATGAGGATCGCATTGTACTTGCTCGAAATTTGAAGTTTTTCCATTTCAATTGTTATTCTAAGTAAAATTTTCAACATCCAGTAAAATGATCCAGCAGCTAATCTTTAATCTCTTTATAGGAAGAACTACTTCTACAGATTGATAAATTCAGTCGAAACATACTTCATTTGGCATGAATCAAAGGTTGTAATTGCTGAATTAAACGATTCATTGAAGAAATCTACAGCTTTGCTAATTCTTAATAAAAAGTAAGTTGTATTTGAATTTTTTAATTACTTTTATTCCTTAAAATCTTTTTCTTAGGGATAAAAGTACTGAAACAGAAGCTGGAGGCGGTGACACTCAAATTGAGATGCAACTGGAAGTATCCAAACCTATGGAAAATCCAAAGAAAGAAGAAACACAAAATCAAGCTTATGGAACTGTTATAGATGTTAAATTTGATACTCCAAAGATAGAAGAGGAACAGAATCAGACTTTTGAAACTACTATGGATGCTACTTTAGATGACGAAAGAGTTAACGAGCTTACATCTAGTTTGTAAGTTGTATACTACTGTAATTTACTTCTATTTAAAACGAGAGCTTAAATTTCTTTCTTTAGGATCGAAATAAGAGACGAAGTGGAAGTATTAAAGTCTCAAATTGTGAGATTTGAAAAAAAACAGGATAACGATGAGCAGATTATCATGTAAGTTGAATTATTGAGCACATATAATCAATAATTTATTTGAAATAACTTTACAGTCAATTGGAAAAGGCATTACAAAGATATAGGCGAAATGTCATAGAACTAAACCGTCAAAATTACTTCTTACGTCAAGAAAGTGTAATATTTCATCAAAAGCTAGCTAGTGAGAATGAATGTCAAGAAGCTTCAAGCAAGCATTCATAAAAATTAGAATTAAGGATTGTTTAATTCATTTAAGTTGATCTATTTAAAGTATTGAAGAACCATGAGAGAATATGTTTAATATTATTTTTGTAACAATTTATTGTTTGAACCATGAATAAAGACTATCAAATAACTTTTATTTACTTACCTGCTTGTTTTATTAATAATATTAAGTTGTCAGAAAATTAATTTAACCGATTTTTTAAAATTTGTACCTAAAACGCTTAAAACGATACAATTTTTTGTTATAAAACCATATAAATGTTTTAATTGAAAGGAATTGTAGGGTTTTAATTAACAACTTAAAAATCAGCACAACAAAATATACTCAAATTGGCATTAATTAATCAATTAATATGTCAGAAATGATTGAGAAACACTCATCAAACGTGAATGTTGATGCTAAGATTGCTGAAATTCGCAGAGAGTATCGATTTTATCAGAAAAATGGTGAGAAACATCCACTTTATAAAATTACTTGGAAAATTTTCTGGGAACGAAGATATGCTGACATTAAGAAAGAGGGAAAGCATAATCCTGATCATTATGATTACAAAAATGATTGGGTTAAATACTGGATGAATTATATTAAGGAATATTACTACAATAAAATGGATTTTTATAAGAAAAAGGATATGAAGCGTCTGCATCTCTCTCCAATTAGTATTTCGTCATCTGAAGATTCTGTCAGGAGTAAGTCACGTAAGAAAGAAAGCAAACGGTGCCATAAGAAGTCATATGGATATAGTGCTAGTGATTCTAGTGATTCATACTACTCAAAAAAGCCGCTAAAATACGTTGAAAGCTTGACATCTGTTGAAAGTGATTCATTCCTGGACAATCAAGCGAGATCAAGCAACGAGTCCGTCACATTACTATCTGTATGTCGAACATTGGCTGTACTTGATGCTGAATTGGGAACTTTATTATCAAATAAAATCGTTGATTTAATTGGCCAAAGTATCGAACTAGAGAAGGTTCAAGCTTATTCAAGTGATGAGTTTTTAATTACTAGTGATAATGTTATCTTTTTGGAAACAGTCAAAGAAAAACTCAAAGGCTTAGTGTCTACAAAATTATTGGAACCGAAAAAGGTAATAAATTCTATATACATTTGCTATATTCTTTATATCTTATGTCCATGTCTATAGATTCCAGTTGCAAAAAAGTGCATACAAAATATCTCACAACTCGTTCATCAAAATCGATTAAAGCAGACAGAAAAGAAGAAAAACTGTCAAATTGTTAAAGATCCAGAATTAACTGAGATTATTGCAAAAGCACTTATTTCATTCGGCAAAAATGATGCATTGCCGGAGGAGCTTGAAGTTATTAAAGAAATTTATCTTGAGGAACTCGAGAAGAACATTGAAATGGCACGAAAAGACAATGATGAATATAATTCAACGACAAATCTCTCAAAACTAAGTGCTTCATTTTACAAAGAACTCGACGATGATGAATTGAATACTTTAATTAAGAATTTTCAACAATTGGACGAGGACGAACAAAATGAATTCATAAAATTTATAACGGAAATCGAAGAAACAGATCCAGATCGAGTCCGTAGATTACAAGATTTCATAATTAATGGACAGAAGCCAACTGATACAATTGTGATAAATGACGATGACGATGATTATAATTTTGATGACCTTGTTGCAACAATTAAGTAATGTATGTGAGTAAAAATTAGAATTTGAAAATAATATTCAATGAAATAAGCCTACGAAAATTCATAACATAAATATTGCGTATTTTCAAGATAATAAAACTATTAGAATTTAAATTTCATTCCAAGTATTACTATATTATGCTAATTTAACGATAACTGCGGCATACATTTCTAATTGATACCAATTATACAAGCAAATTGATTTTCAGTGGATAATATTTCATTAAACTCATTAGAGCCATGCAGCATAACGTAATTTAATCCCTAATGAATATTAGATAAAAGGAAAAATCGGAATGAATAGTTTCATTTCGTGCCGCATGTTATCAGCAAATTAGATTACTTTTTCATCTTATGTCACTCTACTTACACGTTCCACATCAATCTCTTACGAAATAATGGAACTCTTCGATGACTGCTATAAAAAGAACCGTCGGGTTCATTCACTTTGAATGTCTAGGATATTTAAGGTTGTCATCTGTATCTGAGTGATGCTTTAATTCTTGTTTGACGTCATTTGTAGATTCCTTCTAAAGACAAATAAGAATTCACACATTTCTATTATTTCTAATTAATGTGAATGAATAAAAGTTACTCATCGCATTACAGCAATAGTTCAACTAGTCACAATTCAACTTTATTCGTTTAGTTGTTGATGGCATGTGATGAAAAGTTAAATACCGTTTATATAAATGCTTTTCTAAAGATTGTGAAGAATGATTCGACGTGACATTGCTTATCGTCAAGTATCACAAATAAATCTTTAATTAAGAGTACGAAAAGAAAGAAGTATAGACTAATTAGGAACGTCTACACACTGCATATGTATATAAATTCTCACGATTTATGTTGTAACTAAATGAAGCATAAAAGTAATCCTTTTTTTCTTCTCGAAATGTGTAGCACGTTACAATGTGATTGATCATGTAGAGGAAATTAATTATTGTAAACAATTGTTTTTAACGAATTTAATAGCTATAACAGGTGCTCATTATTATTAATTTACAGTCTGTGATGTAGCTTGTTAAGGATATAAATTTAGCTTACTTTAAAGCTGTTAGTAAACGGACAGGTTCTTTCTGAATATTGTTTTGCAGATCATGAATTACATATCACCTGCCGCAATCTTTTTTAATTACATTCAAGGCACAAGTATGCGGCGATTTTAAAACGTTTATTAGCTCTTGAATTGAAAATTGCGCTTTCGTATCCTTCTACAAATGTACGTTGCTTCTACCAAAATATAAACAGACTGTAAGTAGCTTTAAAGCACATAATTGAATAATAAAAGAGCATGAATAAAAAGCTTTTCAAGCAAATAAACCGATTCAGTACACAATACATTTATCCAACACATATGGCTTTACTTTCATCGAATCAACCATCCACAAACTTTGACATAAATCAATTTTTTATTTATTATTTCAACAAACAATTCAATTGTATGTTCGTAACCCTATTTAAAGTCGACAATACCACGTTTGATATAAATTTACGTTGACAAAAGAGAAGAGAAGTTTGTGTTGTCAATGTATGTCAGGAAACTGTGCTGACAAAAGATATGTATAGTCTGTAACATATTTTGTCGTAAAGAGAAAGTAAATATTAAAGGAATGAGAGATTTATTTTTAGCTTTAATAGATAAGTTTTCTGGATGGGGAAATCAATCTTCCTGCTTTTTATTATAGGACTTTTTTCTTTCTCGCAATGATCGACAAGCTAGATAAAAGAGGGATAAACATGTTTTATGTATGATACGTTAGATTTACGAATTTATATCTTTTTCTTGTAGAAATAGGAACAAACATGTATAAAAAAAATATTATAGGCCTTATTTCGTCATTTATGGAAATTAAGCATTAAAGCCAGATGAAAGAAAAGCATCATAAGTATTGACTCGTACCGCAAGAATAAGATTCTTTTTTTTACTTTTATGTTCGTTCCTCAAACCGTAGACATTTAGACATCCCTCTTATTTTTCCTGAATGTACTTAACATTAAGAGAGAAGGAAGCTGAAATGGGACCGTTTAAATATGATGGAATCCAAAAACGTCATCTTTTTAACGAATTTTGCTAGCTTTAGGGATCATTCATGAGTTAGGTTTTAAGTTTAAACGATTAATTTTTTCCTTTAATATCTATCCACTATTAAATCGTTACATAACTCACGAACATCTCCAAATAAAACAGCAAAAATGTAATAAAAGTTTTCTTAACACACAAAGTATTTCACATCAAAGTTTTAGACATTTAACTGCGTTAAAAGATTCCTCTCAATGATTCCTTGCCACAGAGATTTTTTAAAGGCGAATAATTTTTTCTTTCTTCTTCCTCTTCTATTCGGTTTTACTTTAATGTGATCCCTTTAATTTGTCTCGGATAGAAAGAATCAAAATGTCAGACTCTTTACTATATTATCACAATAAAATCATTCTGTTAGTCAAAAGCTTGCAATTACTCCATTGTCCTCTTCGTTTCTATTTTATATCTTTCTGATGAGTCGACCGCTAATTAAAAGCTATGGATAAAAGACTTGCAAGAAGTGACTATAGAAATGAAATGAAAGAGAAAAAAATAATATGCTCAGTATGATAACGAAAATGGGGAAGATTTTTTGCAACCATTTCCTTAATTAATTCTTGAAATAAGAATTTTAATTAGAATTTTGTGGGATTTTGAGTTTTTAGATATGCACATAAAAATATATAAAATGTTGAAAACTTAGTTGAGTTCCTTTGGGGATAAGAAAATTATATGAAGCAGTATATTGCTACAATGTTGCGAGTTTTATTAAAATCCTAGTTGTATATTAATTCATTATAACTTCCGTGAAAAAATGAAGTTATTCTGATGTAAATCAACCATGCGTCCAACTAGAAGTCAGCTTAAAAAATATTTGTTTTTTTGTCTAATCACTTAAACATTTTTAATATTTGTAGTACAGTACCGTTCAAAACTGTTTCCATGTTTCAAGAAAATTTTTCTTTCCAACATATTTCTTATAAAACGTAATATTTTCCCAACATGTTATATATCGTTTTAAAGCTTGTTTAATAAGCTATTTAAAAATGATAAGCAACTTTGGAAAATATTTAATTAAAGGAGATTTTTTTCTTAAAATATACACTGTCACATGGAAACACTTTTGAGCTAATAATTGTTTTTCCAAATTTTGATGCATAGTTGAACTAATTGATTAAAGTTTGTTTATTATAGGAGAAAGCAAGTAAAATATAAGATAATAGCACATAAATTAAATTGCTAGACATAGTTAAAATATTTATATAAGAATGTTAAATCACATGATAAATTTTCACATAATTTTGCAAAAAATTACTGAATTAAAGCCAAATGCTGTGACGTTTGCATCCATACAAATGTATTTTAGCTTATTAAATCTGAAAAACAGTTTTTAATTGTAAATAGAAGCATTTGAATGCAAAAAAATTGATAAGATTTCATGGAAACACTTAAATTTTCTTACTTGCAAACACAAACATTCAAAAATTTTTATTACTTCCTCCACTTCAAAGAACTTTAATCGCTTTTTCTGATAGATTTTATGTTAACAAAGATAACCATATGATTTATGTAGTCATTGTGAGAGTAAAAGGATGTTTTTTACAATTTTGTTGGTCAATGACAGCCATATTCAAAATTTTTTATAAGCATTTACAAAAATTCAATTTTTTTATGTAAATATCGACTTTTGATAGTCAAATATGATAATTTATTATTATGAATTGGATATTTTAATTATTTTAATCATTTTGTGTTGTCTTAAGTCGATATTTACGTAAAAAAATTGAATTTTTGTAAATGCTTATAAAAAATTTTGAATATGGCTGTCATTGACCAACAAAATTGTAAAAAACATCCTTTTACTCTCACAATGACTACATAAATCATATATGGTTATCTTTGTTAACATAAAATCTATCAGAAAAAGCGATTAAAGTTCTTTGAAGTGGAGGAAGTAATAAAAATTTTTGAATGTTTGTGTTTGCAAGTAAGAAAATTTAAGTGTTTCCATGAAATCTTATCAATTTTTTTGCATTCAAATGCTTCTATTTACAATTAAAAACTGTTTTTCAGATTTAATAAGCTAAAATACATTTGTATGGATGCAAACGTCACAACATTTGGCTTTAATTCAGTAATTTTTTGCAAAATTATGTGAAAATTTATCATGTGATTTAACATTCTTATATAAATATTTTAACTATGTCTAGCAACTTAATTTATGTGCTTTTATCTAATATTTTACTTGTTTTTTACTATAATATACAAACTTTAGTCAATTAGTTCTGCTATGCATCAAAATTTGGAAAAACAATTATGAGCTCAAAAGTGTTTCCATGTGACAGTGTATATTTTAAGCAAAAAATCTACTTTAATTAAATATTTTCCAAAGTTGCTTATCATTTTTAAATAGCTTATTAAACAAGCTTTAAAACGATATATAACATGTTGGGAAAATATTACGTTTTATAAGAAATATGTTGGAAAGAAAAATTTTCATGAAACATGGAAACAGTTTTGAACGGTACTGTAACTGTCCACAATAAATTGAAATGGAAAGTAAAGAAATATAAAGCATTGAAATTAAATGACATTTTTAAAGCCCTATTCAAACTTTGAGAGCAAAAAATATGTAACAAGAAGGGAAAAAAAAAATATCGTAAAAATTCATTTCATAAAAGTTTTACGTGCCCAGAAAATGTAAGCAGCTTCTACCGCCATGCGTTGATGCTGGAATGCAAGATTTATGACGAAAATGCTTTTACGAACAATTTTTTCATATTACATGTGCAACGATGTGCATAAATATGCAGTATTTTCATTTATAAATTGATATAAACATTCTACCTACAAGGAATCGTAAATCACTGAAGTAGAAGACGAGGATATTTTTGCTGTATTTAATATAGTTTGACAGTTTTATGAATTAAGTTTTAATTTAAAACAATCTCACGGTCGTTAAATCTACAGCTTCAACA